AAGGGAAGCGGGTTCTCGGTTCAGGGTTCAGGATTCAGATGAGACATCGGGCTCCCTATTATATACAACATAGGGGAACAAGGTGGAGTCTGCTGCGTTTTAAACGCTAAACACCTCTAGAATTTTCTTATTCTCGTGGCTGCCTGGTTCCAGTGGTTCCTGTGGAAGATGGCTGGCCCAAGTGGCTCCTGTGGGAGATGGCTGGCTCAAGTGGTTCGAAGGGAGAGCAAAGACCGACTTAATTTAGTTAGTTCCTTGGGCGTGTTTGGTCAGGTTCTTGAGTGAATTTTTTCCGATTCTCGGCCTAGGATTGCAAATGGGTACCAATTTGAAATCTCAGCCTGACAGTCCAACAAAAAAACTAAGCCAGATCACGTTGCTCCGCACTAGGTTCCGAAAATAATTAATGTTGCCTCTTTTCTTCTTTTCGTTTCACTCCTTGCACATTTTGAAAACGTGCAAGAAGTGAAAACCTATTGAGCGCTCTTTCTCCTTTCATAGCGAGCCACTTTTGGCGCAAGATTCGAAACCTTCTAAACCGGATTTGAAGGCGCCTTAATGGCCTACTTACTTGCATTTGGGAACGAGATTGGAAACAACAAAACAAACAAAACCCCCACTATCAGCAATTTCTTGTCGCAGCAACTTCTTCCGAGCAACCTTCTTCCGAGCACCCCCGTCGCGTCCCTTTTCTGCTTCAATTTCTGCCCGGGGGGAAAGTTTCCACCCCCGTCCCTTTTCTGCTTCAATTTCTGCCCGGGGGGAAAGTTTCCACCCCCGTCCCTTTTCCGCTTCAATTTCTGCCCGGGGGAAAGTTTCCACCCCCCGCCCCTTTTCTGCTTTAATTTCTGCCCCGGGGAAAGTTTCCACCCCCGTCCCCTTTCTGCTTTAATTTCTGCCCGGGGGGGAAAGTTTCCGCCCCCGTCCCTTTTTTCTGCTTTAATTTCTGCCCGGGGGAAAGTTTCCACCCCCGTCCCTTTTCTGCTTCAATTTCTGCCCGGGGGAAAGTTTCCACCCCCGTCCCTTTTTCTGCTTTAATTTCTGCCCGGGGGGGAAAGTTTCCACCCCCGTCCCTTTTTCTGCTTTAATTTCTGCCCGGGGGGGAAAGTTTCCACCCCCGTCCCTTTTCTGCTTCAATTTCTGCCCGGGGGGGAAGTTTCCACCCCCCGCCCCTTTTCTGCTTCAATTTCTGCCCGGGGGAAAGTTCCCCCCCCCGTCCCTTTTTCTGCTTTAATTTCTGCCCGGGGGGGAAAGTTTCCACCCCCGTCCCTTTTTCTGCTTTAATTTCTGCCCGGGGGGGAAGTTTCCACCCCCGTCCCTTTTCTGCTTTAATTTCTGCCCGGGGGGGAAAGTTTCCACCCCCGTCCCTTTTCTGCTTTAATTTCTGCCCGGGGGGGAAAGTTTCCACCCCCGTCCCTTTTTCTGCTTTAATTTCTGCCCGTGGGGGAAAGTTTCCGCCCCCGTCCCTTTTTCTGCTTTAATTTCTGCCCGCGTGGGAAAGTTTCCACCCCCGTCCCTTTTGTGCTTCAATTTCTGCCCGGGGGGGAAAGTTTCCGCCCCCGTCCCTTTTTCTGCTTTAATTTCTGCCCGGCGGGGAAAGTTTCAACCCCCGCCCCTTTTCTGCTTCAGTTTCTGCCTGGGGGGGAAAGTTTCCACCCCCCCTGGTTGATTTTCAGCCAGGTTGCCGCCTCAGGAACACTTTTCGCCCCCCTTGGTTGATTTTCTGCCAGGTTGCTGCTTCGGGAACATTTTCCGCCCCCCTGGTTGACTTTCTGCCAGGCTTGCTGCCTGAGGAACATTCTCCACCCCCTTGGTCGACTTTCTTCCAGGTTTGCCGCCTGGGGAACATTTTGCCGCCGCCCTTTTTGTTGAATTTCTGCCAGGTTTGCTGCCTCGGGAACACTTTCTACCCCCCTGAGTGATTTTCTGCCAGGTTTTGCCGCCTCAGGAACATTATTTCTGCCGCCCTCTTGTTGATTTTCTGCCAGGTTTGCTGCCTGGGGAACATTTTCCGCCCCCCGGGTTGATTTTCTGCCAGGTTTGCCACCTCCTCGGGAACATTTTCCGCGCCCCTTTGTTAAATTTCTGCGGGGTTTGCCGCCTGGGGAACATCTTGCCGCCCCCTAGGTTGATTCTCTGCCCGGTTTGCTCCCTTCGTTGATTTGCTGCCAGGTTTTGCCGCCTCCGGAACATTCTCCGCCCCCCTGGTTGACTTTCTGCCGCATTTTCTGCCAACTGGGAACCTATTCCGCCCCCCTCTGTGACTTTCTGCCGCATTTTCTGCCTGCCCGGGAACATTTTCCACCCCCCTCCGTGACTTTCTGTCACCCGGGAACACTTTCCGCCCCCCTCTTGGACTTACTTTCTGCCGCATTTTCTGAAAATCGGGAACATTCTCGGCCCCCCTCTTGGACTTTCTGCCGCATTTTTCTGCCACCCAGGACACTTTTGCCGCCCCTTCCTCTTGGACTTTCTGCCGCATTTTCTGCCAAGCTCTGCGAACTTCTGCCGAAGGAACTTTTCCCCCTCGCCGTCTTGTGGACATTTTCCGCGTCCCTCTGGAGGTTAAGACTGGCACTGACTCACCTACAAGGGGAACGCTGCTGCCCATCGTCCGCCACGTCAAAAGCCCCCAACAAAGCTCCCAACTTCACGGGATTTCTGGTCTTCCCTCAATTAAACACGAGTAGAAACCCCCGCAAAAGCTCCCAACAAAGCTCCCACCTTCACGGGGTTTCTGGTCTTCCCTCAATTAGGCACGACTAGAAATCCCGTAAAGCCCAGAGGGTCCCTTTCTCGACCCTACCCCCCCCCCCCCCCGCCCCGCGGGAACCTCATGCGGAGAAAACGCCGCCCCGTTGGATCTCGCTCGCGATTCGCGTGGAATCTCCATCGGGTTCCGCCGGTTCCCCTTCCTATTGAGAACCCAGGCNACCCCCCCCCCTAGGACCCCCCCTTCTCCCCCCGATAATCCCTCGAAAAACCTCTCCGAAATCTTTTGACCATTATAACTCTTTTAATCAATACCAAAAAAATGGAAATTCATTGGTGCGATCCCATGGAGAATCTCGAAAAAGTATAAGTGTAATGCTTATTCGTACACGACTTGTGGAATACGTACAAACATATCTTCCTGAAGCACATTCGTGGGATACGTACAAACATATCTTCCTGAAGCACATTTGTTGTACAGTACGTGTCTCTAGATTTTTGGCAATCAAATCTCAGCATAAGTTTCCTTACCAAATGAGTTGTGTTGACGCCAGCTACTTTCGCACTACGGCCTACACGTGCTGGGTCAGAGCCGAGGAAACGATAGTCCTTCTCAAGCCCCTTCAAGACGTTGTCGGCCAGTACTTCTTTTTGTGCTTGCTCTAATAGCTTTTGGTGAGTCGTTTTTGGTTCGTTGTTTCTAGCAATTCCAGTTGTTTTTACAGGTTTAGGAGGACTCTCAGGCCTTTTAGTTTCTGACTGAGGCGGCGATGAGTTCCGACGTGCAGATGAAGTTGCACCACCGCGAACCACACCGCTGAACATGACGGCTGCATATGGACGTGCTCCTGGCTCTCCGCCTACGACAGGGAGGTCTATCACGTCATCACTTGGATTCACGATGCCGACACTTGCTGGCTGTCGTGCATTAACATTCCCAGACCGATCTGGCGGTTTCCTAGGTTCGGCCGGTTTCCTAGGTTCGGCGCGCTCAGCTTCCACTCGATCTTCAAAGTGGACTTGTTCACCATGATCAGTAGTAGACAGCTTTATTTCATCATGATCTCCAACACCTACACCAGGAGCTGAGGGCATACTAACAGGCGCGGGACGGCGTCTTGCAATACTACCAGGACAATTAGAGATCCAAATACTTTATTTTTTAGCCTCATTTTCTGCGTGTAATTCCAAAGGAGAAACAGGGGAAAAAAAAGCTGTGGAAATGAAATACGCTGCGCCTTAAAGTAATCCATGATCTTTTCAGTACTGGGTGCTGGTGCTTCCACGCCGTTTGTTCTGGTCTCGTCATCGAATATCTCGATGTCTGAGCTGGGTTTCAACGCAGATGGTACTTTCGGTAATCGATTGATCAAAGGATCACCGGCTTTCCGCAACGGCATACGACTGTGCAAGAGGGTGAGTCTACCAGAGACATCCACCTTCGGCGAAGGCGGCTTCACTGACAGGTCTTCTCCTAGCACTCTTCTTAATTCTGCCATGTCTTAGAGCTCAAAACAATTGCTCACTTCTTCCGTTCCTGACCGTACAATCGGAAATCCAAGAGGGACGCAAAGAACAATGGCCCTTGTTGGCAATGTATGAGTTATATATCAGAAGCGGAAATAAGTTTGTTATCACGAGCCTTAATTATCCATCAAATTGTGAGCAGGAAGACTAGCGCCAGGCGCTGAAGCAGGAATAGAAGATGAAGAAGATGCGTGCTTCGTTCTGCCGACAAGGATATGAGGTGGCCGCTTGAAGTTACTCTCGTTTTTACTACTGTCTCCACCTAACGAAGCTGCGCTGCTGTTCTTGTACAGTGGATTAGCGAATGTTGTAGTTTTTGGACCACCAGCACTAGGAGTCGGGGTCTGCTTTTTACCAAGCGGATCGTTTCCACCTTGTTTTTTTGCGGCTCCTGGCATAACGAGTCCCACACTGTTGTTATTGTCTCCCATCATCATCGTATCTGGTCGCAATCGTTGTGCAAGCATATTCACTGCTGCATTTAGAGCTACCACGTTTGCATCTCTGAAAGTTTTCCTGGGCCCCTTTTGCTTCCACTTATAAATACAATGAAGATCAACTACTTACGAACATCTAAAGGGATGCTTCACCAGCAAAGATAGCCCTAATGCTTGATTTTTAGCAACGGCTGAGGGTTGCAAAACCAAATTCGCCGCTGCTGCTAATGTTGGGGAGTGAGGTAGTGCTTGGGCTCCGACCTCGCGGTCAATTTCATCCAGCTCGCGCATCAGTCCATCTACAGTAGATGTAGCTTGTGTTCCCCTGGTTTGTTCTCGAAACAAGGAACTGATTGCTCCAGGTGCGTCCACCGGTTGCCAGAAGCCATTGCGGTTCAGATTGCCTATCCCTGCATTTCTACTTTTTTAGAGGTGCTAATAACTTCCAGTACTTGTACCCAGGAGCATATCTTTTAGGAGAACATCTTTTAGCGGATAAGCTCTTTGCAAGTCGAACAAGCTGGCTAAAAAAAGATGGCATTCGACTTCGACCAGATGAGTTGACGTTATGGCGTTCGACTTCGAGATGGGTTGATGTTATGCAGCTTCAGATGGCTAGTTGCTAGTTTTTATATATGAGTACCCTTAACTAGAAGTTGTACTCCCAGCTGCAGGGTGATGTGCTGCACTAGCTAAACCTCCTAGTGCAGCGTACTGTTCTGACACGTTTCCCCCAGGCCGTGGCACGCCATCTCTGACTGCATCGGCCAGGAGGTCCCGAGCGATCGCGCCATCGATAAACGCCCCACGACTGGAAGCGGGCGGTGAAGGCTGACTTGGCGGTGAGGATGCCCCAGTCATGGTTGTTTTTTGTTATTTTTTCAATGGGCTTCAATTCAACGCCTTTTTTTTTTTGTATCGCGAGCGAGTTCCGTGAAGCACCTGCCTACATATTTCCCGCGTGGATACCGGCGTAGGGGGGGATAATAATTTTCATTGAGAGGCGATCATGAATGACCCACCTATTATTTTCTCACCGAGTCCTATGCTTTCTGAAGTAAAGGTTGTTGTAAACATTTTTGTTGAAAAAAGAACTTCATACTTTTATGTTGCTTTCAACGACTATTTTTTGCTTTCTTTTGGATCACAAACCTTGGGGGAACAACAACAATCGCTGTGAGTAGACGTAGTCCTGGGGACCGAGACCCTGTAAGGTCGTTCCCTATGTCTATTTCATCTTTATCATCATAAAGTGGATGTGGCCCCACTTGGAAATGAACCGAAACTACGATTATTGGACTGAAACCAAAATTGACTACCTATTCCGAGCGTGCATCATCTTGATCTTTCCGTTTCTAGCATGTACAGGAATCCGCAATTCATCAAATGCACACACTAGTTGCTTAGGACTACTGAAATGATTCATCTTTCACTGCAAAGTACACGTACAGACCTGGAAAAAATACTAAGCGATCATACGTTTATACACCACACACAGACAAGGCTGGCTCTTCTCAGAAATACTATTATTTAGCATCAATCCTATTGAATTCGGCTATTCAAAAACTATGTGAATTTCTATACTGCGCATCGGCTGTTGCGAGTACACGAGGCCTCTTAGTGCAATTTTGTCTAGTTACACAAAAATGAACATCATGAAACACGAAAACTGCATACGCTTCTATTTTTGCGTATTAATCATTGTCCTTATTCAATCCCTCAAAACACAAAGATCATGGAAAAGAAAATGTTGAGTCATCTGGTTCATCCGTGGTTCATCGGTTATCAATCACTGGTAGGAAGATGGAAAAAACAATTATTTTCATTTTGATTTATTTAACGCGGTCTTCCTCCAAGCTCATTCTTGATAAGGGGGGGGAAGGAGCTACTTCTACGACCCGAAGAGAGACAAGTACTTTCTTGAGCTTATCGCAGACATGTATGACAATATTTTTAAAGCTGCTGTTGGCGCAGCTGAGTGGGTATCTATACCATAAAAAAATGTAGAAATTTGAATGACTTCCAGATTGAGTCCAAGTCTAATACACTACCATTGCATGCCCCCAATTATATTGGCAAGAAGGCTTCCGTTACGAGGACGCAGAGAGTGAAGTTCAGCTAACGCGGTCTTCCTCCAAGCTTATCATAAGTCGCAATCACCAAGTCCTCTTCATTCTTGATAAGTCGCAATCACCAAGTCGTCGTCCTCGTCCTCAGGGTCTCCAAGACGTAGTCCTGCGAAATCACTTGGCCCCTCACCCCTCTCATTTGGGCTACTTGGTGTTGTAGAGCTTCCTGGAATCCATCTTGAGTGGCATCCTGGGCTTGCTTTTCCCTCACAGGATCATGGTCCCAAGATGCCTTAATTGTTGTAGATGGATTACCCGAAGCCTTAATTGTTGTAGTGGTTGCTCTTGGTGGTTCACCAACAAAATGAAGACCGCGACTATTTGCAGAAGATGAAGCCTTGTCATTTCCGCTGATGTTCATGTTGTTCTTTCCGACATTTAAAGAAGGTCTACCTGGTGCTCCCTTTATTTCGCCTCCTCCTCCTCCTGGACCTGTTCTTGGTGTATCCGCATCAAAAATTCTGTTGAGAGAACATGAATCGTTGTGTTCCACTAAGACCAGCGGTGCAGCACTATCGAGATCCCCATATCGATAACCTGAGCTCGATAGTTGTGCATCCATACCTCTTGCTCCATCTGTACCCCATTGGTGGATGAATGGCGCGTGTTTTAGAGGTAGGCTTTTGGTGCTCGCTTACCCCGCTTGTTATGCCTTTCTCCCTTCGGAGAGGCATAAAAAGCGGTAAGAAAAGCACCTTTAACCTACCCTTAAGTGTTGTAAGCAGTTGTACAAGGAGTTTGGTAGTTTTGTGAGTACACCGGCAATAGAAGCAGGGACGAAACGCCAAGTTGTATGCTCCTCCGTTGAAGACGAAGAAAAGCTACTACTACCTTTGAGAGTACTACGTCCTCTGACTATAATATCGTTCTTGTTTGGCCAGGACAAGAGACATGCAAAGGCAGCGCATCCTATGATTGTGCAGATACTGCAAAGGAATTAGCGCCCACGATGATTCATCGTCCAAGGAAAAGCGCAAAAAAAGCGCACTTTTGTACATTATTCGGCTCAGAATAAAAATTTTTCATTTGAGGCGAATATTGCCCAACTGATCCCGGGGCTGTATGTGCGTTTTTTGGCTAAAAAACCCCTTTTCTATGTTCGCTTTTGGCATAGTGTTACTCCATAGCATAGCCTCAGAATTATCCAAGAAGGATCATATAAAAAGTGAGATAAGCAGTACTCTGTTTGTAAAGATGAATTATCGTGAGCCTTAAAGAAAAAAGCGAAACGCCAAGCTCGTTTGCGGTAGAGGAAGAAGCAACAAGCACAAGGCGATCAAGTTCATCGGAATCCGGTATAGGGTGCAAACAGTTGCCCTCAAGTCTTCTGGCAACATGACGGCTTTGGCGCTAGCCCCTAGAGGCAGGAAGAAGCCCAGTGCAAACTCATATGCGGCGAAACACATGAAGAGCATTGGTGCAAGGCAACAGGCTCCAGGACTGGCAAAGATCGATTTCGACGAGTCTAAAATTGCTAAGAGAGAGTGCGCGTCGACGGAGTCTTCTCCTAGTAGACTAGAATCTGCTGAAACAAGAGAAGTTGATGATGAAAACCAAGCATCAGTGGACGAGCCGTCGTCTAGTGGTCCTCCTGTGACAAGAAGCGACGGCGCTACCAGCGGCGGTGGTGGAGCGGGTACATTTATCGGTGGCGCTGGAGGCACAAGTGGTCGTGGTTGTCCACTAGTCGTTCCAGGATTCGTAGTTGGAGGACTAGTAGAGGGTGCAGGTGGTGCAACTCCTTGTCCTACGGAAGTAGTAGTACGAGATGTTATAGAGGACGACCCAGCTATGTAGGCCGTCACCGCTGGATGCAGGAGTACGCCAGCTAATGCTAAAGATAGTGCTGCAATAAGGAGAGCGATTGAGCCTTCTTTGAAGAGTTGCTGGAGCCATTTCGCTTCCGTATCCTGCGTTTCCGGTCCGCTTTCGTCTGAGGCTGCTGGCGAAGGTGTAAGCGCTCCTGTTGCCACCCTGAACATCTTCCCCGTGTAGATGATTTCCGTTTTTCGCTCTTCTTGGTGGTAACTGTTGGCACATTAGAGGAGCTACTTCTAGAGTAAGTTATTTCTGTTTGTTACTCCTAGAAGGTAGATCTACAACTACACTTAGATTTGGTACTCTGAATCAAAGAAGAGGATGGACCTCAGAACTACGTCTACGAAAATATGCTAACAGCCAACACAGACGTCGTAATCGAACGCACCGACACGAGAAATACTATGACCGTGTTCCTCGCCAGTGAAGTCTGTTGGTGATGCTGCTGAGGAACTGCGGTGTCCGCCAAGTGTACCACCTCCAGGACTTATTACTTCTTCTTCGTGGATGAAGTTCACGGAATCTTCCTGTGGTGAACCACCCGCTGCATTCCGACCACCCGTTGCCCCATCCTGGTGATTGTAGGAACTCGTACCATGACTAGACATGAGCATGTCCGTTTCGCTCGCCAGAACAGTAGTGTTCGGAGATGCTTCCGCGTGTTGTTCGAAGGAAAAAGGACCCTGAATATCGTTTTCGTTCTGACGAAAGGCGTTGTAGTAGTACATTCCGCTACCACGTCGTAAAGCGCCTAGTTGCTGGGTCGTCGCCGCGGAAGGTGTAGATCCAGGACGTAGATGATCCTCAACAGCAGACTCTTGCTGATGAAAGGCTGCAGAGGAGCTGTCACCTGTGCCCCGACTACCACGAAAACTACCTCAGTATTAGAGCTAGCGCGTTCGCATCTTCCCCTTTGAGACGCAAGTAGTCTTCACCTTGATGAGGGCTTCTCTTTCGAGTAGAAAAATGGCCACGGATCATAATGATGAATTTGTCAGACTAGGTCGTTATCAATAATATTTGGACAAACTACTATAGCCTCGCCACTAATATTAAGGATATGCGTTTCAGCGGAGGTAGCTAGGAGACAGAGATGAAGATATATCTTTATATACTTATGTACCAGGGAGGAAGGCCCCCCCTGTGGATGGAGCCTCCCTCCCTGGCCTCGAGGGACTGCCGTTCCTCAGCCTACTAGGTCTTGACAAGTAGATATCTTTACGGATATGCGCTTCGATCAGTGTCAAAAAATAGCTACAAGAAATGGCGCTGGAGACATTATACTTCAGCGGTTTACTAGCCTTAACTATAATTCCCACCAGGTCCTGCTCCGACTAGTGCACCCGCGCCTAATGTTGCAATTCTTTCTCCTGTCCATCCTGTTGTTGCTACGCGTTCACCTACATTTACACCACGAGCAGCCAGACTCTGTTTACCGCCAAATCGGACACTAAACATCAAAGCTTAGACCTTCCCTAAATCTATCTTCAAGTGCATCCTGCTGAAACGACCTTTTAAGTACTTCGTAGGTACCCCCTGCTTTAAAAATAAAAACGGTCCCAGGATGCCCTGCTTTATAACATGGGAGATTTGTGGAAGCCTTAAAACGCGCCAGCCATCGCCGCTAGCATTAAGGAGGCAAAAATGGCGCCACGATGTAGGGAATCACCGGGTATAGGATGAAGACCACCTGCAGAAACTGAAGGTCCTCCATGATGTCCATGAGCATGTGCCAAAGTGCTATAAAACGTCAAACTCGGATCCCAACTGGGCAAAAAAACAAACAGTGCCCCTTCAACACCAGCTACGGCTGCGCCTAAAGCGAGTAGGCGAGGGCTGGAGCCAATAGATCGGAGGCCTTGTTCCTGGTAGAGGGGAGCAACGAGATCGGAGTGAAAAGACAGTCTATGCTGGGTTAGGATCTAGCAATAGCATGAGCATTCAAAGTGAGAAATGAAACCGTGAATTCAGACATTGCAATACTGATGCAGATGAAACCTAGAAAAGGAATTACCGTCTTCGCCAAAACTGACGTTTCGTCATGAAACGCTGACCCTAGAGGTAGACTCTTCCTCGCACGCATCGGCTCATCTTTATCCCACAAGTACCCAATCCACCCGAAAACTACGAACAAAACAACAGCTGCAAAACGGAAGTTAGATCTTCTTGCTATTTCTGTTAGTGTTCATCCTGGAACAAGTCAATGTCAACATCTGTGAGACGTCTTAGTTCTCCCTTCAAAGTCGTTTCCTTAAAGAAAAGGAAATCTTAACCTTCAAAGAAGCTAGCTCTCAGAAAGCTGGATTACAGGACAACAAGCCTTAACAAAAACCGCTGTCTCACCACCAACGCAAAACCCTAAGTTGTAGAACACAACACGATAGGGAATAGCGATGGACAGCACCAGTTCACAGAGCCAGCCCGCGGAGACGGCCGCAAAGAATGTTCCAAACCACATCCATTTCAAGGTATGCTGAATGCTCTGCTCGGGAAGGCCGAGCTGGCGGTGGCGCTTTACGGGAGGTTAGAGAAGCCTAGGCTTTAGGATTAGAGAAGCACCTGTTGCCCGTTCTTCTATATGCAAGAAAAGTACTAAACATTATGCATAGTACTCTAATTTGTAGTTGTTCGGCTAAGATCAGAAACTAGAAGTCGCGTAGACAATTACAACAATCAAATACTTCTGACACACAGCCCTTAATACCACGCATCAAAGCAGCAGTAGAGGACACACGTACCCGCTCCACTCAAGACTCTGGAGACAAGCAAAAGGCGAAAACTCCGGAAGTGATTGAGGATACAAGCAGATCCGTAGAGGAGACAGTAGGATTGGCACGCCCTCTTTCTCCCATAGCGATCCGCCAGACTGCCGATTACGAAACAACAGAGTAGGCGAGGATTAGATAACAGGTAGGATAATTATTTCATCGTCTTCGTCACAAGTCAATTTACATTTTACACTGAAATCATCAATTTATGCCTGAGAATCGCAGGACGATGCTGAACTAGCTAGTATCTTTACCTTAACTGAAAAATACCCCGCGACCAACAACAAGTGCACCTCATGCTCGTTGTTGAGATGGCGATGGCCAATCCGGTAAAGCAGCGGACCCTGGAGCCATTCTGCCAAGGCAGCTAGGTACCAAGGAAGCAAGAATTTCGCTTGCAAGCTGAAAAGCCTTGGATCGAAACTGACTCCTCTAAAAATCCGGTCCCAATACTTCGACAGCAGAAAAAGACTGCTCGCGGAGAGCAGAAGAATGCAAAACCACAAAGTGGCCATAATTACAGGTCTTAGGCTCTCCAAGGAAGAGCAATGGAGCAGAGTCACGCGTACAACTGGCGAAGAAGCCGACTCCTTCGAGAACAGTTCAGACTCATGAGTAAAGGCGGTACTTCCGACTCCTGTTTTGGGCTCCGAGAAGCCTGCATCTTCTAGAAGACATTTTCATTTTGGTCTTAGCTGGTAGTACTCTATGAACGCAGTCCTCATTGTGTAGGTTCTTTCACGGATGAAGCTACTTGGTTCTTTGTGACACTTGATGTATCATGGTGAAGCAGATCCTTACCATTGTTTGGGGCAGACGGGAGAGGATGGAAATTATTAGAGACAGAGGGTACGTACTAAATGTAGGCGGGGTAACTCGGTTTCCGTTTTCCTTTTGCTATTCAAAACAGCGGTCGTGTATGTCGCGGCCACAATTTTAAACCTTTTTCTTCTGTCACGGCTTTCTGTCACGGCTCCTCTTCTAGGAACAACATAGCCGCGTCTGCGGGGGAAGTCGTAAGGACTCGCTTCTGCGGCAGAGTCCGCGACAACGGGGTTGCGACCGAAGTCAGCGACTAGGAGTAGCTAAGTAATTCAAATCAAGAACAAAGGAATAGAATTGGGATTTGGGAACAACCAATATGCACTCATAATAGTAATATACTCGCGTAGAATCCTTTGAGAACTGCTACATTCACAACAGGCACAACAGTTTCACACTCAGCCCTTCACCTCATAGGTCCTTCAATTGTGAGCCGCGAAACTGGCGTGTACAGCATTTTTGCGGCTAGATGGGCATCACACTGGTTTTCGATGCGGCCGTTTATTAGAGATGTTGGGTGAAGGAAAGTGCACATCCATTACAGCAACAATATCAATTGTTCGTAGAGGAGAACGGCGATATTATCAATGTTCGTAAAAAAACTTAAACTTGTTACGGAACAGATTATCGCGCCTCCGAATATCGCGCCTCCTAATACAAGAAAAAGAAAAACTTAAACTCGCTGTCCAAAAGTGAAAAACAACGCACCCTAAACCCTAAACCCTAAATTCACATTGTCGCTTAACCCCGCTCGACAAAGCGATTGCACTCGCGCTAGGACTGCGAGACATACCTCATCCGGTGGAGCGCGTTCGCGGAGTTCTGTGAGATACCACCAAGTTTCATCAGTGGTCGCACCATACAGCATTCCCGGACTCTTCCACTCAAGCTTCACGTATCCCCAGATGTCCGCCAGAGCCAGACCCCAGGTTGAATAGCTGATCATGTGTACGATCATGAAAGAAGATACTTTCTTAAAAAGTCGTATTCTTATATATAGATGCATAGCGGATTCTTATAGATGCATAGCCGTATCTTCTTCCACCTTCATTTCATTCAGTTTGACCTAGGGACTTTGTCCACGGTAAAAATAGTAATAGTTAGCTTCCTGCTGAAGTACAAAAGAACGGGATGAGTAAATAAATACGCACAACGGCTTTCGCAACGGTGCAGCTCGTACGGCGTGGGGGTGCATTTCGCGAGCATCTCAGCTATAGTCGTCAGCTTTGCACTTGAGGACGTCTTGTCGTCTCTTTAGATTTAGACCTACGAAATATTCATCCTTAACTAAATGCATCTTGACCTTTTTTCCTCTTGAAAAGACGTTGTCAAAGATACACTTCGCAAGATGAATTGGTGGAAGCTTTAATCTTTTGCCGATGTTTGTGGTGAATTTGTTCTATTGCCGGTGCTTATTGCAGTACTCGTCGTCGTGGCTGCGTCAGGAGTAGTCCATAGTTGTTCCAATATCGGTCGCTGTATTATCGAAAACAAGTCTGTTAAACCGACATGGAGTTAGAAGTGATGGCAATGTCAATGCATGCTTGTGGTCGCAATAATGAACGAATCTGATATTGAGTCTACATCAAAGCGCATAGAACTTTATTGATAACGCTCACATCAATCAAGAAGTACACTATCGACTCATTTGGTTGATACATATCACTCACATCGATCAAGGGGTGGTAATGAAGATGAACATCATCATTATCACCGAAGAATCACATCGATTAATAGGTAGATTCTCACAGCAATAGGTACATTATCAACAGCCATCTTAATGCAAAGACTCCGCATCTGGTTCCCACTTCATCAGCAAACCTGAACCATAGTGCATACAGCCGTAAGCCCTGGCGACGAACAAGTCTTCCGAGAGACAACAGAAATGATCGTTTTTCTGCTCCATCTCTTTGAACATCTTGTCGTGATAGTTTAACCTGTAACGAGGTTTTGTTGGGGGTAATTTGAATCTAGGCCATACATTACTACATGCATCAGTACGAATTCAGGAGGATGTAAGCATCAACTAGGCAGGCGAGCGATAGATTTTTCAGGCGTAGTTGAAAGGATTCTTATACATAGTAGAAGATGATCACCAAAGCCAAGCACTTTGTATAACACCAACTACATGGGCTTAGCACCTATATCGCACGTCACAGTTGTCCGGCACGTACAATATGGCGCAACAGTGGTCAACAAGCGTCTTCAGCTTGAAACCGCTCACTTTGTGGTCCATCACTTCGCGATATTTTTCATCGCTACCTACGCTGCTAGCCCATAGTTGCTGGTCTGGATAAGGGTGGATGTCTAGGGATTAGAGGAAAATTTTTTGAGATGTCCAAGGATAATGTAATCTCTAAGTCGTCTTGCGTCACAGTTTTTCTACTAGACATGACCGACTCTTGGCTGTTGATGTCATGGGTGCACATCTAAATTCTCATCATCATAACTGCCATCTTAACTGCATACATTCGGCACTACCGTGACGCGCCCATCCGTAGGTACACGCTGGCCAGCGCTGTCGACGTACTCGGTCGGATGAGAAATTAGACGAAAAATAATGGATGCCCTCACCCGTTGTTAGAATGGCGACTCTGATGCTTCACTTCGTTCACCACTACGCTATAATGTTCGGAAGAATACGACTTCTAGCATGTCGAAGAAAAGCGACTCACTACTTCTAGAACATACCGGATGATGACTTTTGTGCCTAAAAAGTCCCTTCTTTCGCGATTACACAACTCATAAAAGAACTTCCTTCTTTGCGTTGGTGTCCCACCACTCTGCCAAACACGGCGATCGTCCGGACCAGTCGAACCAAGAGTGAGTGGTCTGACAACCGTATTTCGTAGCGACAAAGCTCCATGAGATACAGTTTTTAGAAGAGTCAGACAATTTTTTGGTTTGTTGTTGTCGAGCTAGTCTCTCTCTCTATCTACTACTCCTCTTAGTTGTCCTTCGCAGTATCTATGATGCCTCAAGGTCCTTGTTACGCAAGTTCTTATGGACTGTCATGTGATTGCTCCGTGACCGTGTTGCAGTCCTAGCTTTAGCTTTACTTCTTCCATCTACAGAGCTTATTTGTGACTTACTATCAATCATGTTCGTGGTCTTAACTACTTTCTCTTTAGCGACATCGCAGCAGTGGTGCGCAGCGTTCGCACGAGAAAGATGTTTGTCATGTATTTTGAATCTGTACCGCACATCGCATTCGTCAGGGACATCACGGCCAGCGTGACAACAATGCTCTGCGCTAGAAGCTTCGCCGTATGCATGATAATCAGGACAAGTTTCTATGGTTAAGGGCCGCCCGGTGCGGAACCATTGCAGAAGACACCGAGTAGGCTTAGAAGTCGTGGCGGGAGAGTCTGCGGCAACACTTCTGGGTAGATTAGTCACGGCAGCCGCAAAGAGAAAGAACGAAGATGAACCTTGGCGACCCATTGTGACGTCGTACATGCTTATTTTTCTTGGTATTAACAAAATGTCAATTACAAATTTCCATCTTGTTGTTGCTTCGTTTTTATATGCGCTTTCTTTGTTCTCTACTGTGGCAGTACTATCGCGCTTTCACTTACCGCCCTTAAGACTACGCAACTCTCTCTCTCGCATGTTGACACGCATCAACATCATTCAATCGCCCCCGTGAGTAGACAACAAATGGACCAAGTTCCCAAGGGCTGTTGAAAGACTCTTCCAGTTGTGCTTGTGATACGGGCATAATACAACGCAGGCATACGCAGAAGCTAATTCTTTACAAGCACGACAGGCGGTTCATCTTTTTAATAAAATATCAAGAATATTCCAAGTAGACACGACTCATTCACTCATGGCTCATCAAGTGGCGAATGATTGTATATCGTATATTTCATCACCAGGTGATCAGGGTCTACTGCTGGAGAAAAAGTTTCATGTCTCTTCTTGATCTTGTCAAGTAACAGCGAGTGACAGCGCCGAATCAAAATGACAGACAAAATAAATGGAGGTTGAAAATAAATGGAGATTGATGATTGAGTGGAATAGTTAAATGGATGGAAGTGGGGACCATGGTTGATGTTGACGTTGAATGATTGACTTTTAACTTGATAAAAAAATGTAAGTAGATGTTGTAAATTTGGATTGAATAATGGAAATGGATTGTTTTTACCACAACTGAAAGTGTAAGTAGATGAAGCAGTGAAGCATTAGCATTTTCATTATATTGTAGTTGTAGTTCTTCTTCTTGTTTCGTTAAGTAAAACTGCAATGAATAAGTTCTTCTTTGTGCGGTACTCCACTCAAAATATATGTTGTGGACCCGAAGACGGACCTGCTACCTGAAATAGACAATCTGTTCACTACTAGTATAGAAAAAAAAACCCAAGAATAACGAGCACACTAGAAGCTGATACACGTCGTACAGTTACGCAGATGTTGGTTTTGGTCAGCATCATGTCATGGAGCATATGAAGTCATATGTTTTTCTATTCACAATGGTTAAGGTTACATGAGATCGCTGACAGACAACCTATTTGGATTGGGACATTGGGAGATTTCAGACATGCTGTCGTCTGTCGATAGCCAAATAACAAACATGCACACAGAAAGGCTCGACAAGGACAAGTGATGTCCTTCTATGTCATTTTTCGTTCTTTCCCTCCTTGGAGTTGGAACCAAAATAAATCGTGAAAATAAATCGTGTAAAAAGTAGGTCAAGAGAAAATCCAAGGCATAAAAAATGATGATAAAAAAAGAGAAAAAAAATGATCAGAATTAGAATGTTGACAATGCTATTCATTTTCTTTTTACACAGACATCATAGTACTAACTTTTTTGTGTTGAGCGACTAACTAGAAAAAGTCCTCTAAAGCGTACAAGGAAAGAATGGATGCCCCCTGAGCATAGTTAATATCGCGCGAGAGGTTCCTTCTGTGCAATCGATGCATAAAGTAGGTTGGTTCTTCCTCTTCAAAAGAAATTCCGATAAATTACTGTAGACACAACATGCAAAGACTAGACACGAAGAGGATGACACAGACTTCACATGACAATGTCCTCTGATGCCACTTAGACTGCCAAAAATTTTCAGACCCGTGATCTTCATATTAGCTGCCCTTACTAATTAGTGCACATGCTTACACCTCATGCACCCAAGAACCACTTAGAACTCTAATCAGAAGCATACTTGTCGTGGTTATTGCCCCACATGCACATCACCTCGGGCTCCTGATGTCGCAGCAAGCAAGATTACGACACCCTGACAGACCCCCGTCGCGAGCCCAAACTATGTAAGGAACCAGGAGTTTCCAGCAGTGGAGTGGCCAACGACTTCGATGACAGTCGGAAATCTCCTTTCCCACTATCGCGTGACCCTGCAGATGATCCGAGGGTTCGCTTCCATGCATCCCATAAGAGATACAGTGGCAAGGAGACTGTCAAAAATTGCACTCCCGTAAGGCAGCGGTTTACAGGAATGTAATCGCCGTCGAACTTCTGGAGGACAGGGTTTAGAGGAGAATCTAAACAGCACAAGTTCAAGTGCTGGTGCTCCATAGTTAGCACATTACGGTCCATCACAAGCGAGCACATTGCGGCACATCACATAACAGTAGAGCATATTACGGTCCATCACATTTGAGCACATAACAGTAGATGCAGGTAATATTGCGAGCTGTTCACGATGCCAGCGATGCTCATCACTGCACCGTACAGTTTCCCAAACGAGGCAAACCCGAAACGCCTAGAAGAAAACACCGCAATCATCGTGTACAAGAGTGTTAGAGGTCGTGCCTCTAGTTTGTCCCTCCTTGAGATCGTCCTCCTTCAACAAGAATATCAATATTATCCGACTTCTAGTAGGTAGGGAGCTTGATGAGGGACGGATGATCGATCCCTAAATAGTAGAGACAGAAAGATTATACAAGATGGACTACGTACGAGAGGGAAGTAATACTTATGAGTAGCCTTAAAAGTGGTCGAGCAAAGGAGATGAGAAAGAACGCTGTTAGCTCGTAACCAGCTTCCTCGAAACACTCGAAGAGAAGAAAGAGAACCCACAGCGTTGCCCAAGACGCGCACATACCACACTGATCAGTGATAAAACCGATCAGGGGAACGCCGACGATACCTGCTATGTGGAGATGTGTGTGTAGTGGGAGTGATAAGATTAGAGGTAGGCTTTTGGTGCTTGCTTACCCCGCTTTTTATGCCTTTCTCCCTTAGGAGAGGCATAAAAAGCGGTAAGAAAAGCACCTTTAACCTACCCTTAAGAAGAGTAGTTGTGGTCCTTAGAAGGAGGCTATCGCAATTCTATTCGATCAGGATGCATTTTCCAGGCTAACCGATCCTTAAATATAACTGTAAAAGATGATGAACCCATCTCAACAAAAGAACGTTGAAATTGGTCAAAACAAACTACCTGCAGCCGGCAAAATGATTGAGAACAAGTGCGTCCTATTATCCGCTTGTTCCCATGACGTAGAGAATTCGTTCATCTGCAGTGGCACACTCTCGATGAAGAAATTGAGCCGGACCATGTAACAGCTCGCGGCAAACGCGAAGAGGAGAAAATCCACGGAAGAGACTTGTTCTGTCAGAGACAAGCCGTCGTATACCGCGTATTGGCCGCGTTCTATCTGCAACACAGAGGCCCAAGACCAGTTACTGAGAGGAGAGCTCTTTTTCGAAGGGACTCTGGAATTGGAAGGACTTCTACAAGGCGACGCTGAAGGTGATGCATGCTGGGCATTAGAGATGATAGAGGATCATTGCGATGAAGATGCGTTCAGTATCTATGAGGATCAACATGTTGACACCTTCTAGTTCTTCTAGAGTAATCATGCTACAGAACTCTTCGTAGCCATAAGCATTGTAGAATCTACCATGGTCCGAGCGGCTTCGTCTGGCGCATCCTTGAGTTTTCTTTGTTGTTTCGTTGTGGAAAGGGGTTATGAAAGGGTAAAGTGGAGAATCATATGGAGAGAGAAAAAGCACAGTGGGGATGACTGTGACACTCTTTAATAGGGAAAGGTTTTTCCCACATCAAGGACTGGCATAGCGACAATGAATGTGTATCAGTGACATCATTTATTGAAAAAGAATTAGTGCAGCTTTTTTACATAAGAAGCCCGTTTCTGCAGGAAAAGGGCTTGAAGTTCCATTGGCCGAGGATCTTTTTGGTGTTATCTGATCGATATCGATGACGTTAATCACTAGCGATGTTCCATCAGGCAACGGCGAGCTCGTCCGTCTAATGTGTGGCTCACCACGATCTATGCTTTTCCTCGCCTCCGGACTTTTAATCGTTTCGTCTGCTGGACTCTTCTTGTTAGAGCGTAAACCATTATGAATCAACAATCGGAGTTGTTTCAGAAGACAAAGTGCAAGAAAATCAACATCGAAGATCTCTTCAATCCCTGCTATTACCATCTAGTATACAATACAATACAAGTAATCTCGCACAAAGCTCAGTGCAGACTGCCATAAGGGCGTCCTAGATGGTGCCTTAACCTCGTCTTTCTCTGCTTCTATTGGCGTGTCTGGATACACGAAGAAGAACAACACAGCAAAGGTAAAGCCGACTAACGAATAGGCCTGGAAGACGGTGTTGAAGGGGAACACACTCATCAGGATGCTCAGAAGCACGAAAATGCAGCTACTGGCGTCGAACGCTCCGACGCATGCACTAGTGATCAGACCACCATTTCGTGGATACAAGTTCGCGAAGCTGATGGTGCACATGTACACGAGTGGTCCAACTACAGCCATCACCTGGAAACCGGTGTAGTTTAAAGATTGCGACATTGCAGTCCTGAGATGAACATCCTTGCTCTATTTTCGGAGTTGTACTTGAAAAAAGGTCCAGGATGTAAGTGGAGGTTGTAATGTGGTAAGCCTTAAGTAGTAAAATCCCGATCCAAAGAGCAGCGAGCCTAAGGCGCTGCAGCTCACGGCGATCATGCCTGCTTTTCGTGGTCCTAGGGAGTCTAGGAGAGCTCCAGCAAAAAAAGTTGTGACATTCAGAAGGGTGGTCGCCAGCGTAAACATGAGACTAAGATCTAGTTGTTGTCTCTCACATGTTTTCGGCTCTGGAGCTTGGTCTTGATCTAGTTCTTGCAGTGCTGAAGAATGTTGATGTAATGGAAAAGATTGTTCTTCATCTAGTTCTTGCAGTGCTGAAGAATGGATTGCTCCTGAGGTTGGTTGTTCTTCATCTAGTTCTTGCAGTACTGAAGAATGCTGATGTAATGGAACGGACGAAGAAGATGCAAGATCACCAACAAGGGTTTTCGCTTTCCTTAGTACTATCGTGTTCAGGTCCAGCATTGCCCTGAGGTCATTGCTAAGATGCACTCCTACTCTCTGTTCGGCGTTCTTCAGCATGCTACTTGCTGCTTGCCGTTTTCCTGCTTCTTCCTGCTCAGAGAAAAATCGCTCTTGAACGAGAGCGATCAGGCCTACGTTGCGGCTGATAGTTGGCACTTCAGCTTGGTCACCCAGTTCCAGCGTGATCGGACGCATTTCTACGTTCGACGGAGCAAGGCAATCGCCATAGAATACGCCGTGTGGGATTAGAGGGTTTTCAGTGCAATGTTTTTACGATCATTCAGTGTTGTTCAAATTCGAAGAAATAGTGTCGATGACAACATGATTATAACTGAGAGTGGTTCTTTCTGCGTCATGATCCCCGTTCTTTAAGTGTTTAAGCCACCGTCGGTTAGGCTAATCACCATTGCACATATCATACTTGTATCAATCTCGGGTACAGCGCAGCAAATCCGTAGACCAGACCCGTGCAGGTTAAACTACTCCCGACACCTACCGAAATGGTGACAAGCTTCCGCCAAGTTGGCATCCTTTTTGGCGGTGGCAACGATGTCGCCAAAGCCTCTTGCCCTTTCACCTCCTCCATGATGGTCGCTTATTGGTCGCTTATCATATATAATATGGATTGTGGGTCAGGATCGCCTCCTCCTTCGCCTAAGAAAGTATCTCTATACAAGGACGCTACTACAACTATGTATTCCTAGACTTGTAGACGCATCAAACGGCATAGTGGTGTGTCGATTCGGGTGTGACCTACGATTTGTGACTTTCCGGCACAGTGTTGCTCGTTATTCTGATGTTGGCGGACTATGACACAACAAGATCTTATTGTTCAGACCAAATCACATTTACAAAGACACAGAAGATTTGTTTCATTTGAGAAATCAAAAAAAAGCAAAAGTTGAATTGTGATGATGGTATGCCAAAAAAACTGTCAGCTACTTTTTATTTTAGTTTCCCAACATCGTTTCAAACCGACTTGGAATTCCCCTTCTTCTTCTCACCACACTCGCCCATGTAGTCAAGCTCTCTCTCAGTCACTCAAAAAGTCCCTCTTCCAATGCAGTGCCGTCGAAAGTTTGCCTCTCGAAGCTCTTTTCCCGTCCAGCATTGTTTCCTGCACTATTTCCACCATTGTCTCCTCCTTGTACTAGTCACTCCTGCTCACTCACTCGCAGTCCTTTTGGGTTGGTGAACACCTATTCTGAGTCACAGCTCCACCAACTAGATTCCAGAAGTCAAAGTCTATAATGTTAATGGTCTTATTTTTAAGTCTACTTATCAAGATGCTGATCCTAGATCATGAATGCTGCACAATTTGAATTGACCTTTGGCAGAATCCTTTTTCTCAGACATGATGTTGTGGTACACTTAATGACAGTGGACCTTGCGATGATCACTTAATGACAAAGGACCTTTTGAATATTTTGAAAAAAATTACACGCGTCTTTGAGACTGAAAAGCTGACTGTGGTGAATGCATGGAATAAATGCTTATAAGTAATACTTGATACTTGATACATAAAAATACTCAGTACTCACAGACAAGAACCCCTCTCGAATAGGGACTGCCCATGAGCACTCGCGTGGACAAAGAAGCATTTTTCCACATCACTGCCTGCGAGACGTCCGAAAAAAGCGACCCGTCATGAACCAGGACATCGGTTTGCTCGACTTGGATTTCTTGCTGTTGTTGGACTACTTGTACATCTTTTGCTTTATCTTTTTGTTGATGAGCTTCATCTTGTTGCCCTCCACCTCCTGAAGCCTGTCCTGAAGATCGTCCTGGTGAAGGGTCACCTCCTGCAGTAGTTCCACGACCTGGTGAGTTGTCCGAGTCATACAAGCCTCTAAACTTCATCTCTAGTAAGCCACCGGGACATCGTCCGCATGCGATGCGAGACGATTCGAGAGCGAGCCCGTTGTCACAGACTGTTTGCGAAACGTGAGGTAGAGGGATGCTGCCGCCGTGTAGTGCTACAACGCTACTATCAGAAGACGTTGATGACGTACTGGCAGAAGATTGAGTAGATTCCACAGAAGTTGCAGAAGGTCTTGTTCTTGTGCGCTTACTACTACCAGTAATAACTGCCATATTATCGACTAAATGGATGGGCGTGAACGAGTGGACGAGCTCCAGAGTTGTGCCTTTCTCGACGTCTGTCCGCAGCTTGTAGACATACACCACTTGTGCTGGAGGGTCAGAGAGGAATAAGAACTTGCGGTCTGCCGTCACCGCAAGCCCATTAGCTGCTTCAAAGCGGTCGCTTGTGGCGGATTCGCATGTCCAAGTTGAAATCCCTTGTTCTTCAGAAACAGAGTCGTTCGTTAATTGAGAGCTCCCACTTGACGAGGCCGTCTTCGAACAACGTATCAGACGTGTTTGGAACGTTAGACGTGTTTGGAAGATTAGACAGATACATTCACCATCGAATGAAGCCCCTTAGCTTCATCTTAGCCAAAGCCGACTACATCTACTGCTTTCATCATATTTTCGAATGAGCTGCAGCCTTTGCGAATTTCAAGGCGCGTTGTAGTGCTGGATTTGATTGCAGCCCATTTTCTGGCACATCTGCTGGTTGCCATTCGCTTACGAAAAAGGTGGATCCATCTATAGCGCCTTCCACAATATCATTCAATCCGCCACGTTTGGTTAGAACAAGATTGGTGGCTCATGATATGGAAGAAATCAGCACAAAGGCAGTGACTCCTGCAACTTGTGGAATTGCTCAGATACTGGAACAACCAGGGCGGCATTTTCTGTAGGACAAGAATCGTTTTCCTCATCACAAGCCGTAACTTAAACTCAGGAGATCGCACGGTCTCCAGATGCCGTAAGGAAGAAACACCCGATAGTGAACCTGTCATTTCATCCCCCTGATGAAATTGTACTTCAACGATCTCCACTGCAGTGTCTTTCTTCGAATGGTGAACGACGTATAGTTTCCTCGTCGCAGCACTATAAAACATGCCATGGAGAGCACTAGTCGCAGGCAGAACTCCTGGAAATTTCGAATCTGATGAATCAGAATCTTGTCCTCCGGGTGAAGATGTAATTTCCAACTTTTTCGCCTCTCCATTTGGAATGTCTATTAAGTAGATCCCCGGATGAAGATTCCTGTTGGACGATGTTGTAGAAGCGCTATCTGTTTCCCCTTCTGCCTTCAATCCCTGCGTCATGTACGTCCATACGTCTCCACTAGCGGCGAAGTACAAGCCGTTTTCTTCATCATAGGCAGTGAAATCTTCAAAGGGCAAAGTCGACTGCAGCTCGTCGTTCTCAGTATGGGACTCTGAGTCAGTGTCCGAGGAAGAAGGTAATGATAAACCTTTGATTTTCGTCACACTGCATGACCCGGTCTTAGTAAGTGGTGCATCCACATTCCTACTGGCGGCTTCTTCCTGCTCTCCCTCTCGCACAGCTCCACTTGATCCACTAGAAGATGCATATTGCAGTCGTAGAGGTTGAAAGCGGTCTTCGAAAAACTCCACGTACTTGAAGTAACCAAGACGATCCACCAAGTCGATCTTGACTTTGTAGGCAAGAAAGATGCCAGTAAGCAGCCCCAGGAATAACTTCGGAGGTAACAACGACATCTTTTTCTGGGTCGTCCCTCTTTGTGCTGGAGGATAGTGCCCTGACTACAAATAAATTGAGGAGCAAGCAAACCTCTCCATTTCTTTTCACGTGGCTTGTGACCACTGTCTTCTGTTTTTTACACAAGTGGTTCCAGTTTGGCTTTACAAAATTGGGCGTAATTTCACTCCGCAACTAGGTCGTGTGCTAACAGCTCTACACCACAGGTAAAACTTATCCAGCACACTGCTTGCTGCGCCTGATGTTACCCTGTGCGTTCGATTGATGTTATTGATTTTTTGATTGATTTACCTAGTCATGAGGTATAGAAGGGGCTGCCATATTTTTGGGGTGGGGGTTGCATGTTCTTAGTGCTTGCCTTTTCTTTACTGCTTTTCTTCATTTCATCACTTCTGCCTTCTTTTGTTTGCATTCAAGTGATGCTTTTTAAATATGTTTAAATAATTACATCCCACAGCCATGTTTTTACGAATCCTTTCATGTCATACAACCATGCACTTGCTCATGCGCTCATGCCATCATATTTTTGTATACTTACGTCTTCATCTTCTTGAGCTTAGTGCTCCTTGTATAAAATGTTGAAGGTGTTGTTCATCTGCGAAACCCATTAGATCTCCTCTTCCGCCGGCGCTTCATATTCCGGATCGTTATCTGGATCTCTTCTCGTATGGAACGGCGATCGCTTACCATCGGACCCGTAAAACCGACCAGTGAAGGTGATGTCTGCGTCCAAGAGAAGGTAACAGGGTGTACGCGCGCCTTCTTCGGGATATGAAAGATGGTTGGATTTTTATGCATTGTTTTTTCGGAACACAATCCGACGAAAAGGCAGAAAAAGCCGGCGAAAAAGCTCGCTTTGCCATCTTTTTTGCCCTTTCGCATGATTCTGACCGAAACACCAAAAAGCCAAAAAAGCCGGCGAAAAAGCCTGGCTTTTTTGGTTTTGGGAATTGTATCCAAAGGCAGTTTGTCTTTTCATATACGCGCGCCATGTTCGGGATATGAAAGATGCTTGAAAGTGTGAGTAGTAGATAAAAGACAACATATTTATTAATCCGTATTGTTCAACTCATAAAGGCGTCAGCATGTTCATCTGTTGCGGTGTCTTCCCTCGCGCTTCGCACATAGGCGCCGTCAAGTCGGTGATCACGAAACCAGGTGAACAGCTGTTCACTAGGACTTTTCCTTTCTGCTGATGTGCTACTTGTCGAGTCCATGCGTTCATCAAGCCTTTTGACAGACAGTAGGCAAACTGACCCCGTCCGCCCAAGCGCATGCCAGCTGCAAGACAGCCGATCCCTTGCAGTTGTTCGCTTACTGCGTCGTTTTTCTTAGAAGAGAGAAATTTGATGATCGTTTGCGATCGGAATTCTTTGAAAGCCGGTATCGAAATAAAGGCGTGGGCCGTGCCACTGCCTACTCATCATCTAGTCCTGGGTCGAGTAGCAAATTACAGGAAGAAAAACTGAAACTTCTCGTTCTATAAGCCCCTGCAAAAAGCTTGAGTCAATACAGCATCCTCATGCTGTTCCGTACAAATAGTTCTACTAGTCAATAAAACAAGTCCAAGAACGCCTGCTCATAGTGTCTCCACCACAGTCAAACGCCTTTGCAGCCCCATCAGCAAGAGCTTCCAGAGGTGCTGTTGTCCCAGTCCTATCCATCAACTTTGCCACTAGTTCCTCTGAGGCATTCGCAAAAAAGCCAGGTCCCGCGCCACTGTTAACGTTCACTATACGGGGAAGAAAACCTTGTTGGGCGGGTGATAATTTTAGTACACTTCGGGTGAAGAAAACCAATTAATACACTTCACACCCCAATGAGAGCCTTAACCCTATACGCGACCGAGTGGAAACCGGCTCTCCACACGCCCGCAACAGCATCCGGCGTCGGTTCGTGGTAAGTCTCTCTGATCAGGTCGGCGGCGATGAGCTCTCACCCACGACCCAACGCCCAAGGCATAGATTGCAAAAAAAATGCAGAAGCAACAAAAACGGGAGCAAAGAGTCGAAATTTGCAGACAACGCGCCCCCGCGATCATTCTGACGACGGGCGCGGCGTGTGTGCCCTCCACGATGGGACCAACATACCCGAGCGCGATCCCCTTGAACATAACGACGACCACGACGAACAGGGCGCCTTCGTGCGGGGCCTGCGCGGCGGGCACGGCTTGGGGTGCTGCTGTACTGGTGCCCGGCCGTCGCTCTGGCGTCGGCTCTCCGCCTATTCCGGTTTCCGAAGGGATGGAGAGAATTGCGCAACGAATGCGCCGCTGCACTCTTCCCGCGCTCTACTCTCAAGGCGTTTCCCCCCTCTTCAGTTTTGAGCTTGCGGCAGCTGCTGCCGCCAAAACTTAAAGGCCCTCCCTGACGCAAGGCAAGCCGTTGCCTTTGCAAATCGCGCGATCTCTTCCAAGTGGTTCGAGCGTACCGCTAACGAAGTGGCCCTGTGCGCGCGGGGATGCGAGATATGGGGCTGCGCCGGAGCCGAGCAGGCAGCTAGGTTTGCCGGAGTTCGCGCCGCTTCAGGGTAAGCCCTCTCCGTGGCCATTTTGTTGCCGGGTGTCGAAGTTGACGAACTTGCCGAAGGGATGGGCTACTTCTACGACCCGAAGAGAGGTAAGTACTTTCTTGAGCTCATCGCAGACATGTTGTATGACAATATTTTTAAAGCTGCTGTTGGCGCAGCTGAGTGAGTATACCATAAAAAAATGTAGAAATAAATGACTTCCAGATTGAGTCCGAGTCTAAAATACACTACCATTGCATGCCCCCAATATTGGCAAAAAGGCTTCCGTTACGAGGACGCAGCCAGTGAAGTTCAGCTTCACACATAAGCGGAGCTCGGATCCACTCACGTCGCTGCCCAAGTGCTTCCCGGCAGCACCCATGCCACCAGCATTGTTTAGTAGACCCAGTGGTTAGAGAAATATTTTGATACGGCAAATTACAGGGGAGATTGGGTGGGCTCTCGATCTAGTAAAAAGTCGTAAAAGAGTACTTATACGTGTAGGAGCAAGCAGGACTTCCACCATCTTCAACTACAACACAAGTTTTAGAAAGAAGTCGATCACAAGGGTGAAAAAACGGCGCACGAGCGGCATTGATCCTCCTCTCATAACACAACTGCATCTTTTTGTCCGCGCATATTGTTTGCACTGTGGCAGCAGCTGTCTTGATGCTACCCGCGTCACAGGGGTCGATCAGGAGAGCAGTTGCGCGGCTGGGGTTACTCAGCCCTTCCACCGCAGCTTCTCCTCGACCTTTGTCTCGTGACCCCAGGAAAAGGAAGGTGTCTGCATTGTCTTTGAGGATCTTGTCACAGATAGCTAATCCGATGCCCTTGTTGCCTCCAGTGACGACGACCGCGCGTAGTGTGGGAGCACTCATGGTGGTGCTCGTTGTATGCCTCTTGTTGGGTACAGCAGGTTATTTTTAAGGAAGTAGATGTTGTCAGGAGTATATTAGGAACTCGACGTTTCTTCGAGGTGAAGGTGTTGTAGTACTGATTTTAAGAAGCTACTGGCCAAAACGAGAGGCAGTAGGATTAGGATTAGGATTCAGTCCGCCGTCCACAGTTTTACCTGCATACTCGAGCGGATTAACGCAGCCGTAGAAGGACTGCAATGTTTAAGCAGTAGTTCTCATCTAACCTATTCCCATGTTCTCGCTCTTGTTGTCTTAGGAGCAAGTATCAAGATCCTTCGGTTCTCTACCAGTAGTACTTGTTCAATAAGCCGGTCTCACTGTAACTCATACGGATCTCATATCGGAACACGACCTATTCTCAGGAGTCTTGATTTAATACATGGATGACTCCTGTGGTCATTATTCCTCCGCTCTAATATTTATCGTTTATCTGATCGCTCAGAAAATAAACGATCAGCGAAGGAAGATTGATTGATTGTTTGATTATACATAGAGTTAGTCTCTGCACACTGTTTTTGTTTCTTTGCTTCTGATGTGAAATTAAACAATTAACGACATCACAAAAGCTGTTCTAGAAATTGAAGTAACAGCTCCTAGATTCCAGAAGTCAAAGTCTATAATGTTAATGGTCTTATTAAGTCTATAAAGATTCTGATCCTAGATCATGAACGCTGCACAAGTTGAATTGACCGTTGGTGGAATCCTTTTTCTCAGACAGGATGTTGTGGCACACTTAATGACAGTGGACCTTGCGATGTGCATGTGAAACGAAGTAGACCTAGTAATTTTACTGACCTGCTTATTGCAACAAGCAATGGAGGGATTAGAAACTGAATTCAATCCCCCCTTTTGTACGCAAACATAGAACAAAGTTCATAAATCAGGCACCTCTAGAATACTTGAGCCCTATCTTCCGGTAGTTTTCGCCTACTTTGATTGATTGGTGTGCCTGGCAAGAGGTTATTTTTGAGGCTTTATGTCCTCGTTTCTTCTTCTCTTCTTTTTTTGCTCCTCCTTTGCATTTCTTCTCATGTCTAGGCATGAGACATTACGATCATCCGATGAATTGATACAAGTACTAAGTAACTTGACATATATAATTTGACATTACGATCATCCGATGAATTGATACAACTACTAAGCAACTTGCTTCCTCTTCTATGTACAGTCCTAAAAATGAAAGCTTCTACTAAGGCTCAACCTCTACAAATTTCCAAAAACCGCTCACGCCACGGTCTACCGCATGTGCGTAAGGAGCGACATACCAAGCGATAACGCCAAAGGAATAACGATTGGACCCGAAGCTCGTCCCACAGCGCTCGACTTCTTGTTCTCATCGTTGAGATGTTAGATTTTTCAAAAAACGGAAGCAGTAGTACGGAGCTAAATTTCGTTACTTCAAGCTAACTAGCTACTTCAAGGTAAAGGTACAAGAAAGAAAAACTCTAGTGCAAAAATTATGTCTAGCCTTAATTATCGTTTGACCCAGAACCACCGCCACTACTGCCGCCACCGCTTCCGCTGCCACTGCTCTTAGTACCAGGCAAGCGTCGCATGAAAGCAGACGGTTGATTCTTATCCGAATGTGGTCCTCGTTCAACACCCGTTTTAGGACTCAGCCGTCGTTTTCCCTCCAATTGTGCAATTGCAGTCCTTATTTCTTCCTCACGACGATGACCTTGCTGACCTTGCTTAAAGGTAGTTTTTCACTATCCCGAGTCGAGTGGGTTGCCCTGCGTTCCCCCTATCGAGGGGAGGTTCCTCCTAGATCAAGGGGGACTCCACTCAGCATAGTTCAGATTCCCCCTATCGAGGGGAGGTTTCTCTTTAGATTGATCAGGGGGGACTCCACTCAGCATAGTTCACGCGGGATAGTGAAAAATTACCCTTAACTTGATGACCTTCCTTATGATCGTCCTGTGCAAGAACTACAAGAGGACCTACAAGTGCACCATTTTCATCAATACGTTCTGGTCCGCCGATGCGTTCTCCAACTTGAGCAGCCCTCCCGGTGATGAAGAGAGGCAGTGCAACGCTGGCGCAGGAAGCAATGAGGAAAAGCCGGATTGCAAAACCTGCGCAACACAGCAAGAAAACGAGTGGCTGTTTTCGAATCATCTTTATCTTAGTTAGTCAGTCTTAGGCTTAATAGATTAGGTTAGAATAGATGGGGATCTACTTAGATTAGCTTAGACTAGATTAGCTTGAATGTTGTACTTGCTTCCACGAAATCACACTAACTGACACTACACACTGCAACACTAAAAAACTAATTGATCTCACTGGAGGTGTCGGTTAAAGTAGAAGTAGTAAAGAGTAGATAGATTCTGAATCAATTAGCAAAAATGAATGGAAAGTAAGCCACTACCTAGATAGTAAATATGCCTGCTGCAACGCAAGCGGATGTAATATAAGCGCAGTCAAGAAAGGTCTACGTTTACATCATTGTTATCACAAGTCTACCACAAGAGCATTATAAATTCATGCTGGGCGATGGGGATGCCTATACCCAGAGGAGTTCAAGAATGAACTCCCTTTTCTTATAGCCTGTTGATGTAAGTAAAAGGATTCAATTGCACTGGCAGTCATCTGACAAGAAATGTAATGTAGTTTCTCTCAACACCCCAATAGATTTTCTTCAAGCTTTTTCTCCTCAAGAATGGAATACACTCGTTTGGGTGTCCTCCCCTCGTCCACTTTGCGTATAAGTAGTCTCTCTTTTCACTTGTAGCGGTCTCTCGATGATCTCGGTCTGAAGCAAGGACCTACCCTCAATCCTCTGCCCTGAATGAAAACGGTCTTTGAGAAATACGAACACGCTTTATCATAATACATGTCCTCGCATTCAAGGAAATCATCCTTATCTTCTCGTGTTTTTTCTAGGGAACAGCTTCCCATACGTCCTCGCATTACTGACAGGACGTCGAGTTTTGCTGACTCTCCTGAACTTGAGTTGCAGTCACCGCTTTTGCTGACTGTGCAAGAATCTTCTTTGAAACGAAAGGGACGACACAAGCGTTTTCGAGGAACATTCTTCCTCAACACTAGTAACATTGGACGAGTAGGAGAGAAATCCCTCCATCTAAACAAAAGTGATTTGGATAATGAAACCTATACAAGTAAATGGAATAAGCCCCAAGTAAACATCCTCGCCCCTCACTAGTACCTTCATCAGTAACTCACGAGTAAAACCCCGCCGATAAACCCTACCCCATAGGAACTGGAACTACAGTGTAAATGAACTCTACTGCATGCTATGCAAGAGATAGGGTTTGTGATGTCCACAAGTCCGGGGGAACCACTGAGTCTGGTTTTGATTGGAGTGGATGGATCACATGGAGTAGCATGGAGCTAAAGGGGGAGCTTCTTGCGCCCCTTAAAGCTCTGCGCTCCATGCACTCCATGCTACTCCATGCATCATGCGTGCTATAAACTACTCTGTTATATAAAGTAGAGAAAGTTGTAGATATTGCATAGACAGAGGATCTACAGGACCCACAGAGAGTCTCAACATCTTCTAGAATGCTGGTGAGCCATCTCCACCGTCGTTCTCTTCCGGATAGAAGTTGTCGTTGTCACTCTCCTCGATTAGTTAGCGGTAGGTTTTTGGTGTTCGTTTATCCCGCTTGTTATGGCTGTCCCCCTTAGGAGAGCCATAACAAGCGGTAACAAAAGCACCTTTAACCTACCCTTAAATTAGGTCGTCTTCTTCTTCGTCTTTCTGCTTTTTCTCTGCACCTTTATTCATCATCGCCAGTGCAGCGCAACCACCAAGAACAACGAGACCACCAAATACTCCCACGTACATCATCGGAAGGATTAGAGACGAGATGATGAACCACTGTAGCCACTATCACATTGCAGTATGTCTAGCTGTTGAATGCTGATGCTCTGGGAGGTGTCACTGTTTCTGTCTATTTCCTGTTTCTGTATATATCACAGGAGTGGAGGGAGATCAATGTTACTAGATTAGAGAGATGATGGTCCATGGATTCTAGGGAGATCAATGTTCTCACAAGAGTCTGATTACGAGATTTGAACCTAGTTAGTAGTGCTAGATTCCTTGGCAAAAATGTTATTACCATCATCATCTATATTAAGGAAACAATTTTACTATGTATCAGTTGACTCATAAGTTTCCGCCACCTGCTGCTTCTACTGTAGTTTCTTCCGCTGCCTCAGTGCTATTTGTTGCAGCACCTTCGGGTTCTGTCGTTGCTGCATCGTCACTATCCGTAGCTGCATCACCACTAGTGTCGCTGACACTGCCAGATGAAGTAGCTGAAATCGTTGGTGGTCGTGATGGAGGCATTCAAAAGTACTTGGACTGGTTGCAGGTATTGCGGCACAGGCACTGTAGAATATGTTCTGGTCATATCACAACTTACTCTAAAAAATTAGCTTATTCAAAGAAATATTAGATGTGCCTGTTTTAGAGATCATCGCTTCCGCAGTCCTAGTGTCTTTGAGATGTTGGTGCTGGCCACTTCCATCTTCTGCGTTGTGCGGTACGTCACTTCCATCTTCTGCCACTTCTTCATCTTGGTGTACTTGTTGCTGTTGGAATGCAGCATGCTTCTTGTTCACAACAGATGCAGTTTTTACTGTTGTTGCTTCCTGGTGCGTGCCTGATCCTGAAGATGAAGAGCCAGACGACGAAACTTCTTTTATTCCAGAAGCATGTGGATGCTGTCTGTCTCTTGTCACTTCCTCCTTATCCTCCACTTCCTTCGTGTGTGTTTCTTTTCTTGTGTCTTTCACATTTCTCACCCTTTCTACAACGTCCACATCTTCTCTCTGCAACAACAGCCTTGTCTCGGCATTAGGCGGAACGACGACTGTAGCCATATCTGCCACGGCGATGACAGATCCAACTGCGAGGCTTGACAGCCTCCATGAGGGCTTTGCCATTTTTCTTCGAAGAGGTGGCATGACTCTTTGCACTTCTATTTCTACAAAGTAACTAATATATGGTACTAGTTGTACCAGAGGACGTACTTGTTGAAAGATGGAGAAGTGCCGACATTTCTAAGAAGTGGGGATCGTTTTCTCTCTGTTATCTGTGCTCAAATTGTCATAAATAATTTCCGTTTTTCCCTTTTACTGTTTACGAAATCCAATCGACTCTCGCCTCTTCCCCTTAAAAGCGGCCCAGTGCAACGTACTGGAGATTTTCCGCTGAGCGAACATACTAGTAACAAGAGTCATGTAATGTTATAATTATAATTGAGTCACGACTCTCTCTTCTCACTTTTTCGGACGCGCCACCTTCTGGTCGAAACCTGTAAAATGGACGTAAATGATCTACATGTACAGCGTGGTTCTGTCATTCGTGCATATTCTTGTGACAACTCGATATTCTATTCTTCGATTCTTACTTCTAGTCTACGTCTAGTGCGTTCCGAAGTAGCTTTTCGGTCTAATGTGGACAAAATGACTTGGCGTTTATTTTTGAAGGAAAATATGTTTTTAGCGATATAATCGATGGTTGTGAGTGGTCGGTGTAAACAAGTTCTACATAGATGTATACCAGAATGTGCTCTTCTTGACTCCTAGACCCTAAGATAATTTCCAATTCAAATTTTTTACACGTAGTATGAGAATCCTCCCGCCGAAGAAATGACCCTAAACCCTTCACATTCCCCTTGTCCTCTTGCTTTTCAAACTTGCACGTTTTACTGATTCGGTGCGTTTGTATTCCCACTCAAAATATGCTCCACATGCTGCGGCTAGCATACGCGCGTTTTGTAAGGCTATCAAGTTGTTCACTACATTCTGATCCTCCACTCCTGCGTCACCTAACAATGCCGCTTCCGCTCTCAACGCGTCGTTCATTAGACCGCCCAAATTTACTTTCAAATAGCTGCAAAATTCGTCGACCCGATGACTCTTTTTCCACGATTCGCGACAAACCTTGTTCGCAAACTTCATGGTGTCTCTGAACTCCCAATTTGCGGGTATTTTTGACGAATTAGACGTAGCAAAAATTCTCAAATTATTTTCCAAAGCAACCTCAGTGCGTGGTCGGAAAGGGATGACACCTCTGGCGGAGCCGTGGCTGAAGATCACCTGTTTTGCTTTGAGTGGGATAGCGATCAACAAGGATATGTTAGTTCTTAATCTTATTTTCAAATAACTGCTATAATAGAAAAGGCTGCGTGCTGAGAAATATCGTAAATCATAGGCGACGGACTCAGGTGTACTTAATAAGTAAAGCTGAAGTTCGAAAGTTTGCCTTACCGCGTTGCCAGGTGCGAATTCCGACAATCGCTGCCACATCGTGCCAAAATCGCCTCTATTCAAGTGCAGCTCGTCTCCTGTGAGCAGGTTTATACATGCCAGCTGTGTAATCGTTTGTGAGTCGTCGGTTTGTACGTCGATTACGAATGAAGGACGTGATTTGATGCCTGGTTCTTTTGAGGGTGATGAAGATAGGACGTTGCCTTTTGAAGCCTCAGGTGCTTCAACATCCTCATCACGCGCAGACAGGAGCGTCTTTGAATCTACCAGGTTCTTTGGTTTAAAGCTCAGCATTCAATGGTCACTGATGCTGAACGGAAGAGACCCCCTCCAAAGCTCTCCCCTTTCCCTTCCTTTTCCCCTATTCTCTAAAGGGGTCGCTTCTTCGATCTCAGTGACCAACCCCAATGACCATTGAAAGCTGAGCCTTAATTGGTGTTTGCGTAGCGGCTTCTGCCGTGGAAGGAGACACGTGTCCGGACATTTTCGCTGTAAGTCAGTTAGCTATTTGACCAAGGGACCAGGGGATTGAAGGTGGGGCTGCTTTTTGATTTTGAGTCGATCAATGTGAATACCTTTACCTTCCACTCATGTCTAGCGCAACAAGAACCTCTCAAGGTTCGCACAATGGATGCATGAACCAAAAAAGTCAAAAATTTAAGAAAGTGAAAAACAAAAACGCAAACTGAGCAACAGATTCAGATTCATCCATCAGTTTTTTGGTGCAAAAAATGTTCCTGACCGACCCCAACCGACAACAGAAAGGTAACTAACCTGCCTGTAGAAGCAAAGAAAGAGAAACAAAAGGGACAGAGAAAACAGATTCCACCGATTGTCATCATGTATATGACGGCAAGGCCCGCAACCATGATCACCCACGGAAGGCCATAGTTTGTGAAAAAATCTTACGAACTTGAGGTATCCAAGTGTGTGAGACGAAAGAAGGACGCATTCCTTTCGAACGCAATATATTCAACAACAACTGTTCAATTCATCAACGTGTATCATCTCGAGGAAAAAAAGGTGGTCTAACATCCTGGTTCTTAGACATTCCGTACATCCAAAACTCTACATACTCGGGCTTCATTCCTTGTTGTTCTTTCTGAAAAATATAGAAAACCAATAATCTTTTCAAAATTCATCTTGCCTTTCTCTCCACGGTTCTATGCGTTTACTTCCCATGATCGTCGAGATCGCTACTTCCATAGTCCACTCTTCAACAAGTAGATTCTCACAAGTTCTCACCAGCAAACCACCTTTAGAGGTTCTCCCTCGCTGCACCAGCTCCCGTTCGTGGGGCAATCAGGTTCAACTCCTGCAGTTCCTTCTGGGACAGCTTCTTGCCAGCTGCGGCATCGGCGCACATGTTCTTCACCTTCTTGATCCTTCCCATCATGTTGTGGGCCATCTTTAGCAAAGTTCGGTAATGGTTGTGCTGGATCTCCTTTTGGCGCTTGGGAATTAAAGGTGGGAAAGGGCGAAAGCGGTGACATGGAAGCTAGCATTTAACAGGAAGTAGACTTCCCTGACGCTGAATCTATTCCTCTAAGAATTGACTACTATCATGTAACTAATTGACGTAGAATCGTTTCTTCATTCGATTCTACGTGGTTCCACACGACCCATCTCCATAAGTAATAGTCAATCACCTTTTGCTTCTGGGCCAGCAAGAAAGTCTTTCCCTCTTTCTGGAATTCCACATACTCAGCCTCCTGCTTTTGGACGCGGTCAGCAGCACGCTTCTCCTGGGCGTTGGCACGCTTGATGTCACCTTGGTGGTGAGGTGAAAAGGTTCAAAGTCAAAGCCGGCTTAGTGAGTACTAAAAAGGATATAAAAGTCTTTGGGAACAATGGAGAAGAAAAATTTACTCTATCAAAATGCAAATTACCTTTGAATTTCTCGTACATGCCCTGCAACATCGGGACCATAATCGCTGGGCCACTCATGACACTATTCAGCACGTTTGCTACGGAGTTGCTGCCCGTTTTCGAATGATCCTTCAGTTTGAGATAGGCTTCCTTGACGTCGGCAGGCATGCGCTTGGTAATATCCGATTCCGGATCGGAGGAGAGAGATTAGAAGGGAAAGGCGTGAAGACTGTCCTCTGTGTTCAAAGCCTAAGACAACTGTCCTCTGTGTTGAAGGCCTAAGACAAAGAATCTTCGGCTATCTGCACATTAAACGAGGTTTGCCATTGGCTAGCAAACTGAGTGATCAAGATTTCTCAACTAGACAGACCTGACCACACCTCCTCAAACTACATCACGTCTCACCTCATAACTCAAAAAATCCCTAGCTGCCTCCAACACCGAGGACAACGATTCGACGTGCTCTCCCAGAAGCTGTTCGTTTTGGGCGATCACTGCCATATCTTCGCGGACCGCGATGCGGGCTTTGCGCATCTCTGCCGTCGAAGTGCGAACTCGAATCCCATCTGCGGTGCCCCCTGCCGATGCTAGCAGAAGGACGAGGGAGGAGGTGGTGGAAAGTTTCAACATCTTGAAGATGGTTTATAATGTTGTTGATCCTGTATAATGTTGTAGATGTAGCTTCACTTCGTAGAATCTACTTAAGTGGACCTTTTGTTGACTTCGTAGTAAAAGCTGTTGTGGTCTCGAAGATTTTCAATCTGTTGTGAGAAACAGAAGTGGCGGCTTCAGTGTAGAGCAGATGATCATGTCAGGATAGATTTCTGATAGATAAATATTGCGACGACAAGCTTAGAACATCCAGTGCTCGGTTCTTAGTACTATCTCGCTCGGTGCAGTTGCATGCATTAACGCCTACTTCCGCAGTCAGCCCTAGAGACACAGCTTTTTCCTCGACCGCCAGGTTTTCCTATCACCCAAGCAGCTTGTGCCTTCTGCTCTATGTGTCATCCATTGAAGTATGTGAAGTCATTGTGTCATCCATTGAAGTATGGACCCAAGTTCGTGTCTTCTATGATCAAGTTCGAAGTGTAGGGGGAATCATCTTACAGGCACTGCCCTTGTGTGACGAGTTCGTTCATATTATGACACGGAGGGGTACCCGCCGAATACCCGCTCTTTTTACTAAAGAAACGTAATTCTAGTTAGTGATAGATCACACGCTAAATTCATTGCGTTAGATCGCTCTGCTGTGATGATGTCAGCTAATTTTTCAGCTGGAGTAGATGCCATATATTTCAAGCTAGATACACCAGATCCGTTCATTTCTAATCAAAACAAACTGCCAAAACTGCAAAGGTCCTCGTTGTGTGCTACAACTTCTAGATGAGACTTTAGAGTCGTGATGTCTAGACTTCAAATTTCAAAGAAGTACGAAGCAAGTTAGTTGTAAAAAAAAGTTAACCATCACAGACTACACAACAAACTTTCGTTTAACCTGCACAGGTCGACGAGGAAGGCTGACTAAAAATTTTTGATGAACATTGAAAAAAATGACTAGAGCGACCAGCGCCACTTTCTCCTTGTGGTAGCATATAGATACAATAGTCACTTAATCTCATCACTTAATCTCTTCTTTCACAAAAATGTGAAGTTATATCATAATGAAAAGACTAGCGAAAAATTTCTCGATGATGATGTGAGTCTTGACCTCTTATAATTTTCTTGTTCGTGCTGACGCTTCGTGAATGTTCTATTCTGCAACGTTCCTAAGATTCGTGTCCTTCTCGAAACCACTCCCTAAGAACGTTGCTAGTCAAGAGTGCTTTCTCCCACTTTTATCCAATAAAGGACGAGCAAGCGGTGAGTGCTCTGCCTCTCTGGCTTCCTCTACTGGTTTCTGTCGCGTCGACATCCCAACACGTTGATATGCCCGATCCACTTCCTCCGAGAAATCGAGGAGCCAGCCGCTAGCTTCGAGTTTACCAAAAAACGATGTAGTTGGTGATGCATTGCTGTCGCTCCTTGATGTTGATAAGCGTGCTGATGTAGAAGTCGTTCTTTTATAAAAATTTTCGTTCATATTATTGTCGGAAGTAGATGAAGAACTGAAAGTAGTTGTACTTTTGTTTTTCGAAGTTGTACTGGCACAACCACAAGAAGATGCACTCATTCTTGTTACTGAGGACATTATCTCCGCACTCGTCTTGACTGATGAGGAGGCCCGCCCAAACATCGCGATGTAGTACGTACAAAACAGCGTCCACGTACACCCAATTACAAGATCCAAAGTGAAGGCTGCCCAGACAGCGGGTAAAGCATAGACTGGATCAGCACCCATTAACGCAGTTGCGATCGCGACTAGCGGCAAGCCTAAGATGTAATGCTGCACAGCATAGGTTATGGCTGTCTTCTTCTGCTTGCCTAGGGAGCGCCACACTCCAGCAAGGACGTTCTCCAGGGCATCGAAGAGGAAGGTGATGGAGAAGACAACCGCTAGTAAAACTGTGCAAAGCTGCTCCGCATCGGCAAGGGGTATATGGATGTGGTGATGAGAATGTTGAGAAGGACGAGTTGAAGAAGTAACCACAGTGGCATTTTTGCTGCTCGTGCTACTTAGTAAAGAGCCGTTGTTCTTCCCACCTTGTTGTTGTTGTTCTTGATCCAACGAGGAAGCATATATACTAGTTGTCTCTGATTTGTCATCTCCAAAATACTTCACCGCCAAGAGTTGCGACAAGTAGCCTATCACGTTCCTACTGCCTCCGTCTGTCCTCTTAGAAGAAACTCCCAGAATAGGGGCGTACAGCGCAACCTGCATTACAGCAAACATCACCAACACCAGCAGTGCTAGGTACACGGAACGAGCGAAAGCTAAGTCTGCACGACCCTCCCCTAAGGCGCGTCCAACGACAAACGACGCTGTGGTGACGAGCCCCTGGATCACCATGACGAGCATCAGATAGATGCTACTCACAGTCGAATGAATTGCTAGAGTTCCAGGACCATCTGCCTTCAGGGTGGCGACAAACAGGGTGAGAATTTCTCGAACCCACCACTCGGACACGCATGCGCACAGCGAAGGCACTGCAACGGACAGATACGCTCCAATCTTAGACACATCGTAGACCACGCAAGAGGAGGTTGATGAAGAAACATCGAGGAGAGGAAAGAAGTAGAGCCAAGAAGCGCATCTGTGTTGAGCTTGAGAAGTCGAAGGTAATAATTGCTCGTCTGTATCATGTGGAGGAGGTTCGAAAAGATCTACAGCAGTTCTGATCCGAGTACTCTTGTCCTTCGTTTTAGTCCTCGTCCCTGTCCCTCGTTCTTCGTTCATATGAAGCTGAACTTTAGAAGATGAGAGGTCCGGATCATGTTGATGTTGCGTAGGAGACTCTCGTGTTGAAGTTGATACATCAGTCGATGTGGTTTCACCACATGAACTTCCACCGTCGTCTTGGAGATCATCTCGCGATGGTGGACGTGAAGATAGAGATAGTATTCCTTGTGTTTTCTCCATCAATAATTCCTGTTTCATCTTGTTCTTGGTCTGCTTTTCTACTTCTACAAGTCTATTTTGGTGTCCTCGTTCTTCTACTTCCTGTTCTTGGAGGAAGAAATACTCGACTTCATTTGCAGTATCCTCTGCATCTTCTTGTGAGATATTGGTTTGTTGTAGTGCAGCACTTTCGTTCCTTGGAGGCCTACCTTCGTGGGTTGAGCCTGCCGATGTCGATGTCAAAGCACAACCAGACGATGCCGATGTCGAAAAAGCATCCTCTAAACATAAACGATCTTCTTCAGCCATGACTGACTTCTTGAACATTTCATGATCTTGGAGTTGCTGTTGGTCTTGGTTCTGTTTTTCCAATAATATTGTTTGTGCACGAACTATCGCACATCGTCGCAGAATGATCGCATAAAAAACGACAGCACAGGACGACCAGGTGACAGCAGACGCCAAACCCATAGTCTGCGTTATGCTAGCGAACAGGCCGAGACGACGTCTCAATATCGCATCAAAAAACGCGCACCAAAAAGGATGTAGCCCAACCAGAACAGCTTGCGCGGTTCTGACCCGTCTCGTTTCGCCAAAGCCGGCTAAGAACTTGCGACAGACATCGGCAACCGCATAACCTAAGATCCCGGAACCCTGGAAATGCGCATAGGAAACGCCCAATTCGATAGTCTTCTCCGTGTGCCGGGATTTCCTTGTCATCATGTGAGAAGAGCCATCGGACCCGGTGTCTCCACCCAAAACCCAGCGAAAGCATGGCTCAGTCGCGTACAAGAGTAACAACCACACAACGGGACAATGATTAGAGCTCAAATGATTCACTTCTGCAATTCATTTCTTCAGGATCGCAACAAGAAAACGGAGGAAAATGGCCTTTGGGAATGAATTCTAATATCAAGCCTTAAAATACGCGAGAACAACCACTTGCGCGCGACTGAAAAATTCGTAGCAAGCTCGAAAATTCTTAGCACCAAAGGCAGTGGGTAAATATGCGTCTAGACCAAGGTTCAGGCCAATGATTGGCGCACAACCAACGATATTCACAAACGAGTTGCCAATCGCTAGTGCAGCAATAGCCGCAGTCGCGTTGTGGTCCGCCTCTGCGAAGAGAAAGACATAGAGAAAATTGACCGTCTCTGGTAGGAGTAGCAGGATGTAGAAAGACATATTCGGCAGGGCAAGTCGAATTAGCTCAGGAGCATGCTCCAGAAAGCCACGGAATGAAAGTTTCCCACTTCTGGCACTCGTATTACTAGAAGTGCTCGTCATGGTACGACTCGTTGCGGTATTTTGTTCTGCACGAGAAGTGGACGGCGCCATCTTTGGTCTAATTCTGCACACAAAAAAGAAATCGATGGATTGTGAATGTAAGTCTGCACCAAGATAGAAATAACACGGATAGTCAACTCAAAATAAGATGATCGTTGTCAATTCAAAAACAAAAAGTTCAAATGTCCAGGTATCGTTATCTTCTGCATCACTCAAGCCTAAGTCAAAAGGACCTAATAATCGCATAGACATCAGCATAGTTCGTAAGTAAAATAGCTAAAATGATGGAAGCGAAGACACGTTATGAGCATCGTTTTCTTGCCGTCGTTTGATTTTTTTGATCTCCGTGCCCATTCCTACGATTCTGAATCAGTAACTAGTCGCTGGTAAAGAGCACGAGCAAGAGCCACTGAAGACTGAGTAAGCTGAGCCAACAGCAACAGCATTCCCGCAGTGCCGGTTTTCACACAGAGCAACTACTGAGCCGGCAAGAACAAGCGAATTTTTGGAGTCAGCACCGCGGAAGACTCAGTCTGTTTTCTGGATAATGTGAGCCTGGCTCTTGTTCTTCACTCTGTTATGACCTGTGCTGTTATTTTTCTGCAGAAAGTGACTAATACAGTGTTTATAATCTTAGTACTCACGTATTAAGAGCGATATGCAAATCACCGATATTGTTGTTCATCCCATTGTTGTATCGGCAACTTGCTGCTTGCTGGAATGCTGTGTTGGACTGTGTGCGACTCGAACCACCTGCTTGGATAGCACAGTAGGGGATTGCGCATGTAACAGTGGTTGCACGCCGCATACACTTGCATGCGACGGTCAAAGAGACGCAGGGGAACAGTCACATCCTCTCCGAAGATCTCACCCGTAAGCTGTTGGAAAATCCGAGGTTCTGTTGTTAGAAGCAGAAAGAACAAGGATCATTGAGGTTTTAGTTGTAGGATCGTCGACATTACAGTTGAGTATGACACGAGTCCTCTTCCTATAGTACTACGATACTAAACCGTACTAGGATCACGAGGTCGTGAGAACCACTCTACCATAACTTCAACAAAAACCCGCGTGGGCGACAGCGACCAGCCTGCGTTGGCTGACGTGGATCAGGTCTTGTTGCAAGCCGATTCGGTTCTTTGTCCAACTCACAGTATCGCTGGCATTTTTCCTCACTAAAAACCGATGAAAGTTCCACACACTGACCAGATTGGGCAGCTCGTAGATTCTTCGGTGAAGGAAGCTCGCCTTTCGGGCCGTAGGCGTATCTGCGGTTCGTTGGGGAAGGGAATCTAAGCTGAAGTACGAGTTGCAATTTTTGTTTTTGATCTTGATGAATGGGTCAAGAAAATTGAATAACAACACGATTACGAAGATGCGGATTGCATGCAGTGTACAACTACCAATTAGCAACAATTCTACAAATTACGAACACAATCTCTGTAATCTCGAAAAGAAATACTCTTTATCAGCTATCCTCAAATTCGATTGCACGGCACAGTGCATCGAGCACCAAGAGTTCGAGACGAATACTGTGTTTTCTAACCCCAGCTGTCCTAATTGTTCGAGAGTAGGATTATGGCACAAGGTTGGCCATGCTAGGAATTTCTTTTCTTTCTCTTTCTTGGCAACTTTGTCCGCTTCGCCAGGAGATGCTTCATTCTTGTCCTGCTCCTTGTTCTCTTGTTCCTTATCGTCGTTGTCTCCACCTTCAGCAGAAGCAGCACTGATCAGCTGTTCTTGCTCCTTCTTACCATCTTCTACTTCGGCAAAACCTGATGAGGCACTTGCGTCAGCACCTTCCACCTCTTGAGGCTTCAGTTCTCCCTTAGCCATTCTCTGCAGATCCTCAATCGTCATCTTTTTCTTTGGCTTTTGTCGCACGTGTGGCGGCTTCCCTACAAGAAGCATCGACCTCCTATTCGCTACATCGAATACGCAGTGGGAACAGTCAGCGACCATGTGTCGAAAGTCGTTGTCGAGTAAGTGTTCGCAGGAATTAGACTGCACGTTTTTTTACAAGAACTGTTGTGTCTATAGATAAACATTTAAAGCAACCACTTCTATCATGTCGTTGACTTATATGACTTAATATTCAAACATATGTTTCAAACTAGACTACAACAACCCAATCTCATAAGCAATGCTCGATACGGTTCTGGCGCCGTCAACTGCGCTGCCGTTTTCTCCAGCTCCTTCAATGCGCTTTTCTCCGCGTTTGTGTTCGCTACATAGGATCTCAGCTGCGCTATCACGGATCGCATGCCTTCACGCTGAGCTTTCATTAGACCGAATAAGAGTTCAGCTTTCCTTACAGACACAGCTGTATTCTCAGTGATATCCGAGAAGAAAACTGACGAGACAATGACAAGAAATAGTTTCCAATGAAGCTAGTAGATGACTGAAATAGTTTCCAATGAAGCTAGTGGATGAATGATTTTGATTGTGTTTCTTGTGAGCAGCACCCTTAATTTGACAGGTACAGACGCTCTAGCAGCCAGACCCTCCAGAGCTTGCACGTTCGAGGACAGCTGCATTGCTTCTGGGTTGGCGAGACCATTCTCTACGCGCTCTAGCGAGTCTCTCATCTTCGTAGACAAGCCGAAAACGTGCTGCAAATTGGTGACCACCTCGAAGAAATGGAGACCTCTTCTGTCAGTAGTTTCAGAGAAGTTGATGTGTGCTTCGTTGTAGTTAGTATCTTCTTCGTTCCTGGACGATGAGCCAGCAGTTGCATCTTCTCCCACGGAACCAGAAGCGGCCATCTCAGCCAGCGACGAATCCGCAGGATGAGCAACTGGAGGACCCTGCTGGGCAGACGCACAGGCTGCTAGTAGGCGATGGATTTCGCGACCTGCTAAAACGGCTGCTCTCAGGTTGCGCACGAGCAAAGCTGGTGCTCCAGCGATATGGTCTTTGTCCGTCTTAGAGGCGGTTTAGAGGACGTTCATGTCATGTCATGGAACCTCTTATGTAGCATTTGATATCTACTTGTGAGGCCACTCAGAGAAAGGTCTTTAAAAAACAAGGACATTAATTCGTGATTCGGAACATTTGTACCCTTTGGCTGTGTTCGCAAGGATCTGTCTACAGTATCTATTAGAATTGCCATTGTCAATTAAATATATAATTCTCCAAAAAAAAAGCCATAACTTTCAACAGCCGCAGTAGCTTGACTGCTCCCGCTTTCACTTCGCTAAGACCTTTCTGTGCGCCAGCACCCGACGACCCCGGCGGAGTCTCCAGCCCCAATGTGTCCGACGCGAGGTCTCGTTGCATTTGCAAGTAACTTTCAGTGGTTTCTTCTTCATCTTCGTGAGGAAAATATTTCTCCTCCACCATCAGCAACAGCTTGAAAAAAGAGTCGTTCTCCCTTTTTGCTGCTTGTTGCGCTGCGTGCGAAGCTAATTCTAGTATATCCTCTACGCCACTTCGAATCTCACGTAGTCTCTGCCAGATGTGTTCGCTGTTGTGCACATCTGCTAGCTCGGCTGTGATTCTGGCACGACGTGCGGATGAGTCAGTTCTTTGTAGCTGTTGGGAAAGCGCATTATTTTGTTCTCGCTGCACTAGTTGAAGCTGTTCTTGTCTGCTCTCCTCATCGGCGCTCGCCATGCCTCTCAGTTCCTTCACAAAGCGATTGAGCGCTCGATCACTGCGCTGTCTTTGTTAGAGCTCACAGAGTAATTGTTCATTCAATACCGATATTGGTATAGTCTCAGGATCCAATTAAGTTAGTAGGAACCTGCGAGAAATGCTTTGTGAAGATTCAAGGTGAGGGTCCACTTGCTCGCAGCCAGGCCGCACCAGCAGGGACGACTTAGGTTCGAGTAGAACCATAGTTACCGATGGGAACAGACATGAGTAATGCCATATGTTGTGCCAAATGCTTTGTGAAGATGAATTACTTCGCTCCGTAACTGTGTGCCAGTATAGGAAGTAGAGGAACGAGGTCTCTTTGCGCGACGCCCAGCATTCTAGCGGTACGTGGAAGTGCGACTTCATGCAAGGCTGATTTCGCAAGTCTCTGGGCTTCATACTCCACCTTCTGCAACTCGTGAAGCGATGCAAGAGCTTTTTCACTATCTGTCGGATGCCACGGGGGTAACCACGTTGCCCAGAGGGACAGTGTAGGCGCAAGAGGAGATGTGGTTGGAGAAAGTGCCGAGAGAATTAGAGAGGGACTACTCGAAGAGAAGTCGACACTAAGACTACTCAATTCAAAGAAAGTCATGTAGATGAGCAGATGAATTGAATAATTTCTATTTCATGTTCTCGATGAGGAAAGAGAGAGAAATTAACATGTATAATGGAACAAATCTAGTCACGTGGTTTTTTTTCCATACATCGTCCGTCCCCTCATCGTGATGGCGTCTTGGTTTTGGTCCATCCGAAGACAATAATCGATCGAACCGCAAGTGTATTCTCCTCGTTGATGATGTGCTAGTATGTTGTTCATCGTCTTCTTCTTCATCTGAGTCGTCGTCATCGTCGTCCTCATCGACCGCCTCTTCTCCACTAATTTGCAGACTTTCATGCTTCAAGTGTTCCACTATCTTCGCAGCAAGTGCGCCTCTTGCTCGCAGTGTAGTGACTCGCTTGGACAACGTCACTGCCGCAACTGCCGTTGCATGGTCGACTACAGTGGGAGGATGTGGCATATCCTCTTGGGCATGCAGGTACATCGCTGCTGCATCGAGCCGCTTTAGGCAGGCAGCCTCGCCATCTTGGAGAGCGTCAAGGCGCACACGGCCAGCGCGACCTTGCATATCAACCAACTTGGAACCGAGCAATCGGACACGCTTGCCGTAGTACTCGGGAGATTAGACGTGGTTTGTAAAATTGCTCGCTGAGATAGCTACATACCTTCATCCTTTCAAACCCAAGTAGAAATAGAACACCTCACACTAAGATGTGTCTGACGGTAAGCAGTATCACGTATGGTCATTACTATGAACAAAGAATGCTAATGATCTTGACAAAATAAATTAATAATGGTATAAGAAGCCTCGCCCTCATAAGACAGCTTCTGCTGATCTTTCTGTTCCTGTTCTTGCTGAGTCTCTTGTTCCTTATCGGCTGAAGCTTCGGTCGACGCTTCTTCTGTTTCGAAATCGTGTAGACTCTTCTCCAATTCTTCTACTTTGGGCAAAGGCTCCGAAGCTTCGCATCTATGGCTCGGACCAGCGAAAGCTACACAAGCACGGCGCATAGCGTTCAAGGCTGTGTGGTGTTGTAAAGTTGAGGGAGGCTGCAATAGATTGAGTTGATTGAAACTGAATCTGAAAGGCACAATCAAAGCTGCGGGAAAATATGGGATACGTTAGTGCCAAGAATATATGAATGAGAGAAGTCAAGGCAAGCACGCAGTCGTAAGGGTTCGCCCGCGCAGTCACGAACGTCATGCCCCCGGGCCTTGCCGTGGGGGCTGTGCTATCTACGGACTGCACCCACCACCGCCAAACAGAATAGCACGAAGGCGGGGAACTTCCTCTCGGCTACCAAAGTGATAAAAAAAAACAGAGCAACACGGCGCGCCTGCCCTACGAAGCAGCCCGAGGCGCCACAGCCAACTAGCCCGCTCGCAGAGCACAGACACACACAAACGCCGGCACAGTCGCCGCTGTACGCAAGAGGAGGCAGCCTATCGAACAGCAGGCAGGGCAAGCCTAGCAATAAAAGACCACCCGGGCCCTACACACCACGAAGAAGCAGGCGGCCGCCACGCGTGGGCTCCTCTTCAGCAACATGTACATGGCACGGGCCTGTTGTGTGTGATAGATGTGGCGGCAAGCTTTCCCCGGTCGGTGAGTGGGTTGCCCCAGCGGTTTTGCGTAGGAGGCATGGGCCTGCGGCTGCGCCTGATGAGTGAAAGGCCACCCAGACAGAGCAAGCACTCAAAAGAAGGCGAGGGGGCCGAAACTCCGACAGCCGCGCGGCCTCCTCCTCCTGCGCGGTGGTCTCCCTTGGTGCCCCTCCGACGCCGCCCACATCGTCGCGCGAGCGGGGCCGGGCTCTCCCAGTGCAGGGGCCCTCCCGTTCCAGTCTGCCCGATGTACGAGCCCAGACCGCTGCGGACAGGCCGACCCTCTGCTCACCATCTTCGTTGTCCGCGGTGCATCATTTTCACACACCTACCCGGCCCGCACACTTGCCAGGCGTTTCCCCGTCAAATTTCGGCGCCCTCTCGTCCATGTATCTACTAGCAGGCACAGACACTGTCGCCGGGCATAAATACGCCCGCGGCGCCAGTCGCTGCAAGAGGCGCCGCTGGGACTCAGTAGTTGGCCCGAAAATAGCGATTAGTCTACATATACCTGTGGAGTAAATCGTTGCCCAAGGCGATTCTTCACGCTTGAAGCCCACCTCATGTAGTTCAAGACCCTTCGCAAAACGCGCCAGATCGCGCTGAGATCTAGCCATGCTTTCACTAACAGCAACAGGAGAGGCCGCTGCTTCACCAGTATGTGGAGAGGTTTCAGGGAAGGCCGTACCATTTGTAGCCGTGGGCACTCTCCGCTTCGAAGTCGACACCACTTGTCCCTCGACAGCATCTTCATGGCCTTTTGAGGTTGATGGCTTCTCATGACTCCGTTTTCGATCTTCTTCTTCGGCGTTCAAGCTCGTTGCAATTTTACGCCCATCGAAATCCTCTAGCTTCTTCTTCTCGACATCCAAAACACTACTACTCTCTCCCGTAGGTCTTGCACCTTCCACACCTCTCGATGAAACATCTTTACCTCCCCCACCTCCATCGTCGTCTTCTGAGTCTAGGTCTAATTCGCTTGCAGAGGACGCGTCATCTTCTTCAGCATCCAAGTCTACCAGTCCAGCATGCGCCACGCCAGATCGTACCCTACTGACGCCAGCATCTACAACAAGAACGTGCGGAAGAATCGTTGTAGCGCAAATGACATGCAGCAAGAGCACACGACGAGGATGAGCGAATGAGGAGGTTTGAAGCATGATCATTGTAGTTTTGATGGCCCAATACAACACAATTAATCTCGCACAGATAGATAGATAGATAGATAGATAGATAGATAGTAAGCAAGACTTCTCGGGAAGACTTGCAATTACAAATTTTTCGACAAGAGTCAACGCCCCAGCATCTTAGGGAACCCTAATGCACTCGCTCTGTCATCTTCTCTCATCATGTCCTAAGAGAAACGTTCGTGTATAAAAGTTTCTTGTTTCTCGGTTTTTTCTTCTATTCCTTAGCAGCGTCAAACCCAGCTCTACTACAACAACACTCCGTTGATTAACTCAGCACCACAAGCCGCTTCGAAGATGACGCAGCTTCACACGTCGTAACTTTTTCCCAAAACCTTTGTTAAATATGCTGGCCTCGCATGTTGAGTCTGTCACATCTTCTCATGGAAAACAACAATTTAGGAAGGATCATGAGCATGTTTTTGTGTGCGTTATCCGATCAATAGATTGTAAACATGGACATCGAATATCACAACAAGTTACGCTTCTTTCATTCTAGGAAATGCAAGTATTCATTGGTTATCAGTTTTAGGAAGTAGAAGTATTCATTGCTTATCATAAGATCACAAGGTACTTCGCGCGATATGGGACATACTAAGTCACGAGGAGAACCGCTAGCAGGCCCAGCCTCTATCCCTCTATCTTCTCTAAGAACACACATCTATCAAATTAATCTAGAAATCTTTTAATCTAACTTTTTACTAAAAAGCAGCTTCACTTTTTACTAAAAAGTTGATGATATTGCTTTTGCAGTTGTCGACTTGAACCCTCTTGGGGAAATCGTCCTGCTTCTACATTCTAAAACACTGCTGAGTAGAGGTTATTTTTAAACGATCTAGCTATGTTTCTCATATGCTCTAAAAAGGTTTATTTTGTAGTCATTTCATCTACTATTCTTATTCATTCTAGTACTCTTGATCTTTCACCTTTGCTCTACAGCTTATCCTTGGCCTCTTTTCCGAAACTTCGTCGGTGGGATCTTCCTATTTCATGTCATCAATCATGATGGATGTGTGATGTTTCCAACTACGCATGCTTTTTCATGATCACACATATGTGATGTACCTAAAACAAGTAAAAAATTAATATTACAATATTTATCATGCTATTTGTTCGTTTTCGTAGACAGGAGGTACAAATTTTTTCACCTCGTCATCTATATTCTCATCCTTTATTTCGTCGAGATCCTTTATTCTACACTGGTAATCTTACACTTATCCACACTGCTAGAAAGGGGATCCCATGCTATGCTTCTGCTGCTCATGGACAGAGTAAACAGGATACTAAGATTCGGTGACTCTAACAATTTACTCATCTTTCGACCATTCATAGCCACACTTCACGCACTGCGCCAAGATACTACGGGTTCGATCCGCACGCCACGTGCCCCAGGCATCATAGTGAACGACGTTGTACCTGCATTGAAGAAGGGCGGAATTACTCCTAATGCACCTTACTTCGATGTGACTCCACTACACCTCCTAACTGGATACAAGAAAAAGAATGTCCCAAGCCAGGCAATCTAATGTGCCGCCAATCATACCACGACCTTGCTTACATCAGAGCCAGAATCATAAATCAAAGATACAGGATATACAACCTTCTCACACAATGATGAATGAATGAATGAATGAATTCGCCTAACTTGAGGTGATGCATTGTTTATCACCGAGAGAAAATACCTGCACCCCATCCCCGTATCAACGTTGCAGTTGGGACAAACCATATTTCTGTCTAAGAACGGATGCGTTACTTCCGCACCCGTCTTCGCCTGATTCATTAGAGCGAGCGATAACTCATATTCTAGAGGCCTCGTCTCAGAATCCAAGGAGAAGCCTGAGGCAAATACTCTTTGAAGATGACTTATCGTGAGCCTTAAACGCAATCCTTCCTGCTCCGCTGTCTCCCGTGCTCGCTTCAGTCTGGGAGACTGGTATATCTCCGGATGCGCATGGAATTCAGAGACAAATGCAGCGGGAGCCAACTTGCCGGAGAGAAGAGGCTCTTTGACGGAATCGAAATTGTAATCACGTCGTAGAACAGTGGCGAGCTGTCGAAGATCTTGCACGTAACGCCAGACTGTTTGTGTGTGTTTTGAAGTGTGGGTGATTTCGGGGATGAGCAATTCGTGTTTGAGGTGAAAAAGGTAAACTGAGTAGGACGTGGAGTTTTGGCTTCATAGCAGCATACTTACTCGAACACCTACAATGTATGTAGTCAAAATACACCTCTACAAATTTTTACCTCCATTCTGTTCCTCCTTGTGAATCGCCTTTTCGTTCTGATGCGTTGACGCATACTTGTCAAACACCAGTTGCTCGATCTGGAACGACAGCGAGATGCAGTTCTTGATTCTCGCCTTCCAAGTATGCACCAAAGGGACCAATGTCTTCTTCTGTTGATCTACATGGTGGTTCTTTTGCTCATGCAGAAAGTGGTTGTTTTCACGGCCACTTCCAACATTATCTGCAGGAGAACGTGGACTGACAATACCCGAAGATGGACCACAATACTCGTTCAATCGTGCTCCCAGCGACGTCCTGGCAAGCAATTTGCTGCTGACTGGCGCCCAACCCTTCATCTCCGCGATTTCTTCAGGAGAGAAATGGAGTTTGTCTTTCGAATTCTTGTCGTGCTTCTCGAGAAAACTAATGATGCGGTTTTCCATGTCTGCGGTTCGAACCTTCGGGTCTTCTTCCAAAACGTCTTGAAGCACTTGTCGGAATTCCTGTCTCTTGGCGCCTTGTTCAGCGACAATCGTGTCAGGACCACCACGCGTCGTGGCGCCATGCCGAGGGGTCAGACGAGGCGTAAGACGTGGGGAGTATGCGGGAAGACCGTCGCTGGCTTCGGAATCTGGTGCATAGTTCATACAGCATACAACTTTCTTAGATGCAGAATGCAGTTCGTACAGCATACAACATAAACGAGCATACCAAGATACTTACAAATAACTGGGTGTATCCATTAATACCTTTGCTCAATGCCCGCACTCTCTTCGCCAACGATTCGATCGAAATCCCAACAACTGCTGGCGTCGCCGCGGGTCTTTTCAGCGGCGTCTTGCCACCACTTTGGGGAACGACTACAGCAGCAGCACTATGTCCATGACCGCTGCTAGCATTTTTCCCACTCTCCTTCGAATGCACACGATATGCCTCAGCAGCAGCTGCTGCCTTTAAGCGTGCATGAAACATGGGGCTTAAGTCTACTTTCGGCGTGTCGCTGCTCTTTAAAGTAGTGCTAGTGGGTACAACAAATGGTGCTCCTTGTGCAGCTGTTTTGGGAGATGTTAGATGCGCCGAAAAACTGAATCCACCATCTGATGCAGCAGTAGTTGTACTAGCTGGAGTTTTCGGCGTAGATTTTCCGTTTCCTACTTGGTGGAGGTGCTCATTCTTGTTACCTGCTATAGTGTATATCACATGATCTTTGTGCGACAGAAGAGAATTTTTGTTGTTGTTCGCATTCGTATTCCCGGATGACACCAAGGTACTAGCAGACGACCGGTGGAAAGAGAAATAGGCGGGCCGAATAGTGCCTTCGTCTGCGCCAGGTGATCTGACGTAGGCTGACCCACGCGGTCTACCATCATCGGACTCGCGACTCAGTGCTCGTTCAAGCACCAAGTCCGCGATAGTATCCGGATGCGAAATTGCGTCCATTTTGTTTTTTTTTTGGAAAGATTCTAACTCTTAAATGTAGGAACCAGCTACTCTTGTACTTGTTCTGACAGAAAGTGGTTTGCTCTGTCTTCTGTGTAAAATTCTAGAAAACGTCGGGGTGTTAAATAGTTGCTGAAAACTCTATAGCACAAACGCAACACGAGGTATTTCACGAGAACTTTGACTGACTTACTTACGCTTAAACCAACGTAGTAATGTTGAGTTATTACTCTTTCCAAGGTACTAGAAATATGAAAAGCCGTAGAGAAGAAGTCCCATGAAATTCAAATGTCTTATTTGCGCGCTCTCCTAGAATTGGGACAAGGGAATAGGAAAAGTAGAGTGTTGTCTATCTCTATGTATAGACTGTTGACTCTAACTATTTTTTAGTACTGACAACTAAGACTATAATTACACAAAAATAATACATATCTCCAGCTTCTACTAACTCGCATAGATGACTGGAAGATAAAAGGTATGACTATGAATTTTCTACTACTTGAATTATACTTTATTACACGTGGTCTCCACTTGTCTGAGTTCAGCAAAGACAGACAAATATCCAAAAATCTTGGTTTCAAAAACTGCCTTGGGGAGTTTCCTCAGGTGCCCTTGAAGCGCGAGGTCCTTCTCCTCTTGTATTGTTCGGTGGCCGACCCACGACCCCTTCCAAGTTTACTACATTCCCCGCTGCTTGCTGTATGATCACAGTTCAGCAAAGGATTGATACTTGTTGAGCAGCCATTTTCATTTTTGCCACTTTTTTGGTACTTAGCTGCAAAAAAACCGAGTCGTACGCTATGTATTCTTTTTGGAGAACAAAACTCCTTGTCATATGCACGCCGCACTATAAGTTCTCGTCTCCTCGTTTTTTTCATTCATCGTCACCGGAGGAAAAAAGCTTTGCAAAAAGCATACGCAGCACAGTTTCATTTCTGAATCTCGTCTAGTCTCTTTCTCTCGTTCTACTGAAGCTTTTGCAACAACCTCCTTTTTAACACACAAAACAAGCATGAACACTCGGTCTTCGGGTTGTAGAGAAGAAAAGGTGCTTTCAGGCAGACAACATGTCACGGACAACTCTCTGATCATGTGTATTGGAGCTTATAAACTGTCTTTTTCTCTTTCAGGTTGACAAAAGTGCAATCTGACACAGACACCAGAATTGCTTACTGTACTTGTAGCGCTTCCTGCCTCCCATGCCTTTCTATGAAGAAAAGACGTGTCCACGCCAGCTTGTAGTGGTTTCTTAGCTCCTCCAACTACTGCAGCACTTGAACAATTCTCTGATGTGTATTGGAGCTTATAAACTGTCTTTTTCTCTTTGAAACAGATACTGCTCTGGCTCTATAACTATACTTGCGCTTACAATTTGCCGAGGTACCTCCATGATGTACCGGATTCACACAAGAAAACTTCGACGTGCATAACCTCTGGCACAATACATCGTGGATCTACAACACCTGCTAACTACTTACTTTTTTTCTTTCCACTAGATGCTGCACCTTCATGAGGCGACGCTGAACCTCCCGACTCTTCATGTCCTTGTCCTCCTCCACTAGGTCTAAACTTTCCAAAGTCACCTTCTCCCACTCCAGCCATAGTCGTCATTCGACGACGACGTAGTAGATCGGCTGTGGTTGTTAGACTTTCCCCAATGATGCTGTAGTTACACAGCAAGGGGTAGAAAGCATCACTATCCAACTTTAGTATATCTTGAGTTGCACCTTCTGAAAATGATTTTCGTTTTTCCCTTTAATAACACGTTCCTAGGGTGCTTCTGAAATAAATGAGAGATTCTTATAAGCTTTTTGATCTAGGTCGCCTTAATGATGGCAACCGTGGGCGGTCGAACTGAGGTGCGCCTTTGCCTGCAGTATGTCTTTCGAGGTTTTTACGTACTTCAGTAGAATCTGCCCAACTTTGGTACCCGCAAAAAGACACGATTAAAGCCAGTAGAAAAGCACTGGCACCCACGCGAATCCATTCCATATCTGATAGTTTCGGAGCGAGAGGTTTGAAAGAGCTCTTTTTTTAAACAATCCCACGACGAAATAGAACTAAACAATCCCACGTTTTTTTTTAATAGAACTCAACAATCCCACGACGAAAGAACACGATTGCTTGTTTACTTCGTGCTTCCAGGATCACCTTGATCCGTTACTCACATGTGAGAGTCAAGGTGATCCTGGAAGGCTTTGTCATTGTAAATAGGATTTGTCATACAGGTTTGTGAGATACAAATTTAACAAGATCTGAGGCGAGGCGCCACCTATCAAGTTACAGGACATTTTTGTTGCCTTCAAGAAACTCAAGCAGTATTCCAGAGGAGCCCTACTGTGAGATAGCAACAAAAAGGGCCACTACGCAGCGTTTGAACTGTGATTTCATATCCCAGTAAAAAGGCCATAGTTGTAGAAAAAACCAGCCACATCATCATTATCCACTTACTTCAACAACATATCTCTTATTGCTTAAATATCGTAAACCTTTATACTCTAGTAGTATCGTCTCTGTTAGTCAATAATCCCGGGACGACGAGGAGGGCCAAGAACACCTCGAGGACTCTGTTGGTCAACAATCCCGGGACGACGAGGAGGGCCAAGAACACCTCGAGGAGCAATAGAACTAAACAATCCCACGACGAAAGAACTACAGAGAGAATCTTCAGAATTGTTGAGTAGAAAACAAAGCTATTTAGTATAAAACAGAGAATCAGAATTGTTGAGTATAAAACTGTCAGAAGTACCAAAGTATTTATCCCCTCCATCTATCAGCCTGAACGCGGATGAGAGTATGAACTCCAGTAGTTCGCCTCCTTCAGTCATCATTCGTGGGACTAAAAGTTCGACCATCGCTAACGATATGTAGATGGAGAGGGTTAGCTGCACCAGAAGTTAGAAAAGAAAGTTGTGAGGACGATCACGTTCACGGCTGGCCCGCACACACTGGCTACGTTGAAAATCAGCGAGAAAGGGCTTCTGAGTTTCTGCGAGGACAAGGAGAAGAGCTGTCTGCTGAGAAAGAAAGCTGAGAGCAGTTACTTACTTGATAAGAAGACTACGTGAAAACTTATAAACTAATCGAGTTGGAACTGAATTTGAGCCTGATCGAGTTGGAAATGAATATGAGCCATAACAATATCTTGTCTCAAATGAATCGTAGAGGTAAACGAGAAAATGCGTGACATATTCTATGCCTGCGGTGGTTTCGCCCAACTTTGGCCGTATTCGGACTTGGCAACGGTTGATCATTGCCTGATAGTTGTGGTGGTCGAAAAAAGTACTAGATTGGGTTGATCATTGCCTGTTAGTTGTGGTGGTCGAAAAAAGCCACTAGTACTAGATTGGGTTGATCATTGCCTGTTATTTGTGGTGGTCGAAAAAAGTACTAGATTGGGTTGATCATTGCCTGTTATTTGTGGTGGTCGAAAAAAGTTAAAGTACTAGATTTGGTTGGTGTTGGACTAGATTGACAGTGTGAACTTACGGGTACAACTACAGCCACCTATTCTACAGCTTATCAATATAGTACCCAGCTACCCCACTGCGTCACTGGTTCCACTGCGCACTCCTTCAAAACTGTCATGAGATTGAAGCTCTCAAACCCGCCAGCATCCTGAAACTGTACGTCCCACTCTACGCATTCGCCACGCTCACGCATCTCTGAGACTCGAAACGGTATCTCCAATGGGCCACATTTCTCTCGGAAAAAATGCTCGACGTCTTGGCGTGGAGATGAAAGTGGGAAGCAGGGAAGTGGGAAGCAGGGCAGTGGGAAGCAGGGCAGTGGCCAGCAGGGAAGTGGAATCATCATGCACGGGCATGTTACTAAAGAAAGAGGTCGCTGATAAATAAAGGCAGGAATAGGGCTACGACCCTAAACCCTAAACCCAAACCCTAAACACTGGACGTCGACGTGGTCGCCACTAAGACGTAGTCCTAGAAGTCGTTTGGAATCTCTTAAAAGGTATAATCCATATTAAATTCACGACGTCATAAAGACACAGTTGTTTCTACATTTGAGAAAAAGGAGCTCGCGGCATCCGCATGTCTGGGTGAACCATTGTGTAATCTCGAATCGGCATGCACATCATGCGTATCCTCGCCAATACTCGATACATCAGAAGGCCTTGAGTGGACGCTCGATGTGGATTAGAGGGGTAAGAAGCAGGAGATTGGACGAATGAATATGAAATGGAGCGTATTCAAATCTCGGAAGTACAAGCACTCCCCCTTGATGATAGTGTGCTGGAGGGGTGGTAAGGGTGTCAGCGCAGGCAACACAAGGTAAGGGTGTCAGCGCAGGCAACACAACACAAGGAAGCGTCGCGAGCACAGGTAAGGTTGTCAGCGCAGGCAACACAACACAAGGAAGCGTCGCGAGCACCGAGCCAGCGCAACAAGGGTGGGAGGTAGGGAAAGTGAAAAACCGCTAAAGCCTTTGGGCTCCTCTTGAGTGGAAGCTCGATGTTGATTGGACGAATGAATACGAAATGAAGCGTGTTCAAATCTCGTAAGTACTATCCCTTGATTTGCGCGTTTTGGGAGCTACGTTCTTTTTCGGGACATCGCAAACCACTAGCGTACGTAAACGCCGTTCTCGGGTATGAAGTGGGTCGACAATGACGAAGCACTCATCAATGGCTCAGCCTTGCAATGGCTCACTGTGGTTTTTACTTTTTGGTAGTTACCGAGTAGTCAAAAGGGTACTCTTCTTGTAACTGTGACTTAGACTTTCTTTGTTATATTGTAGTGAAGAACCAAGTAGAGACCAGAAAAAATTTGCAAGCAATTCGCATACATAATGCCGTCCACTGAGTTGAGAGCGCGCATTATCGTTGCCAAAAACGCTGGCCATGTGACCCACGTCGTTGACGACAGGAGTATAACCCCAACCACTCCAAAATTAGAGCTATTGCGTTAGTAGCACCTTCCTTGAGAGTCAGATCCTTGGATGCTTCTTTTTCAAGCAGAAAAAAAGCCAAGGATGATGCTGAGGATGCTTGAGCGGTAGCCTTAACGAAATGGCAAATGATGCTCTCTACCACTTGCAGAACGAGTGCGTGGACGGAGCGTAGGACGAGGAAGAGAAGGAGGAGAAAAGTCGCCCAAAACGCTAGAGGCATATTCATGATGATTCCCCAGGCTTCCCCGATACCGTAACCAAGCGCTAGATAGTCTCCGAGGAGAAAGAGAAACGAAGGCGTCGCAGCAGCAGGTGGCGGTGGCTCCTCGTAGGTGGCTGTATGGTGATTGTGTGTCGGCGACTTCGAGTTTGGATGAAAATCTCGTAAAGGATGTCGTAAACGATCTCACCATTCACTCGTGTCGAATAGAACTTCAGTAAGATATTAGATATACTATAGAAGATACGAAGTAGAAAAGATAGTCTTAATGTTAAATGCTAACTCCTGTTTCCATGAAAGTACGTTCCGCAATATCCGCCCTCGGTGTGAAGTCTTGGTCGTCAACCTCAGCGTCTGCGTTATAGAGCCAGACATTGTGATTTCTGGCTTCGTACTGCGTTGAGAAGACGTACGCGGACTCACTAAGAATCCAGTCCACACGGCGCTTGTAGTCGTAGACTGACTCCATTTTTGTTGCTTGTTGTGGTTGTTGCTTTAGTTTCGGTGGAGGTAGGTTCCGTATTTCTTTGATGTTAGTCTTATTACTGTGTACTAGTAGTTTGTCACTAGTCTGGCCACGACTAACTTGTTGTGGTTGCGGTAAGGAGGTCTATAATTCTTGTTTACGACTTGGAGAGGTTCTGAAGTAGTCTTCCCTTCGCGGAAACTTTTTTGCTTGGATAATCTTACGATAGAGCTTCGTCCCACCCGCAGCAGGTTTCAAACCTTTGTTCTTGTTAGATTGATCTTTGTTGTTTGTTGTTGTCGAATTGATAGGCACCTATTCATCCGCGAGCGCACGAGAGAGCCGCATGACACTGGTAAGCTCTTTTCGGCAAGCTATCGCTAGACCCCCGTGGCCATAGCCGCGATGGCTGACGGCTCATGCGTTGCCCATCTTGTTCGAGCTGTCCAGCATTCATCTGGGAGCTCCTGCGTCTCTCTACGTCTAGTATTCAACTAGAATTCTCACTGTACACCATGGATGCAGAACTGAGCGATGAGTTTTGTTAGTCAGCAGGAGCCTTAATCTTAGTAATTGGCTCAACCCGCTACAAAACTATCAGAGCGATAGCAGTTTAATAGGAAACATCCCTGAGACCTTCACAGGTCCAACACCAGGACGTTTCTAACACTCGGGAGTATCGCGATGAATTGCCAAAAAGAGTATACCAGTGTCATGCGGCTCTCTTCGCGCTCGCGGGAGAAAATACTATCGGTCTGATGTTTTTGTAGCGAGTTGTGCCTGTTACTGTAAGGTGCTTCAACCCTTGGACCGCTACAAACAATTCGGTCGTATAATGAGAGAAATAGAAGTTGGTTTTAAAAAGGGTGTTACTAGTACGATCCATTTTCAATTGCACATTTTCATTTTTCGTTCTTAGCTGATAACTCCACCATTTTTCTGTTGACCGACACCGCAATTCTAGCCTTTTCCGTGCCCTTTTCACTCCCTCCGACAAATTGACCCAGACAAAATTGACCCAGCAGCAAGCTCAAAGACGCCTTTCCACAGCGTTGCAACAGCTCAGCAATATCAAGTGCATCTGTTCTTTCAAAAATTCTAAAAAATCAACGAAACAAATACAAGGTACCAACATCGTCCTCTCTCAACAACAAGTCCATCAGAAGTGTCACAAATCATATCTCCTTTTTATCGCACGATACTTCATGAACTGCAATGTTTGCTCTGTCGTTCTCAGCTGATACCGGATATAAGGTGCTCGTCTGTTCTCCGGCAGATTCTTCAGCTGCGCCCGAGCCAACCTGACCTCCCTCCGTCTCACGTTTTCTGGAAATTCACGTGCTGTCCAGCAAAACTGCTTCCACAACCCAGCTTGCCGTGAGAGGGCCATTTGTTTTCTTAAGTACAATCACCAATATGGCATTAGATTATAAGGATCAACGCCAGTTTTTTTGAAAGAATTTTCCTGTACTAGAAACAAGTTTTTGTCTTCCCGCCCCCCTCGAGAATGTGGTAAGTAGCGAGACTGGAGGAAGTACTCTGAAACGAAATCTGTTGTGCTCTCCGTGCGCTTCTCGCCTGAGAGTATACTCACATACCAGACAGTATACCTCAGAGGGAACAAAAAAGTGGACCTCGCCTTTGGAAAATGTTCTTGTGCATTTAAGATAAAATGGAAAATGCTGTTCTGTTTAGTTTCTTTTCAAACTTTTCCCTGTGCAAGGTATATTCTGTGTTGTCTTCCTGTTGAGCCGACCATACACAGCTGTGTCTTTCTCGCTGACCCTCTGTCAAAATCGCCTCTACTAGTTGTCCTTGTTTGGATTTGAGTAGAAGTTGAGTTCAAATTTATCATGTCGTTAAGTTTCGGCCTCATCCTATTTAGTCTACTATATGGCAAAGATGATGAAGGAGGCCTTGAAGATGTTGTTACATTCAAGGTTGCACCAGTGCCCCTACTACTCCTACTACTACTACTCCAAGAGGACCCTGATGAGCCCCCTTCAATACCATGTAATTCTAAAGACAGTTCAGTTGTTTCTTCAAAAATGCATGATTTCCTAGTGTTTTCTACTAGAGTTCGGCAATGTTTGAAGGCTTCAGCGTGGTCTAGACCATAGAGATGAAAGTCTGGGCATTCCGGGATAACGTCAGGCGCGAGAATCCGACGGAGATGAGAGGGGGATGAAGATGAAGTCGCTGCCGCACTACTAGATGCAGACGTAGTACTAGATGCAGTACGTAACAAGGACTGTGCATGTCTCTCTTGCTTCTGCTCCAAAAGCTTGCCGTTAGCACCCGCGCTAGATCCTATCAGACGCGGAAGCAATAACAAACCGTCATCAACAACGGTGAAAGCAATGTCGTTACTGTTACTAACAGCGCCCTTGCTCGAAGAAGACATGCCTCGGGATGCTGTGCAATTGCGAAAGAAAGCAATGTTGTGAAGTAGAGGCTCACTCTTCAAGCGTGCAACATGATAATGTTCGTCACCATGAAGTCCTTTAGTCTTCCCGAATGCACTAGTTCCTCCAACATTCTCTATTGAGTGTTGAAACGAGTCGCCGTCTTCTCTACGCAAAAATTCTGTTCCCATCTTAGATCGCCAGTACACACCTTCGCACGTCGACCGCAACCCAAGCACAGGTCGCTGCAGGTTCAAAACCATAATACAGCTCCTAGTGCTCGCTGAGTCCGCAATTTCGTCAGATTTGTGCGAATTGTTGGAGTTGATTGGCAACATACTGGAAGAGGCCTTGGATGAAGAGGAAGTGCTTGCAGGTGTAGTATGGCTTGGCCTGTTCATAGTTTTCCAGAACCTAGCAGTGCCATCAGCGGAAGCCGAGACGAGAGTTTTGCCCTCATGCAATAGGCACAGATCCTCCACTGGCCCAGCATGACCGCGATACTCTGTGACGCTGCTTGCGAGATGCTCTTGTGGCAAATGAAGAGAATTCGTCCATAGAAAAACAAGGGATGTGTGTTGACTGGGGTCTAGTTGTATGCCGAGAAGGATGTAGTTCTGCTTCATATGCTACTAGAAGAGCAAGAATATGAAATTGGCATACTCGCATGGAGGCAAATCAAAAAAAATCAATATTACTCAAGTTCAAAAGCATAATGTGAGGCCGCGCCTTTACTTCGCAGCATACTCTCCGGCATTTCGAGGATGAGACCCGAACCGAGACCAACAAACAAACTTGAACTTCCACCTGAGCAGCACCTCATCGAGTCCTTCATTCTAGTTTTTTCGCTTGTTCTGGAAGAGCCCAGATTAGATGTACAACTCGTCCTTTGTTCTTGTTTACAACTGTGCGATGTCGTGGAAACAGTTCCGTAGAAAGCCAAAGAAAAAACGTGCGATTTCAACGAAAAACTCACTGCACTGCTTGACTTATTCGAACCTATCCCATCTCCACCACTACTTTTCCAAACATGCAAGGAGCGATCGAATCCACCAGCGCAGACGAGGTCCCCAGTAAGAAAACAACACGCGTATTGCGGAGATGCACCAGGAGGAACGACCGGAAGGCGGTCTGTACTAGTTTCGTTGAAGTACAACGACCCAGAAAAAGTGGGCAACAAGCGCACAGCAGTCGAGGAACAAGAAGATGATGTTGAGACTCCGCTTCCTCTTACCGCTCCTTGTTTTGCCTTCGCACCAGGCGGAATTAACCTAGTGCTTGTAGCACCACTACTTCTTCCAGCCGAAACAGGTCTTGAACTTCCTAATGCCCGTTCCAAAGGCAGTTCTCGGACTTGATCTGCATTCAATGTACCATTAGATTCAGTGCCTGCTGCAGGCGGCAAGCGCATACATTTCACAGACATGCGCAGAACGTCTACAACCAACGTCCGATTTAAGCGCTTTGAGCTTAGTGGCCCAAGACCAGGACCTGAAACCCACTCGTAGTTGAGGCAGCAGAGTTCGAACAGGGGCCCGGCTTTCTGCATGAAGCCTAACTCGGATGAAGAAGAGGAATTTTCGTCATCGATTGGAGTAGGTGTTCGGTCTGCAGAAGATGAAGATGATACCTCGTTTTCTCCAATGTCATCATTAGTTGCCCCCCTTTCATGGTCGCTGTGCCGAATCAAAGCATTACGTTTTAACTCACAGTGCGCCGCGGCAGTACGAGCAACACTGTCACTCATTCTTTGCGCCTCCTGTGCACGAGAAGTACAAACCAGCTCAGACGCTTCTTTCTCAAGAACCTCGTCTACATCAGCGTATCTCGCCAGACACCACGCAAAGCGCTCCCGCAGAACGGCATTTTCTGGCTGTGGCAGCCTCCTCTGTATTTGGACTTCAGCAGCAGACAAGCCGAATCCTAGTGTGCCTTCCCACACAGCAACACTCCCATCTTCGTGCGTCGTCATCAAGTTGAAATAGAAATGGGAACCAAGTTGATGAAAATCATGATCATTTATGCCTCCGCCCACCTGTGCATGAGTTGTAGTAGTTTGAGTAGCAGGTGAATATTGGACAGACAAAGCATTCGCCGGTCCGCCAGGTAGGGGAAGTTGATACACTTCTTTGAGCGAGAAAGTTTGATACAAGACTTGAAAGCTTTTGTTGTTACAGCTCGGCTGCTCTTCAGCACCCAAGAGGCCCACAGCAGGTGTTCTACTCCTACTACTACGAGAGTGGTTGATTTCCGCAGCCAAACCTCCTCCTATTCCTCCCTGATGTTCTTGTTTTTGCCACCTTATTTTCCGCTCAACCCGCCAGAAACGCAGCATCCCATCCAGTCCTACAGTTACAAAGAGGCTCAACACACTGCCAATCCCGGTTACACAGCGTCCATCGGCGTGAGCGGTTGGCACATGAAAGAGCTCCTCTGGTGCCGTGTGTTGCGGAAGGCCTGTGGATGACCCGCGGCCGGTACTACTAGGAAACATGCCGTATCCACGCAGTTCTCCAGCTAAGCCACCTAAAACTACCACCTGCATGGTCGGAAAATGAACTGTGTGCATGCAAACAGGTACGAAGGCAGGAAGCGAAGTTTTGGCCGCGGCAAGGTTATTAACGTTTTGCCCACGGTCATTTCGTACTGGCAAGCTATCGGCATCAAAATAACGAGATAGATGATCGTCGCTCGTTGTACTAGGAACAGGCTGAGGACCTTGTTGCTCCTCCAATATCGTCGTTGCTCGTCTAGAAGTACTACTTCCTGCTCTTTTCATGTACCAGACACAGTTTGTGCGAGATGAAGTACTTCCATGATGCTGTCCAAGTCCAGTTTGTTTTCCAGATGAAGATGAATCTCTGGGATAAAAAAAGGAGTCCGAATTACCCTGACCAGTTAATGAAACAACTCCCAAACCTCCACCACCTCCACCAGAAAAGGCTGCGTCACCTGTAAGCAGTTGGCTACCACCGTAACGTTCCAAAATCGCACGTCTTCCACACTTATTGTGTAGAAACCGAGGTCTTTGAAGACTAGTACTAGCATCAGAAGTACTACTCAGCCAAAAATGTCGCTTCCTCTGATGTAGAAGCCATACAGCAGACTCTACATCATCTTGTTGTAGACTTGCAGCACGAGGCGAAGAAGTTCTAACATGATGGAGAAGATGACTCTTGCAGCACTGGTCAATCAATGCCAATTCAACATGCTTCCTAGGATCCGCTAAAAAACGGCTGCGCCAAATTCGCGATCGATGCTCGCTTACTACTCTGCGCCACCGCCGACACGTACTCGCCACACCCGCACAAGAAGGCAGAAAAAAAGCTATTCGTAGCAAAATCTCATCGGGAGCAGTTCCAAAAAAAGGACCCTCAGGTGCACTCAAGAGACGAGACTTCGGAATAGAAGATAAAGAAGGTGTAATTGGAACGAGCCCATCACTTAGAGGGAGGTTTTTGGTGTTCGTGGGTTCTCCCGCTTGTTATGGCTGTCCCCACCTAAGGGAGAGAGCCATAACAAACGGCAAGAACAAAAGCGCACCTTTACCCTACCCTTAAATCAAGCGGTACCTGCACTTTCGAACCACGACGCCTGCTGCATACACCAGCTTGTATCAAGTCTGAAGGCTGCTTCTTTTGTCCAGCTAGAAGTACTTCTTTGCTACTTTCCTGAGAAGCCAGTCCCCCATCATCGTCATCGAGAAACTGGAGGTCGACCTCCGTTTCGCTATCATCGAGAAAGACTTCGTGATCCATGGTGATTTAGGGTTTATTTTCTTCTTCTTTCACAAGGGGAACGAGGTTGTACATTGAAAAAAAAACTAGGAAGCTTTTGAGCAAAAGTTTTTTTCGAGAACCATTGCAACAGCTCAGGGGCTACTCTCTCTCTATTCTCTTGTTCACAAATTTTTTCCTGCTGGCATTGTCCATCTTTCAAACCTCCGGCGAATATTTTCATTATTTCTTGTTCGAGGGTGCTTTTTACTAGGTATTTTCCGAATGTTTTTTTCGTGGTGCTTCGACATCGACTCTCTATCCCCATTCAACACTTTTAATCATCTTCATTCGATATGGACGTTCAAGTCGACTGCAGGCACAACACACAGCAACATTTTCAAGCGCTGTTTAAACATTTTCTTCACTGTGTATAATCTTCACCAGGGATGGAATGTTAACATTGTGCTAAGGGGAAAAGGTCGCTATGGCATTTTGTCGCTGAGATTAGTAGGAGTTGTCATCATTTTTTTCGTTTTTTCTTTCCTTGTTTTTGGACAACAGCTTTCCTTGCCTCCATTGCAAGCTCGAGTGCTGTTTTCTTGCGCCCAGGTAGAGGTGGATTCTCCAGATGTACTGGAATATTCATTGAGGTCTCAGCCGGATCCGTAGAAGGGTGTATCTCCGAAGATCTAGTACCACACTGCTCTCCACGTCCTTGAGTACTGGAGGAGGCCATCTTCATCATACTCCCTTCTCCCTTCAAATCGTATTCTTCCTCTTTGTTTTTTGCCAGTCTCCGCAATTTCTTTTTTAATGCTCCTGCAGCTTTTGAGTCAACAGCTGCGTTGTTGTCGTTGCTGGTTCCACTAGCACTAGACTTTCTATTCAAATCGGATGCCGAAGTCGAAGTAGAACTAGATGAACTGGAACTTGAATTTGCATTGTTCGTGGCAGAGCCCTGTTTAGGTTTAGGTGCAGCGCCGACACCTCTCCTCTCATTTCCTCCAGGACGTGATGCGAGCGCCCTCACTTGTTCTAGGACCTCGTCGGATGGATCCCGCCAGTCTTCGAATAGCTCAAAGATCGTCCCTGCATCCGCATCTTCTAGTAGCTCGAAAGAAGCGGCCTCCATCCTTTTAGGTTAGGTTAGGTGTGGGTCCACTAGATAAACCAACAGACTTCAGTGGCTACCGAAGAGCCAAAAAGAAAGCTTTGTGAAACAATGATTGACGTGGTCTCGAGGTCATGAGAAAGAGAAATACTTACACCTTCAGGAACCCAAATAAGCCTATCACCATCCAAAGAGGACCCAAACCACCTGTCCAAAAAATGCACATCAAGAGCGTGATCGTAAATCAAATTCGTAGTTCTTCATATCATGTCTCCAGGTGGATCTCTGATGTATTCTGACGAAAGAAATCGAAGGTATATTGTTTTGCAAGAGGATCTACGTGATGATCTCTAGTCCTTTACTCCGATACTATGGCAAGTGATTACAACGTTTTCTTTCTGAAAAACTTGTGCGGATCATTTTGCTGATCTCAGACATGAGCACACTCCCAGGGAACACTGGAGATTCAGCCGGATTCTTTGCTCATAAAAAGAGAGGAGTTCTTGGGAGGCATGAAGATCGTGATGCCTCTCATCACTAGGACAATTCTTTTTAGACTTCACACGAATTGAGCCTCGGATGGTGCATGACGCTGATTCTAGGAGAACCAAGCAGAAACACTAAGACATTCATGGTCTTGATCTCCTTGACGAACCAAATAGATGTGAATAACTTTCTTGGAGAAATCTATCAGAAAAGTAAGATACTCGAAAATATCAAATCCTGGTTTCATTTTCTGCACACGTGAGTACCTATAATCCCCAAGCGGTTTGTCTTATCCTCAAATCTCGGATCTTTGATGCCTCTCGCAGTTTCGGAAAGTGATAGAAACATCAGATCCGCTATGTATCATAGGGTAAACCAAGTCTCATGGTAAATCCTATTGTGAACAATGCTAAGAACATGATGAGGTTGTGAAACTATTATGATCAGTATATTATGATGTAACGCGAAGCTGACTGGACAAAGAGTATAATACATCTGCGCGTCTCCCATGATGTAGTTAGCCTCAAGTAGAGCATTTGAATGCGGTTCCTTCATATGAGAAATTTTAGTAGTAGCACGATCCTGCTTACTCAACAGTCCAAAGTAGCTTCTTATTTTCCCACGTCTGGGATGAAAATGAAACATATTCAGTGATATACGCCTTCCTTGGCCTTGCTTCTTCAACAACAACAATACCCACCTAGGGTTTCTGCTCCACAAAAGATAGGACGATCGGTGACCGGATTACCTTGTCTAAGCCGTTGACCAGCGGTCGCCAACCTTGAGCCGGAACCCCGTACTCGAATTGTCGCTTCACTAATTATTAGACGGGGTAGCAGACTCTTTCTTCTACTTCAAATTTCTCAAGATCTTTTCGAAATGTGGTTGTTCCTGCAATCAACAGAGATTGTTAACGGCAACCATGTAATATAGATTGAGATGAACAAACTGACAAAGTAATAGCAAACAGCAGCGTTCTTGTTCTCGGGGAAGCTGAAATATAGAAACATGCCATAATTGTAAATCCCAGCACCATTTGGAGCGTCGAGCCACCAGCACTGGTCCATCGAGTTGAAGTAAACGTACGCTTCAGACTCTGGTTGTCGAAACCAATCACGTCCCTTGTTCTTAGAGGTTGTGTGGATAAGGATATCACTAAGTATCACTCTTAAACAAGTGATCCCTGGTTCATCTTGAGTGGATTCCCTTCCTTCCTGCTGGTTAGAATCTTCCCCTTGACCAGAGTCTATGAAAATGGTGGAAGAATCCACCAAGAACAAGAATGGTAGTGATCCAAGCCTAGCCTTAACATTCAGTTTCTTCCAAGTCGATTTAGTATCCCAGCCTTGCTGCTCGCACACAGATCCAAATCCTGGTGGAATCTTGGTTGCTGCTGTTCTCTCGTATCGTCCGGAGACACCAACGAGGTAGTCAGAAAACTCTTTTGTAGAGGCAGTGGGATTTTTAGAACGTGAACGTCACTTTCTTATCGAATATTTGAATACGTCAACAAACCTAATGTGATCTGAATCCATAACCCAACCCGAATACGTCAGACCTAATGTGATCTGAACCATAATGGTAATGTGATATGAATCCATAGACGATAACAAACCCTAACCGTAATATGCTATAAACCCATCCGCTCGTGATAGAAGAGGTTCTTGATCCGGTGTCCTATAGATTTCTTACCCTCTTTATGTTTCTTGTTCCTATGACTAGACGAGTCTATCAACTTACTACCTATGAGTCCTGCCTTAAGACCAGCAAGAGTCTTATTCGAGTCCGGATCTGCCATGTCGTTTGGAAAATTGACTACTAAGCTCTGTACCATGTCTGCACGCCGGAGACTCTTGGTGCTGCCTTCCTTAGACTTAGAGTCTGTCAGCTCATACTTGTTGATCTCGCTCCCTTCATCTCGGCCCCTTTTCCATGAAATACAGGGGAATCGGGTACTGCTCGAGATGCTGAGAACAAAGATGGAAAAAAGCTGACCTTAACTTTCTTTTTGTATTCATCCAACACTTTTAGGACGTCTTTTGCCCGACTGTCATTGGCAATGGCACGAGGTGCAGCACCTATCAGGCCACCGTTCTCCGGATCCGCGCCAGCTTCTAAGAGCATGCGAGCACCAACAGCCAAGTTATTCGAAGCCATGCGGTGAAGAGGTGTCAAGAATTAGAGCTGGTTTTTCGCAATCACATCAGAATCTACTATCTGAAACAGTATCAAATAAGAGCTACGCACTTTACGTAGTGAAGGGTTATACTCTTCTCACTTTATTTAGGAACAAAATTTTTCACAAGAACAATGTCAATGGTACTACTGCTACTAGCTACCTAGAGACAAGTAGAGTATCAGTATCCTGAATGAATTGACAAGTTGTGCCGACTCCCATCCTGAACTAATTTTGACTAAGTACTCTGAACATTATGAAGTTTCTCCACCAATCTTCATAAATTCCATATGTATCCAAGGCCTCTACATCTGCCCCAAATCGGCAGAGTGTGTGCACCGCTTCATCGTTCCCTCTGCCCATCCCTGCCATGTGGAGGGGCTGAGCGCCACCCGTACTTTCGTCCACAGCCAAGTCAGGATATTTCTCGAGTAAAGCACGTAAGGCTGGTTTCTCGTCTATTAGAGGAAGAGGAAGGCAAGCAGAAGCAAGTAGCAGGAGGTCTTTTTTCTAAAGACCTTTATTTAGGGGTTGCGCAATTACACTCTTCAGATCATCCTTGACTTCTTTCCTATTGGAAAATAAGTCAAGAATGGTAGTGAAGGATGCAATTCGGTAACCCTTAATTTATAGTTCACATCGTTTATGAGAAGTAACTGATTCTGTGGACCACAATGGAGTAGCTGTGGACCACAATGGAATAATTCCATCCAATCGTCGTAGTTGTGGTTTTTGTTACAAATAGATACAAGTAAAAAGATTGCAATGGCAAGTGGAAGAAAACACCTCAAACAGTAAAACTTCTTATTTGACACCATAAGTACTGGTCTTTGCCTCCTGTCTCGCGTAGCGCGATATTCACAGGGGTGTATCCCCCACCGGCATACACCGGTCCCGGTCTTGGGTTGTGGTTTTGATGGATTAGAAGGTGACACATATATTTTAGCATGTCTGTGGTGAAACCAGAGAGCGAAGAGGTTTCTAACACAGCTTTATTCCAACCAATGAGCTATAGTATAGGTATATTTTTTTCAACAAATATACTTGGTTGAAGTTCTACTCCTGCCTCAAAAATTATTGCTATTTTACCTAGTTCAAAGTGAATCTCGTCTACTCCTGCCTTAAATATTGCTTTCCGACGATGACCGCACCAGTCTCCGGACTTCGCTCCACTCGACCGCCATAAATTCCGGGGCCCACTGTATCCCGATACGGGTCGAAGCCTTCATTATCTGTCTTGCCAGGCGCTCCATATTTCTCCACCATACCTGGTGCATAGGGATCGTGCGTAATTCGCACACCACCTTTAGAGGTACCGCGTCGCATCCTCCTGGAGGTTCATATCCTTGACGCCTTCTTTTTCCCCTCGAAGAGGAGGCCGAGGATCATGATGTAGTAGGGGGATGCTTCAGCGATAGCCTTAACATCTGCACGGTAGTAATCCGCTTCTTTCACCATCTCGTCGAAGGCTGTTCGTGTTCCCGCTTGTCCAGCTATGTAGTCTTGTCCTTCTGCAGCGTTTTGGTGTACTCGTTCACCGCTTGCGAAAAAACGGAAAGACGATGAGGCGAAGTAGATGAGACCATGAAATTTTGACCTAGCGACAGAAGAACGGACTATAATCATGATCCAACAAGAGAACGAAGGATAGGATAGGATCCAACAGAAAAACTAAGGAAATGAGAATACAACTACCCTTAGATCATATGAATCACTCTTCTCCAAGAACTCCAGTGAGGCCCTGTGTGTAGGTAGTGGAGTAAATAGCAAATACTCAGCAAGGATAAACAGCTGCATCTTCCTAAATTTCAAAGGAGAATTCTTATTCTACACATGCTCCCTCGTCCAGGTATTTATTTCTTACACATCATGGTCCTCGTCTCGTGACATGAGCCTCATTGGCGACGTCTTTGTAAAAAAAAACTCGTCAATGGCTGTTCTCGTTGCACTCCATTTGGTCCCGGAACACTTTTGGTTCAAGATGCTTAATATTATCAGCTGTTGGACAGGTTCTGCGAGACGATGTACATCAACAACAACAACATACTGGTGTGCAATGAATCATATACATCATGGATATTCCTTTCACATTCTTTTCCTTCTTCGAGGGGTTCTACACATAGGGATACTTCTTCAACAACAAACATTCGAGTCTAATCCCAAGGAGAGGTCCATTCCTAAGACATGACTTCATTGAAGTAAGTATGGTCAGGTTAGGTTAGGTTGGGGCCTACCATCCGACGTGGTAGACTTAAACGGCTGCTGAAGAGCCTGGCAAACGTGCTGCACTACGAGTTGATTACTATAGCCTAGCTCAACCCTGGAAAGAATGCAGAAAAAAAAAGCCGTTCACTGCCACTTGTTCTCTTTGTTTTCGATCTTCTTGAGAGCTACTGGTCTATGCATAATTTGCTGTACATGCTTTCGTTCGATCAACTTACTACAAAGACTAAGTAGATTTCTGCTCAGACAAGATGAAGAAGAACTACGTCGCTAAACAATAGTAGTAGGTACAAGTTGGCTGCTTGAGTATACTTTCTTAGTTGAAAATTGTGGCTCAGGAGTAGTTGCCTCCAATGGTATACATGTAGTTATCCTTGTAGTTCTCGTGATAATCATGTTACACTCTTAACAGATTCATTCATTCATTCGAACCACGTACCTCTACGAGCAACTGCCTAGTTCCGAAATGCGATAACTGTGCAGAAGAGTCATGAAGAAGACAAACTTAGATAACTGTGTGATGTTCTGAGAAGGTCGTGGATTAGTCAAAAAACTAGTACATTTTTGTTTTCTGCCATGTTGAAATATGCCGACTCATTTCTTTCGGAAATCTACAAAATAATAATAAATTAATTGAAAGTTGGACAACATTAGTAACCCTGTGCTTGGACGAGTAGGAGGACAAGTTGAAAGGTCAGGATGTAGCTGAGTAGGCGCCAGGATACCCATCAGTTCTGATGGAGATGGTATTTTTATGCTCACGTGGTATGATTCAAATTTGTTTCACAGTGATAAATAGTACGTCGCTCAAGTTATTTTCTTGCCTTCACGACTCGACATATTCGGTTCCAAGCCGGGATCTGTGAAAGAATGAAGAAGATCATTGTTCACACATCTCCAAAATAAATGTTCCTCTTCTTGTTGATATCCCGTTCCTGACGGTCTTCTCTTAATAAAAAATTGCACTTGTCTTGTCGTTCATCTTGTTGATCGTCTGAAGATCGATGTGCATCTTGTTGTGAAGCCAATTTCTGTATGATGTTGAGGCACATCAACTACTGCCCCTCAAAAGTAGATGCCTGTGTAGACTGAAGTAGATGCCTGATGATGTGCAGGCTGAAGTAGATGAAGATGAGCAGTCTAGTAGAGTTATCACCGGTGATGAGCAGTAGACGACGATGAGCAGTAATTGTAGATGTAGATGGCACTCAGCTGGAACAACTTATTCTTGCTGCACGAAGATATTGAGGAAAGCCGGTTGCTGTACGATGTTGAGTCCTCGACACCCGTCCAGAGTAAACAAACCGATTGCGGCTGTACAATGTTCACCCGTGGTCCACAGTGACAATTGAGCGGCTCACCCGTCCCTAGTCGCAAACTAGCCGCAGCACGCGTGCTCGTCACTACCCTTTTGATTAGAAGAGAGAACGGGACTCTGTCCAAGAGGTCCAGGGAGTAGCTGTCAACACCCTCTTGGACAGAGTCCCGTTCTCTCTTCTAATCAAAACATATCGATAGGACGATCGGAGACCTGATTACCTTGTCTAAGCCGTTGACCAGCGGTCGCCAACCTTGAGCCGGAACTACTCTTCTACTTCAAATTTCTCAAGATCTTTTCTAAATGTGGTTGTTCCTGCAATCATCGGAGAGAACGGGACTCTGTCCAAGAGGCCCAGGGAGACCGCCTCAAGCCTGTCAAGCTGTCAACAGAGGCCCATGAGTAAGTAGTACTACCAACTAGTGCCTTTGATGTAGTACAACCATTTAGTACTAATCCTGTTCTTGAAGTCAGTGTAGAAGAAGACAAACATTGAGCTTATACTTAAATCCATTCTTAACTTCAACAGCAAGTATCCTTTGCGATCCACGCAAATTCACTCGCCTACGTTTTTCACGTTTCTCCCTGCGCCGACCGATGTTGTTCCTAGTGGTGGAGGAGGCGGAGCCTTCTGGTTGTGAGTGTATTAGAGCAGGATGAAGAGTGAAGATCATGATGCATCTTATCCTCTTATGTACTCTATCGCCACCTGTCTCACAAAGTACTACGTGCTAGATGACATCTTTGACTCTCCGAAATATGGTACTAAGTAATAGATCATGATATCCTTAAATTGTTGTTCTTGAGTCTCACATATTATTCAAGTAGTTTCAAACTATGTAGAAAAATCATGTGTAAGTAGCTCCATACTAGTGCATGTACTTGAACAATCAAAGTGTGCATTTTATCAGAAATAAGAACTATCTTAATCTTCATGAGAACCCCTGAGTTAAAATCAGGACTGTGAGCCTTAGCGGGGTGTCTCCTTCTGATGCACTTGCTGTTGTTGAGGCCACTGTAGTATCTCCCGAGCTCCCCGGTGACGCATTACTCGTTCTTGATGATGCTGATTGTGGAGTCACAGCAAGCCCCCTCGCAGTCAGCTGGCGTCTCGTTCTTACGCCAGGCGTAGACACCGTGCCAGTGCTAGAACCCGAAGCAGACTCAGACGCGGCACCAGGCTCAACAGGCTGCGGAGTCGCAGCACCGTCAGTAACCGCATGGTCTCGTCCAGGAGTCACGGGAAGCCGAGGAGTCGCAGCATCTTCTCGTCGAGGCTGAGAAGTCGCAGCTGGCTTACGATGGACTGCAGGCTGGGAAGCATCAGCAGACGCAGAGCCAGGAGTCGTAGGGGGCACACCAACTTCCTCCGGTGACGCCGCCTCCTCCACCTCCGCGGCCTTCACCTTCGTCTCCGCTGCCTCCGCTGCCTTCGCCGTCTCCGCACCTTCTCTTCCACGAGTCACGGGAAGCTGAGAGGTCGCAGCATCGTCAGTAACCGCACCTTCTCGTTCAAGATTCACGCGAAGCTGGCCATTCTCAGAAGCCGCGCCAGTCTCAGAAGCCGCGCCAGGCTCAGAAGAAGCCACACCAGGCTCAACAGGGTGAGGGATCGCAGCAGGCTCAGGATCGACTGCACCAGGTGGGGAAGCATCAGCAGACGCAGAGCCAGGAGTCCTAGGAGGCACATCAACAGGCTCAGAGAATTCTTCCTCCCCTGACACCGGAAACGTAGCAGTATCTGCAAGAGCAACCTCCGGCACCGAAGCCGATCCCGCAGGTGCCTTCGTATCCAAAGCTGCCGCCCGTTCCCTTGCCTTCGCCAACTTCTTCCTTTCCTCCGCTGCCTTCGCCTCCGCCTGCGCTGTCTCCGCCTTCGTCTCCGCTGCCTTCAACTCCTCCGCATCTGCCTCTGCCTTCGCCTCCGCTGCATTCGCCTTCGCCTTCGCTGCCTTCGCCTCCGCTGCCTTTGCCTCCGCTGCCTTCGCCTCCGCTGCCTCCGCTGCCTTCGCCTCCGCTGCCTTCGCCTCCACTGCAGACGCAGCACCAGGACCAACAGGGTGAGGGGTCGCAACGCCAAGAGCCCCAGGGGGCACACCAGCACGCTCAGATGATTCCGCCTTCCCTGACGCCGGAGGCGTAGCAGCATCTGCAGGAGCAACCCCCGGCACCGGAGCCGACCCCGCAGCTGCCTTCGCCTCCGCAGCATTGTTCGTCTCCGCAGCTTTCATCGCCTTCGAAGCTGCCACCAATTCCGCTGGCTTCGCCGCCTTCTCCTCCGCCTGCGCTGCCTTCGCCTCCATCTCCTCGTCAATGAGAGGCTCACGGCGTCGAACAATGTCAACGTACTCTTTCAGCATTGCTCGACGCCGAGCATTCGGAACCGCTTTCCCACTAGTTACATTTTCTACGCGCTCGAGTGCGAGCACGGCTTTCTGCTTCCATTCTCTTCTCCTCTCACTTGGTCCGCGGTCGAGCTTTATTTTTAGCCCTTGCCCAAACCCATCCCGGTCAGCGTCTTCACTTCCTTTTCCCCTTCAAAATCAGGCCAAGACGCTGAAAGAAATGGATCTTCTCAAGCCTTAACTCTAGCGAGTTCCCCATGCATGTCACCAGGTCCGTTTGCATGGAACCCCAGATAATAACTCCTTCATCGGGATCCGCCACAGCCATTTTGTTGAGCCTGTTCGAAACGAGCAACAAGAAGTTTGCGAGGCCCAATCCTTCTTCCTCTTGTTCTTGCCTGGTGTGCTCACTGGGTAAAGAGAGATCCAACATTAGGGCCTACTAATAGAACACAAATTCTCCATCATGATCCCTAGGAGTAGCCCTTGTGGCTGCGATCCCATCCCCAGGGAAGACGCTACCCCTTTAGAAGCGGAGCCACAAGGTTCATCGTCCGCCAATTTGTTCACTCATCGTGGGATGCCTTAACAAGAAAACACACAGCAGCGCCCCAAGCGCACGGCCGTTTGTCGTGCTAGGCGCCCGGTTCTCCCGAATTGCCTTCGTGTCCTCGGAGGAGTTGTCGAGCTGGGAGAACAACTCGGTAATCTTCTTATGGTCATCGGTATCTTTATCGTTCAGCAAAAACTTCAGCGCAGCAAACGCGTCAGGCAAAAAGCTGTGTCGACAGTCTTTCCCTAACATTCTCAACTGCTCCCAAGCGTTGGTGGTCCCCTCTTAGAGTCGCCCTCTACTCATCCCGGCCCCTTCTCCCTTGTATCCTTGCTCTACGTATGGGATGAAGAAAAGGGTAGCACCGCTGAGGTGCTGATGAAAGATGGCGATTAAATGTTGACCATAACCGTAGATGACCCTGTTGATCATCGTCTCAACGCTCTTCACGTGCACTGAAACTTGACTATGCCTATCTGGTAGATCGAGCTTCAGCGACTCTAGATCCTGAAACCTAACGCATTTCGTCGCGTCCCGGTCCACCTGCTCTGCTGCTTGCAAAAAAGAAAGTGAATTAGAGCTACCGCGGTGCCGTCCCTAAGTTGTGCATCCTTGGTCCGTTTTTCAAGTAAAAACGAAGAACCTCGAAGGATCATCCTGAAACTAAGGAGACATGCTTGAACGGTAGCCTTAAATGAAGGAAAAGAAGAGCTACTTTTTTTAGCGTCCGCTCCATCGACACTTTTAGCTGGCGCCAGGTATTCCCATTCTCCTCCATTCCAAGTATCGGTAAGCCCCTAAATTGTAAGTGGTTTTACTTTATTTCAAATTTTCCTCCATTCAAATTGGTTGCTCTAATTGCATAAAAGAATATCGTTGAACTATATTTTTGTTTTCCTCCATTTCAATTAGTTGCATGCTCTACTACTACTTGCATAAAAAAATATAGTTTAACTTTATTGATTTTTTCCATTCAAATTGCTTTATTTCTATAAAAAAAAAGTAGCACTATTAGATGGCAGGCTACTATAAAGAAATAGAGATGACAAGAAGTGTTGAAGTACCCAGCTCGAAGAAGTAGGCTCTTCCAAAAAAGATGTCGGCTGTCCGAGTTTTGTCGTCTCGTCCCAGAACAACGAAGTAGACTGCTCATTTGCTAGTAAAGAGAGGAGCGCTGTTTTCTCCCATGCTTTACTATCTCCACTGCTCTCTCCATGATAGTCTACTCCACCTAATGCGGTGGCCTTTTCGACTCCACTGCTGTCTCCGTTGTCTACTCGTCCTAATATGCCCGTCTCCACCTTCTGCTCGTCTCCACTTTCTGAATTAGAGCTCACTGCGCCCCTGTTCTTCCTCCATCTACTTCTACTTGTACAACATCCTGAAGAGACCCCATCAGTTTCTGTAATTATTTCTTCTTCTTATGTTGACTTCCCTGAAGATGCATCGGGTTATTCAATCAACTGAAATAAAAAGCAAGGAACGAACTACTTATAAAATAAGCGAGATGCTGAAGGAAGAGCGACTGCGTGGTGACTCTTATAGTTCAGTTAGCAACTCGCGTATTATTTTCCCTTTTCGAATAGGTGAGGTTTAGCTTTAGGACGACAAGCCTTAATCGTATCAGTGCTGTTCTGTTCCAAGAATCTAGCAGTAGCAATGCTGTTCTGTTCCAATGTCTTCGACTCGAAAACAGCAGGATCGCCGTCTGCTTCCAAGAACTATTGATGGTATTCAGCACCTATAATCTAAGAAAAAGAAGAACTGAAAACAGGAGCGACTATTCCATTCCATGAAGTCTATCAGTGGCTAGCATGCCAACCCCTAGACTATACGATGACAAATATATATTATAATCAATTATTAGATCAACAGTGTTACAAATAATACCATGATGTTGTTGTTGCGCAATGAACGAGGAGAAGCATCTTGTGCAGCCTGATTTTCAAGTCGTGAGTCCTGGTGGGGGAGATCATCGAATTCTTGCCCGTCAGCAACACAGAGCGAGGCAAACAGCGAAAGCAAAGCGAAGCACCAGGGGTAACAAACAAATTAGATGAATACCTTGGTGGAATTGCAAGTAGTTTTCAAGGCTGCTTGACTCTCTTCAAGCTATGAAATCAGAGCTGTGCTTAAAGATATGAACGTCGTGGTTGCTTGATAATCTCAGACAAGCAGTTCTGATTGAACAGACCTAAAAGGCAGTTTGCCTCTGACTGAATGACTCACTGAGCGGTTAATTGCTTGCCTGACTGATTGGTTAATTGATTGGTTAGCTGATTGTTTGACTGCTTGGTTAATTGCTTGGTTAGTTGACTAATCAATTGCCTGATCATCTGATACTGAAAATATTTATTTTTCCTTAAGAAAACCGCTCCACGCACGAAACCGGAAGTGTAATGGCAATCGGATCACGATGACGTTTCTGGCTCAACCTATAAGCTTCACGAACAAAATCAGACGCTTGTACTTCACAAAGACAGCCTTGTTGTCCACGAGAAGAAAATGGTTGATGTCCACGAAAAGATGATGCTTGTACTTCACGAGAAGATGATGCTTGTACTTCACGAGAAAATGATGCTTGTCCTTCACGAGAAAATGGCGCTTGTCCTTCGCGAGAAAATGGCGCTTGTCCTTCGCGAGAAAATGGCGCTTGTCCTTCGCGAGAAGATGGCGCTTGTCCTTCGCGAGAAGATGGCGCTTGTCCTTCGCGAGAAGATGATGCTTGTACTTCACGAGAAAATGATGCTTGTACTTCACGAGAAAATGGCGCTTGCCCTTCGCGAGAAAATGGCGCTTGTCCTTCGCGAAAAGATCGCGCTTGTCCTTCGCGAGAAGATGATGCTCGTACTCCACGAAAAGATGGCGCTTGTCCTTCGCGAGAAGATGATGCTCGTACTCCACGAGAAAATAACACTTGTCCTTCGCGAGAAGATGATGCTCGTACTCCACGAAAAGATGCTGCTCGTACTCCACGAGAAGATGATGCTCGTACTCCACGAAAAGATGATGCTCGTACTCCACGAGAAGATGATGCTTGGACTTCCCAAGGGGAGCCTTGTCCTTCACAAGAAGGAACACGCCGTCCGCTGCATTCCTTCTCAGAGGAGGCCATTATGATGTGGTTCTTTTCCATATGGGAGGTCTCAACAAAGATAAGAAGAAGGTAAAGGATTGTTCAACAACAAGAAGACTTTTCGAAGTTTTTGCGTGGGGCAAAAAAGTCCTTCAAGAAGACTAATTTTTTGAGGGACAGGAAAGGGAACGAATTCTATCTTTATTCATGATCGGCAAAAATCGAGGTCTGACGTCAGGGTTTTAAGGGCGAGCAAGGAGAACCACAAGGGGCACAAAACCGAGGGCCAGGACTCTCAGAGTTTTAAGGGGAAAGCCAGGGAATCCCAGGGTTGCCAGTGTGGGCTAAATCGCGGTCGGGTCAGGGTTTGGCATCTCAGGGTTTGCAAAAATGGGCACAAGACAAAAGTCAGGATCCAGACCAGTTCTCAGGGTTTGCAGGCAGAATGGCGGCCAGGGTTTTGCGTCTCAGGGTTGGGCATGCCAGAGGTGACGGCCTCAAGGTTCGCCCGTGCCAGGGTTTAGCGCCTCAGAGTTTCGCGCGTCAAGGTTGGGGAATGTCAGGGTTTCACGCCTCAGAGTTGCGCAGTGTCAGGGTTTACAGCCTCAGGGCTTCGCGGGTCAGGGTTTCGGCGTGTCAGGGTTTCACGCCTCAAGGTTGGCGGATTTCAGCACTTCCCGCCTCAGAGTGGCACAGTGTCAGGGCTTAGCTCCTCAGAGGTTCGCGGGTCAGAGTTTCAGCGTGTCAAGGTTTCACGCCTCAGGGTTGGCGGATGTCAGGGCTTCCCGCCTCAGAGTTGCGCAGTGTCAAGGTGGCGCGCCTCAGGGTTGGCGGATGTCAGGGTTTCCCGCCTCAGAGTGGCACAATGTCAGGGCTTCCCGCCTCAAAGGCGCAGCGTCAGGGTTGAGGGCCTCAGAGTTTCGCGGGTCAGAGTTTCAGCGTGTCAAGGTTTCCCGCCTCAGGGTTGGCGGGTGTCAGGGTTTCCCGCCTCAGAGTTGCGCAATGTCAGGGTTTAGCGCCTCAGAGTCACGCGGGTCAGAGTTTCGGCATGTCAGGGCTTCCCGCCGCAGAGTTGCGCAATGTCCTCAGAGTTTAGAGCCTCAGAGTTTCGCGGGTCAGAGTTTCGGCGTGTCAGGGTTTTGCGCCTCAGGGTTGGCGGATGTCAGGGCTTCCCGCCGCAGAGTTGCGCAGTGTCAGGGTTTAGCCCGTCAGGGTTTCGCGGGTCAGAGTTTCGGCGTGTCAGGGTTTTGCGCCTCAGGGTTGGCGCATGTCAGGGCTTCCCGCCTCATGTGCGCAGTGTCAGGGTTTACAGCCTCAGAGTTTCGCGGGTCAGAGTTTCGGCGTGTCAGGGTTTCCCCCCTCAGAGTTGCGCGGTGTCAGGGTTAGCCCCTCAGAATTTCGCGGGTCAGGGTTTCGGCGTGTCAAGGTTTCCCGCCTCAGGGTTGGCGGATGTCAGGGCTTCCCGCCTCAGAGTTGCGCAGTGTCAGGGTTTGGCCCCTCAGAGTTTCAGGGGTCAGAGTTTCGGCGTGTCAGGGTTTTGCGCCTCAGGGTTGGCGCATGTCAGGGCTTCCCGCCTCAAAGTTGCGCAATGTCAGGGCTTCCCGCCTCAGAGTTTCGCGGGTCACGTTTCGGCATGTCAAAGTTTCCCGCCTCAAAGTTGCGCCAGGTCAGGGTTTAGCGCCTCAGAGTGTCGCGCCTCAGAGTTTCGGCATGTCAAGGCTTCCCGCCTCGGGTTGCGCCAGGTCAGGGTTTAGCGCCTCAGAGTTTCGAAGGTCAGAGTTTTCGCGTGTCAGGGTTTCCCGCCTCAGAGTTGCGCAATGTCAGAGGTTCGCGGGTCAGAGTTTCGGCATGTCAGGGCTTCCCGCCTCAGAGTTGCGCCAGGTCAGGGTTTAGCGCCTCAGAGTTTCGCGCCCCACAGTTTCAGCATGTCAGGGTTACCCGCCTCAGAGTTGCGCAGTGTCAGGGTTTAGCGCCTCAGAGTTTCGCGCCTCAGAGTTTCGGCATGTCAGGGCTTCCCGCCGCAGAGTTGCGCAATGTCAGGGGTTAGCGCCTCAGAGTTTCGGCATGTGAGGGCTTCCCGCCTCAGAGTTGCGGCAGGTCAGGGCTTAGCGCCTCAGAGTTTCGCGCCTCAGGGTTTCCCGCCTCAGAGTTGCGCAATGGTAGGGCTTAGCGCCTCAGAGTTTCGCGCCTCACAGTTTCGGCATGTCAGGGTTACCCGCCTCAGAGTTGCGCAATGTCAAGGCTTAGCGCCTCAGAGTTTCGCGCCTCAGAGTTTCGGCATGTCAGGGCTTCCCGCCGCAGAGTTGCGCAATGTCAGGCTTTAGCGCCTCAGGGTTTCGCGCCTCAGAGTTTCGGCATGTGAGGGCTTCCCGCCTCAGAGTTGCGGCAGGTCAAGGCTTAGCGCCTCAGAGTTTCGCGCCTCAGAGTTTCGGCATGTCAGGGCTTCCCGCCGCAGAGTTGCGCAATGTCAGGCTTTAGCGCCTCAGGGTTTCGCGCCTCAGAGTTTCGGCATGTGAGGGCTTCCCGCCTCAGAGTTGCGGCAGGTCAGGGCTTAGCGCCTCAGAGTTTCGCGCCTCAGAGTTTCGGCATGTCAGGGCTTCCCGCCTCAGAGTTGCGCAATGGTAGGGCTTAGCGCCTCAGAGTTTCGCGCCTCAGAGTTTCGGGATGTCAGGGTTTCCCGCCTCCGAGTTTCGGCGGGTCAGAGTTTCGCCGTGAGACCCTGTTTCACCGAGTCGCGCAGACGTTAGCGGGCTCTAACGCGGCCGCCAGCCGCGTTTGGGCCGGCTAACGTCAGGACCGCAGGGGGGCCTGAATCGGCTCGCGCACCGGGGGGAGACCGCCCGCGGTACGGGGGGCCCGAGGCTGGAGCCCGCCCACGAGCTGCGTGTGGGTGTTTTCACCGAGAATCTGCGGGGAAACCTGCACGCGCGGGGGGGTCATTGTCCTGTAGCGGGTCTCACGCGGGGTATATTCTCAACGCGCAGTGGTGTCGCTTTAGTCGGGATGTTTTCCTTCGCTCACGGTCTGTCTCTCTCCTGCCCCTAGCAGCTCATTCTCCCTCGTTCACATTTCCCTCCTCTCGGACCGCTAAACACCCGGGAAACGACTAGTGTTGATATTCATATTATTAGGTTTAGGAGAGTGTTGTAGTTGTGACCTAATCCGTCCTCTTCATGACATGGTCTTGAATCGTACTTAGACCTTTTTCATACAACGCACGCAATCCTATATCTAAGATATATGGGTGGCGATAGGCTTTGTCATCATCCTCATTACGTCTCAAATGGTCCTCAGGATGAAACAGTTCCTGTCAAGATTCCGAAGAATGGCGAGAGGAAGCGTAAGCCTAATCAGGGGATGCAAATCAATTGCTGACCGATCAATCAGGGTCTCTCCTACATTCTTTTGGGGGACAGGGACGTAAGCGTGTTCTTCCCACTCTTTGACCATACCGATTTCAATTCCGACATTTCAACAAGTGATTTTGGCTAGACCGATTTTCTACACCTCCAAGATATATACTATGTATGTTGCTCCCTCACTCTGGTACCCAAACTCTGCCACTTCTTCTCTCCAAGCATCATTATTTCCTCACTCTGCTACTTCTTCTACCGAAGGTCTCGCTCACTACAGCAGGGTGTACGGCATATGGACTTCCTCCGAGTTCTTTCGTCTCTCTTGAACAAGTAGAAGTATACTCCTGAAGAAGAAATGCAGCCGTTGTAGTACTTCCTACTGTACTATCATTTTGTAGACCGTACGGTACTGATTTTTCTCTCGTTAGTACCTGGAAAAGCAGTATCAGGCTCATTCATTCATTGGCGGCCTCGGCTGCCCTCGAGAAGTGGGCTAATGCTCGCCGTGTCACAGCAGTCGTGCCTATACGAGTGAGACATTTGAAAGCATTCCCTTTCTTAGAGGTTTAGGAATTCCATTCCTCAGAACATCCCTGACTCATTTCCTACAGGAAAAAGAGTCAGGGATGATAGTGAGGGATGTAACGTGGGAACCCTTAACTCTCAGTGCGTCCATGATAGTATTGATAATAAACCAGTCAGCCTTCTTCTTTTAATAGAAAAAGACTACTTGCATGACCACGTCACATCCGCTACCAAATCCTAACGAATGTCACAACATCACATCCGTTATCACGACATCACATCAAATTATAGGGACCACGTCATCTATGTGTTCACTTTCACATCCGTAGTTTTCACTTAAAAGATAAAGATAAGGTTTAATGTGATTGATAACAGTAGATGGCGCCAATATTTGATTGATAACAGTAGATGTGAGCCCTCGTGGAGGGTTAGTCGGATCGTCCACCTAGTAGTTTATCCACATATGTACCCGGTAGAGAGGCCCCCCCTGTGGATGGAGTATATATAAATATGTAAATGGATTAACTACTGGTACTGATGTCCTGATCTTTCATTATAACTGCAGTTAGTTCATAGTTCTAGTCTTATCATAGGATGTCAATGTCTGGTGGAGCTTTTTTATGATTGATTCCTTATAGAAGACAGCTATTTTGTTATAGTGTCCTGATTAACTAACCCCCTTTTTGCAGGGGTGCACTATTGCACAACAGAAAACTCTCTGGTACTATTGTACAACAGAAAACTCTCTAGTACTCTTGTACAACAGAAAATTCTCTGGTAGTACTTTTGTACAACAGATTCTCTAGCATTGTTGTGCAACAAGTGTAGGGAGTCCTTGTAACTGCTTAGGCCGTAGGAGCATCTCCTCATATACTCTGGTTGTGGTTCCTAGCTGATGTTGCCGCAAGAATAGTCTCGCTTGAGAGAGCAGACTAAAGCTATCTTAAGTAGCATCCATTGGTCGCTAGATAAGTGCACAGCCTGTTCTTCAGTAGCATTGGAGGCACGTCCCGAAAACCTGCATAGACAATCTTGTTGAGGTCCCCCAGAAGTCTTGGTCGAAGCGAGGAACTTCATCTAGCCTTGCTTTTTCCAAGTAGTACATTTACTTCACCTGGTTGCTCTTTGAGGCAATCTAGTTGAAGCCTGCTCACCTCCACCTTCTCTTTAAGGCAATTTCGTTGAAGGCTGTGGACTAAATGCTCGCATCTCCGCCAGTATCGCGAATGCTCTATCTCGTGTGTACTTATCCTTCGCACGTTGCATCGCATTCCTGTAAGCGGCGTTGCTGCCGCAAGATGGGACACTCTCTGTTTTCGGTTAGAGTCAACATTTACAGTGTCCATTCCATTCCAGAGAGTCTATCAGAGGCTCTAGCATACGTACCAGCCCATAGCCTATGCGATGCGATGATCCTCAGTCGTCCTCATCTACTAGACCCCTCTATTGCCCTTGTAGTAGCATATAGTCCTATGGAAAAAAAAAATGTAGTAAGTAACTCATAGGACTGATACAGGGGAACAAAAAGGCGTCCAGAGGATGCTCTTGAGAAGGAGAATCACTAGAACTATATGTTGAGGAAATACAGGGAAAAGGGAGCCCCAACAGGATGCTGACAAGACGTGAAGGATGGGCCTGAACACTGTATCTACTAAGTAGTAAGTAAACGTTGCCATAATTCGGGTGGCCGGCTGTTTCATAGTAGATTCTGTCCAATGCGTATTGAGCGGCCAGGAAACTTGCAACTTCAGGAGCAGTTAGTTCCGACTTCAATATTTGGATAGTGAATTCGTCTGCATTCGCATCTCCCGCTGTAAAGGCTCCTTGCCGATCTGGATGAAGACTTAGAAGTACATCTTCCTGGACATGATGATGATACAATCATTGTAGATCCTGTGCTGTACCATTTTTTTGGAGTTTGTTCCTTCACGTCAATTTAAAGGGTGAAACCGAAGAAGACCACGGTCCTTCCCTTCTAATGTCAAACAAAAAGTTTAAGATATGTTTCTTCATAACAAATAGCCCAAGCGGCTTGCATACAAAGGGGAACGCGTGAAAATCGCAACAGGGCCCAGGTGCTTTAAAGCTTGGCCTGTCTTCTCGTCAAAGTAGTAGGCCAGACCCACCTGCCGATTCGGAGCCAAAATATCCAATAGAGTTCCGGTTTTCTCTAGGATTTGAAGGTAAGCAATATGCTGCGGTATTTCTTTAGAGCTTTTGATTGACTTCCATCCCGAGTAGTACTCCTTGACTACCGGCGGGACGATACCGTTCTTGCAACAGTGTATCCCGAAGAACGCCCGTCATTAGTTATCTCCCATCTTAAGCCAGATGATACCATTTATAATTTCCCCTGAGTGAAACAAAATAATAGCTCCAGGATGTACTAATAATTAGTACATCCTGGAGCTATTATCCAGGACTTGATCCTACTCGATCGATGAAGTCTCCAAGGAAGATCGATGCTTCTGAAGATGGATCATGATAGGGACAGCACAAGTTGACAAATCTTAAAAATTTCATTTCCAACTTCCTCGCTGTTGACTCGCTTGATGCGGAAGTATTCGATCGCGTGCTGCTTCACTAATGCGCGATCAGCAAACCCATTGGCTGCACCCCAATCACTGACTCGGCGATGTCTCTGCAGAGAATCCAATACAAAAGCAATTTTCTCGGAGGCTTCCTCTGTTGCGGAACCCGAAGTAATGCAGCCTGTTGCGGAGTCTGCAGCCTCAACCGGAGTAGCAGCAGTCCGGCCATTGACCATGTAAATGAGAAAGTTAGACGTTATACCAATATTGTTCATCTTGCAAGGCCTCTATGACGTCCTTTTTTACCCTCAAAAGGGGACCGACATGTTTGTTCCCAAGACGAATTGCTTATTACGGTAAGGAGCCTTAAGAAAGCGATTGTGAAAATTGTGACCGCTACCGCATAGCTCCCCGAATTTCGAATAAAATGCTTGCCGACCGCCTGCCGAGCGCCCCTTGTCGATGTGGAGGCGATAGTAGGCAAACCAGCGGATGGTCTCTAGCAAGCCCAAACAGCCAGCAAAAACCGCACAAACGCAGGCTTTTTGGTAGACGTTAGATGAGCAGTTTACGGAATTTTCATTACCTTGGTCGGAACGGGAACATCCCTGGCTTCTTTTCTACTAGAAAAAGAATGAAGGACTTCCAATTCTTTTCTACTAGGAAAAGAACCAAGGATGGTCTAGAAGTACTGGGGAACGAATGCAAGTCCATGAATGTAAGTCGATGTTTCCTAAAGAATTGTCCTTCTTGTACGGCCACATCGTCAGCATAAGCTTCCGTCGCCTTACACATCTCTGACAGGCGGTGACAATTGCTGGCACTGCAGAAATTCTCAAGCAAAGATGTAACTGCAGCCCCACCTGAGATCTCCTGGCTTTCTGAAGAAGGACAATGCCAATGAATGTCTTTCTGCTTCTGCTTTGGCGGTTCGAAAGCGGGGCAAAAGTCAAAATTAGAGCTACCGCTTGTTTTTCCAAAGACCTCCATGATGTTGTTCCTGAATGACAAACAGAAAAGCCAACCCCTGTCTTCATCCAAATTTTAGCTGTGCAGGAGTAAAGACGCTCAAGTACTTCGCGTGTAGCTAAGAGGCGGCGCTACAGTTTAACATATGTGTTCAAAATCACCTCAAGTAGGTCGAGGAACCAGACTTAGCATCCCTGGGCGCATCCTTGAGCCCTCTTGTACTTGGCAGCCTTAACAAAAAATTCCGGCCTCATGCAACGGGTCCATGCTCCCTTACCTCGCAGGCACCAGTCCTGATACGCGGACAGCCCGAAGAAAAGAGCAACAAGAAAACAGTTCACTTCGGCGCCTTGGAGAACCACGAGATACCAGGTCAAGGCAGCGAGGGCCAAAGATTAACGCTAGTTTTTCACTATCCCAGGCTGAGTGGTATGCCCTGTCTGTGTCCCCCTGTGTCTCCCCTTGAAATAAAGGTGGACGGACTTCGCTCAGCATACTCCACACGGGATAGGTGAAGGGGACTTCACTCAGATAGGTGGAGGGGACTTCACTCGGCATACTCCACACGGGATAGGTGAAGGGGACTTCACTCGGCATACTCTAGTACATGGGATAGTGATAAACTAGCCTTAAAAAGAGCAGTGAGATTTATGCTTCATCACCGCTGTGACAGTTAGAACTATAGCTCACTTGATGCGTCTCCCTTGGCGAGAGGAATACCCTTACCCTTAATAGGAGGCGCAGCTTCTTTTTCACGTAAGTAGAAAAAGAGCAGCCAAGGATCATGTTGATGATGCTTTCGAAGTAGCAGCCTTAAGACAGCACCAAAGACACGACACAAGATATCACGATCTGCTTCGAGACCGCCGCTGTGGACGCCCTCGATCACTTCTACCGCAGGGTGCTCCTCTTTCAAATGCGTTGCTTCTTGAAATTGTGCAAGAGACAGTTCCGAACCTACAACCTGCGCCACCTCTTCATCGCGAGTAAGATGATACATTCCACTAAGATCATCACTACAAGCTTTCGAATTTTGTACATGGCCGATTCTTAGAAGAGCTATCGCATGTGCTGCCAACTGAAGAGTTGCTACGGACGAGCAAAGGTTCGATTATCACAACTTAAGATCAAATCCTCTTTAGCCCTCCCTGTTAATTTTTCGCAAAAAGAAAAAAATGAGATTACAACACCGTCATTAAGACTATAACAACATTTATTCAGTTTGATGAACAAGAAAGCTGAAGAAGGTGGCGTTCCTCCTGTATACTTGAGGAACGCCACCTTCTTCAGCTTTCTTGGTTCAGAGCTGTTTTTTTTTGTTTTTGGTCCTTTTTTCTAGTCTTCTTAGTTTAACACCCGTGAGAACAGTCTGGCCTTTTGTCAGTATGGGGGATCATCTTTTTACCTTTCCGAGAGCAATCATCCTTCATTCCTAACTTGCTGATTCTAATTCAACTAGTATTTTTCACCTCTCTTAAAATAATACTATGATCCAGGTGGCGTTCCTCAAGTAGGGACGAACCAGATCCAGAGCTGAATACCATACAACACAATGAATCGCGCAGAAAGTTCAGTGCAAACTCCCATAAGGTTGCGGAAAATTGCTTCTTTTGCTGCAAACTCATTTCCTGCTCGCCCCAAAGGTTGCGTTCGAAAAAAACAAGCGGACGACGTGCTTCCCGTTGTTCTCGTGTCCTCAATTCGAATGTAAGCTCCCCACAAGGTATGAAAGGAAAAAGTGCTGCACTTTTTTAGTATAGTGTGCGCCACAAGGCATAATGGCCAGTATCTAAGCTTTAAGGCACGAAGAATTAATATGATCCAGTTGTCAACAAGTAATGCACTATTACAGAAAGAGGTCGTAGGAAACTCGCCACTTGAGTTGAGTAAATGAGTGCACGTTTTTTGTCATACAAGGAAGCAAAGCGGTGCCGTCATGGAGTGGGCGGGTGCCAGACAAGAGATCGAACCCATCAACTCCATATCGAAATAAGTGCTGTCTGAAACGTTTTGCGAAATCTTGAATCCCATGGGACGACGTCGCGAAACCGATGTGGGAAATGCCTTCCCCTAGGGCCTCCGACTCGGAATACTTCTTGTACGGATCTAACCTGTGAGGTATTCAGTTGTCATGTTAGGATGCCTCGGAAGATCAAGCTAAATACTTACCAAGAGTGAGGAGGCCCTACCAGCCTTCTTGTGCCTTCATATGAAGAATCGCCTGAGTTCTCCTAGTCTACTGGCAAGACGATACAGTTCCAACAGTGTGTCCCGAAGGACGGTACCCTCAGCGTATGAGAAAGATACTGAAGCACAAACTACCAAACAATGGTAAAATGATCAAGATGAAAATGATGAGCAAGGTAAAAATGTAGTAAAATTCGCAAATGATGAGCGTCCCTGAGACGCTAGAGGGCTTTTAACATGTAGTTTCCGTACGTAAATTTCATTTTCATACTTCTTAGATGATAGAGAGTGATCATATCAGCTGTAGTCCAAGTGGTCCTAATCTGACGTACTACTCAGCCGAAAAAATTGCATGTATGTTATGATGTAGAATTTGCGGTGGAGCAGACCTAACTAGATAAAACAAAAACCGCTAAAAGATAGAAAAAGAAAAGGCTACCTACCAAGAACAATTTTGTATTTCTATCCAAAGAAGCTAACTATGGTATAATGATGCATACCCAACTACAAAGCTAAGCACGTATAATGATCGATAATACCCCAGGAAGATATTTCCAAGTTGAAGTTCCGCAAGATCCAACAAAGCTTTCATGAGCTGTTCTTTCGCTGCTCGCACTGTCAAGATGGTCCCAGAAGAGCGTCTTCTTGTTAGAGCTACCGCTTTAGCGTCCCTGACTGCACCATTGTTGGTCCATTTTTCAAGTAGACAAACGGCCAAGAAGCATGATGTTGAGGGTGCTTGAGCGGTTGTCATAATGTTGTCCTCAAGGCACCTTTGGTGCTGTATTTCGAATCCATTATTCCAAGCTCCTGCTCCATCAGAGCCTGCCATTTCGTGTCGTAATCTAGGCACTTCATCCCCTCCTCCTCGTGTTTTTTGAAGATTTCTCCACAGATCATCATTAGCGGTAGGGACTTGGTGTTTCTGTATAAGGCCTTTCACTTTCTTAAATGCCTGTCTCCTTTAGGAGAGACATGCAAGTCGGTAACAGAAACACCTTCAACTACCTGCCTTTAACAGTACAGAGGTGGTGGTGGTGGTCCTGGTGGGTCCCTCTCCGACAGACGACTCCGAAATATCCAAATCCAAACGCAGTTTCTTCCAATTGACACCAACTGTCGCCTCGTCTTGCTGGCGGGAAACATCCGAAGCTGTATCGAAAGAGCCAACGACATCGTGCACGTAAGTTTCCCATTTGCTTGGTGCATTAGACGAGACAACTTATATTGTAGTTTTCTCTAAGACGCAAGTAGATGCTTCAAGAAGCAAGTAGATGCTTGAAGAGGACGAGGGGAAACTTATTTTTAGTGAAGCTAGAGAGCTTCTCAGTGAAGCTAGAGGCCCTCTCAGTGAAGCTAGAGGCCCTCTCAGTGAAGCTAGAGGGCGTTTAACATGTAGTTTCCGCCGATTATCTGTAGTAGAAACCTCTTCACAACTAAGAAAGGAAGAACCCTGAAAAAAAAGAAGTACTTAAGTTGACTAATCTTTTAATTTCTTCTCCTCTCTCTTCCATAAGATAAAACATGAATCATCAATAATAAAGTCTATATACAAGTATGCTAGGTCTTAAGAATATCTGCCTTCGCTGCCTCTCTTGCTGCAATTTCTGGCATCTGCATCGTATGATATACTCGTTTGGTGATGTCTTTTTCTTGTTCGGTGATGTCTTTTTCTTCATAATTGTCGTCTTTGTTCTCTTCACCAAACATTTCCCAAAGTTGATGCATTGCGTCGCAGACTCGTGCTGGGTCATTCGCTTCTGCTGCCGCTTCATTGGCCACCAGCTTCTGCTCTTCCAGGTCATTGCTCAGTTTAGACCTTGCTCATATTCATCTTTCATAGAATCTTTCACACGTTTCCTCCTTAAACAGGAGGAAATTTCAGGGATTGAGATGCTTCTTCTTAAGAAGATATTCATCAGTGATTAGACCGAAAAATGGTACTGATTTCATTCTTACGGAATCCTTGGATAACTACTGTAAGCCTTAACCAGTCCGCTGAGGAAGTCCCTCGCCGGGTTCCGTGTGAAGCCCCAGCGCTCCTTAAGTACTTCCCGCAATTTGCAAGCTTAGACGAACTTCTCACGACGACCATGATGATGATCATCATGATGATGATGATCCTGATCATGATGAACATGCAAATTATAATACATAACCCGTTCTTGTTGGATCTCCTATAGTCTACTAAACTCCGTTCTATCCTCGTCCGATTCCTTTCAGCCAAATCTCGACCCGTTCTTGGCTATTTGTCTCTAAAGCTTTATTTACAGTCTGCTGTTCTAGCATACGAGAATATACTTTCGGCACTGACAGGGCGCTCCGGATCAGCCGGCCGCTGTGCTGCGTGTTGGTCCAGTCGGTTCTGTGCCTCCCTTACTCTTTTACTACTACTTGCTCCTGCAGCAGAATTAGAGGAGCGCAAAGTCCATTTTTGCTTTCAAGAGACAAGCGTCCATTGCTTCACACGTCGAAGAAAAGCAGTTCAACATTGCCTCAGACCTCGAGGTCAAGCGCAGTTGTTCATTCCTTGCCGATCTGCCTGAAAAAAAAATGAAACAGAAATAGAAGTTGAAACAGTTGTCCGTCGAGGTCCCTGATCTTTCGTGCTTGAAGAGGAAGTTGTGCATCAAAAATGTCATATGACCCTTGAAAGGAATGATCCAAATTATGTTGAGCCCTAACAGAATCAGAAGATCCACGCCAGGATTCACGCGCACCAGATGTAGAAGACGGCATCGTTCTTACAGGCATGTTTGCGACCCCTCCTTCAGGCCACAATCCTCCAGGAAAATTATCGGGTAATTGTTCTTCAACCTCGGAAAACGGGCAACCATAACTTAGAAGAGAAGCTCAACGATGGAAAACGAAAAAAATCTCACACCAAGAGACGGCGCGTTTAGTTCAAGTTCAGGATATCCCCGTCTCTCGCCCCAGACCTCGGCCCACTTTTTTTTTTCCATAGGACTACATGCTGCCTCCCATTCAACTACTTAAAAAACCCCACTTAATTACTTACATACCGGCTGCACCAAAGGCTGCTTTTTCATTGAGAAGTTTACCAATGCAGAACAAAAAAGAACTCACATGAGGAAGTCTCCTTACATGTCATGTCCTGGTGCCTCTTGTATAGCATTGTGCATCTATGTATGAGGCCTCTCAGTGAAGTCCTACCTTCTAAGAAGAGCTCTACTGTACAACAAAGGGTTTCTTCACAAGGACCACAAGGCCTTCGTGTGTGGAACGGTGAAAAGACTAGGCCTTCTTTTCATCTAAAGCACTGCTTTATCTTTGATATCGAAAATCATCGTTATCCTCGATCCTGCAATGTATAACTGATTCGTTCGCCCGTCGTCAAACTGATTCCTTAACTGTGTGGCTTCATCCGGGGTAGGACATTTAGTTCCACGCATCACCATCGAAACAGGCCCCGGTAAGGAAAGATCTTTCTTTGGATCATGACGAAACTGGCTTCTATCGATTCCAGAGTAGGAGTCTGGTGCCCGTCCGTACGGAGACCCAGGCCCTTCAACACTGCTAAAGTTGGAGCTCTCTCCAAATATGATGGTTCACCCTGCATACTTACTTTATGTTGTAGCACATCGGCTTGTCGATTGTCCCTGAATGATCAAAAGGAATTGAAAAGAAGTCGAGACGGAAATATCTCACCCCCACACAGCAAAAGATGCAATGAGTCATCAAATCATGATGTGAGCCTTAACTAAGTAAGTTGCATCAACATCGTCGCGATCTTGATAACCTTCAGCAACTTCATCACGTCCACGACCAACTCCTTCTCCTTCAGGAGCTTCTGCATTACGTGTAGTACGACGCCGCAATCCAGAACCGGACGACTGCTCAGAATTGACCCTACGTAGAGCAAATGCAGAGGTAGAGAGGATCTGATGGCCGAGGATCAGCATCACGCTCAGGCGCCCGACGGTCAGGCGTGAGGATGAAAGTCGTCTGCCTTTCATTTTGGAACAAGATGGAGAAGAACGACTTTTGAAGGATATATGTTAAATGTAAGAATGTTTCTATCTATTCCGACGAATCACACCTCTTTCAAATCAGATAGTCTTCGTATTGAATCGTATTTGAGTTTGGCAACTTGAGTTTGACTAGATGAAGTGTTTTTTCATCGGAATCTTGCTAAGCAAGAACGTTGTATAAGCCTCTTTTATCAGAGGCTGGAACATGAACTGTCCATGGCTTAATTGATGTGTACAGGGATGGCAAGATCCCCTGTTTCATCTTGCAGACCTGGCAAGTGAGCCCTCACTTTCCAGAGAGAGAAGCATGCTTGACTCACATCAGAATTGACTTGTACAATTTACTTATTCGATAAACTGAAATAACCGAGTAACTATTGAAAATAAGGGAGATACTGAAAGAAGAGGAGTGTTCTAGTCAAGACCCTCTTATTTCAGTCAGTAACTCGCATATTTTGAGTTTTCGAATACTTGGAAACTGTAATCTGACTTGGGAACTTCAATCTGACTTGATATCATGAAGTTCCCCTATTGTTGTAGAGTGTCTCATAGAAGATTTTGATCCAGCACAACATGAAAGACGGCTGCAGCAAAGTCTACTTGCCATTTATATAGACCGATTTCTTAGCGCATCTTCAAAAGCTGTGCAGCGACACCGGCATGATCCCCTATTGTTGTAGAGTGTCTCATAGGAGATTTTGATTCAGCACAACATGAAAGACGGCCGCAGCAAAGTCTACTTGCCATTTATATAGACCGATTTCTTAGCGCATCTTCAAAAGCTGTGCAGCGACACCGGCATGATCCCCTATTGTTGTAGAGTGTCTCATAGGAGATTTTGATTCAGCACAACATGAAAGACGGCCGCAGCAAAGTCTACTTGCCATTTATATAGACCGATTTCTTAGCGCATCTTCAAAAGCTGTGCAGCGACACCGGCATGATCCCCTATTGTTGTAGAGTGTCTCATAGGAGATTTTGATCCAGCACAACAAGGCTGCACCCATCATCAACGGGACGAGCACAACATGAAAGACGGATCCACCAATCAAGAAGTTTTCTCTCCGCTGCAGAGAAGTCTACTTGCTCAAGTAGTTCGCAAGGACGACATGAATGTTCAGATTCGAAGTTGGATGGTGCATTCTTATGAGGATTTCATCCGAATAATATGCCTCACTGAATGTGAGAAAGAGAATTTAGTTCGAACACAGTCCTCCGCAAAAATCCATTCGCCAGGAGCGCTGTCAGCAATCTATCCCCCATCGTTTCCGTACTGTGCGGTGTAGCATGTGAAACCGGCTGGGCGGTTGACAGTTCAGCCTGACGCGTCCAGCTAGCCCTATCTGTGCCATTTCACGTTCGAAGAGGTTAGAAATTGGTAGAATCTTGTCAACATTTGACTTTTCTATCCAGTATCAATCTGACAACAAGAAGAAGAAAGAGATGCTGAAGATGAAGAAAGTCTAGTTGTCTAATCATAACACTCACAAATGATCTCGTTCTCACTTAGCGTAGCTTGCTAGTGGCTTTCTTTGTCGTTCATAACCATCTTATACATTTCAATCGGGTCGACGCCTTCGAATTTGGGTGAGCAAAGCAGCCCCTTAAAATGCTGGTCGAAGACGTATGGACCGCCTTCTCCGTCGTTGTTCAAGTAAAACTGCACTGGTTGAAATTTTTGGTAAATAACATCTCGAATGGGCATTAGATGAAGATTTCGTTGTACATTATGTGAATACTTCTAGAAAGACGACGACGTAGTACACATTACAATTCACTTATAGCCCTCGAGGATGTCATCGAGGTAGTTTCCTCATAGAATTAGCACGAGGAATGAAACCTTTCATCTCTAGACTTTCGTTCAGGCAACGAATTGCGAATCAATATCAGCATATCATACCCGTACGACGGTCTACTACAGTCCCACGAGAGACCGATCATTCTCATAACTTATCATAGTTCGGCGATGGCGGGCGCTTGAACTTCTTGGAGAAGCATGCTGTTGGCGATGGTCCCAAAATGCCGCCACGACTACACGCCGAGTAAGCAAGAGGAGCACTGGACTTCATCTTCTTGCTTCATACAATCTATCGCGATCAGTGTAAAGTGGCAAGCGGGAGAAGGACCTCGATTGTATGCAACTCGTGAAGTAGATGGCATAGTCAAAAGTATGTGTATGTGGTCGGAGTCGAAAGGACATTAACTAGAAGCTCAGACTGGTCTAGTATCTTCAATCAACAAGCTGAATAAATAAATAGGACGTCGGGTGAAGACTAGTTCGCACCTTCCCGTAACAAAGAAGTCATTTCCTTATTGATCATTCGGAAAGGACTTTCTCGCGCGTTCTGAGGCAGCAAAACCGTGCATCGCCTCATTTCGGAAGATCAAGGACTGTGTTTCCTCCACGCACTGTTGAGCGACTTTCTCCGTTCACGACCTACAACCTATAAAACATGTTACGTAGTCAAAAAGGCCAATAAAAAGGGTCATGGCGCGTACCCAGGAAGCCAAGAACTTATACGCGCATTTAAGTCAGCTTGTCTTCGTTCCTCTTCTAGGATAGCCTGTTTTCTTCGTTCTTCTAATACTTTTCGTATTCGCTCCTCTGCCGACAGAGGTCCTTCTTTTCTTTGGCTTTGTTCTACTCCTTGCGCTACTCCCATCAGAGATTGAGATGTAGTAGTGTTCTCGTCCAGTAAAGGAGCAGAGACTCGTCCTTCTCCTTGTGTCATCGATGTAGAAGATGTAGTCCTGTTCTCTCCTACTGCAGAGAAGTTTTCCTCAAGTATACTTCTACCTCCTGTGCGGACATCTGCTGAGAAGTCTCCAGTTGATGAGGGTGTTGCCTGCATTTCTTCATTGCAACTGTCCTCCATCGCATCATTTCGCGTCGGTCTGGTACTCTCTTCTAGTTGATTTTAGAGGATCGATAGCAATCCAAAATAACAAACATCAACTGTAGAAAGAGACTTCAAACTTCAATAGATAGAAAGGTCATATTCATACTTAATCCGCGTGAGCATACTACAATCACATCAAAATTTCCATAACCCAAATTTCCGTCATTCGCTGCCACTTTCTCTTCCATTTCACCCCATTCGTTCACGTTTCTCGTCGTCGCCGCCTCTTGTTCAAAAAGAATTTCGTCCCACACATTGAGCTTAATCGTTTCCACAACCGACATCCCAGTGCCCCCTGTCACCTTTATTGCGCGTGGTTTGCCTTTTCTTAGAGGAGACTCTGTTACTTTTTCAGTTTCAAGGTTCCATGTCAGCAGAAGAGCTTCACTCTGTAGAGCAGGTGGAAGATTGCAGTGATTTCATTCTTAGTTTCTTTAAACAATAATTTTGGCGGAGACGACCTAACTAGAAAAAAGAAGGACCAGAGGAAGATAGAGAAGCGAAAAGGGTAGTCATCATCAAGTATACTCCTATCTTCTTTGAACAATAATGAATCTTTCTTTGCATGCTAATGTCCCTGTTATCACCTTTCATAGTGACCGTAGAGACGTGGTCTGACAGTGTAGGAGAAGATCTTCAATTATACTTCTAGACGAGGTTGAAGACTTGATGAAGTTTGGGTCCTCACTTTCTTCATAGTAGACTAGTTTTTCGTTCTCCAAACGCGTCATCCCAAACTCTTTTAGACTCCCTTTCGATTTCGTCCGCCGCCGGCTCATCAAAGGCCAATTCGAATTTCACTTCGTCGCCTTTCTGAGGTAACCGACCGATGGAATCTCTTAATGTAAAAAAGACCCTGTGTCTTTTGCTCAATTAGAGCTATTAGTCATTGTCGTCTCTGTCAGATGTGAAGAAAAACGCCTGTGACTTATTATTGAAAAGGGTTTTGACCACAACCTAACCTACCCTAACCTTTTGAGGAGGCAGTACCTCCATTGAGATTCGTCTTAACTCACTTCCTGCTTTGGCTTCCACGGATGTGGTTTGATATAACCCCAAAATTCCTTGAAATTTCGGACCATGTAAACTTGCCCAGCGAAAACTTTGCCGGCGTCACTCGGTCCGGTATATGAATGTGGAAAACAGCAACGAATCTAAATATTGAGTAAAACCTGTAGCCAACAAGGTTGTTGATGGTGGAAACTTCTCTCCGCGCTGTTTCATAAAAACAAAGCAGCTCTCGGCGGAGGCCCCCAGGGTCTTTGGACCGTCGGTTCGGAGTTACCTCCCACATGCATGGAGTTCCTATAGTTGCTCGTGTCGTTTCCTCTCTGTCTCTGCCAGTGCCGTCTGTCAAGTGAAAAGTCATCATTGAGGGGCAACCGCCCGCGTCCTCTCATATTTCGTCCAAGACCTTCTTGTTCCCCCCCTCGGACGATATTGTTGCTGTCTTAGAGCTTAAGGGACATCCTGAAATCTTGAGCTTAAGGACGATATTGTTGCTGTCTTAGAGCTTAAGGACGATATTGTTAGCTTGAGGACCATCCTAGACCACCCCTTCCATTTGGAACGAAACGTCTCCAGGATGCTTGTAAAAATGGGAAAGAGGGTTTAGGGTTAGCAGGGGAGGCCTTAATTGTTGTGGCCTAGAAAAGCACGTGTAGCGAGACTGAGCTCCTCATCCTCGCCGTGGTCTTCTTGACCAGTAGAAGTTCTTTCCGTACCATGATTAGAAGTTCTTTCCGTACTAGAAGAGGAGCTTGTTGTCGCGGAACCTCCAGCGAAGGACCGACTCAGCGATTGCTGGAGTGCCCTTCCTACGTTGCGGAGGCGTTCATTAAAGGTTGCCGAGTTACATCCTTCAGCACATCCTTGCTAGCCTCTTCCCCCCTTGAAAAAGGGCCAAGGATGCTGGTGAAGGACGCAATGTGGCAACCCTTACGTTGAGCAGTTGCTACAGGTTGTAAAGCGACAATCGCGGCCATCTGTTTTTTCTTGGAGCCTGACAGTACATCAGATCGACTTCTCTGAGCAAGACGTACCTGCACGTGATACTTGCATGTTTCAGTAGATCACTTTGAAAACATGAGATGCTTCAACAATTCAATGGGCACTTTGAAAACATTAGATGCTTCAAAAATCCAATGGCTTCTAAAAAGTGTTTACTCATACTTTTACTGTCATAAAAACCCTCAATTTAAAGCCATTCGTAACTCTTCTCGCGTTCCTTTGTATGAGTGACTCACTCGTAGGTCAGTGACTTTCTCTCTCTCTTTTGATCTACTTCAATGTGCTCTCTTTTGATCTACTTATCCTTGAAGTCGAGCTCTATGCCTTTCCGTTTCCTCCGACGTTGTGGCACTACGGTGTTCATACCCAAATGCTCCTGCACTTCTGGTGTCATTCCTCTTCCCACTCCTGTAGAGGCTCTACAACGAACTAGAAGTTCTTGGACTAGCTGCATACTGGCATCTACCACCGTAAGAAGAACTACGACCATTAGCTTTAGCAGATGAATTCTCTTGGAATCGAGCAACAAGTTTCCTTTTTCTGATCAGGTAATGCGATTCCAGTCAAGGAGATTTGAATCTATGCACCTCCACCTGTTGTAGCAGAATTCAGAGCTTGTTCTTGAAGGATCATCCCTTTTCTCCATCAAAACCCCCTCGAAAAGGTTTTGATTTCTTGAAGGATCGCGGCGTTGGACACGATCTGATCTTGGAACGGTTTCAAGAGGTTTAACTTTTGGAGACACTTCTGATATCTGGTGTAATGTATTCGTGGTTGCGCTATTGCATTCTTAAGAACCTCCCGGACTTATTTCCTATTGGGAAACACGTCCAGAATGGTTGTGCAGGATGCAATGTGGAAACCCTTAAATATAGTAGCAACTGCGTCAAGCATTGCTTCAGGATCTCCATTCCGTTGTTGAAATTGACGAAACAACTCATTATGAAGCTCTGCAATTCCTCCATGTTCTGCTTCCAAGACGCAGCAAAATGCTTTGTTATGCGCTCGACGTGGGCTCGGTCTACTGGAGGTGCACTCACAGCGCCAGCGTCCGGTGAAGAGGTGCTAGTGCTTGTTGCTTCGTTAGCGCGCGGCTGAGTTTGAAGGGTAGATTGCTTTGCTAGGAAAATCATGATTGCGGTTTGGGTTAGGTTAGGTTGTGAATCCTGCACATCGAAGCCCCCCGGCACCTGGCTCGACTCTGAGGATGTATACGTGACCTGAACAATTTGAAACTATACTATCTGTTTTAGTACCCCGACTACATTCGTCGATAGAACTAGAATCAATACCTCCTGTCCGGACTCTTGTGCTTTTGTTTCGTTTGCCTGTACGAACGCAATCATGTCCGGATAGTAGTGTAGAAATTGTGCTTCGATAAATTGCGAAACTTCCGAGCGTGAGAGTTAGATCCTACATGGAGGAAGTCCATACTTCCCTAAAATGCCTACCTGCTCCTTCAAGGTCGTGACGCACCTAGCTACTTCTACTATAGTATAATCCACAAGCGATTGCTAACGCGTGTAAGGTAGTAGAAGAAAGGATAGAGTGATAAACAGTGATCATGTGTAGTAAATCACCAAGGACGAGAATGAAGGGATGGACGGATGTATGATTATTAGGGTTCTATCAATATTTTTTTCGCAGCCTTGAACCTTGAACCTCACCACCATTCTTCACTCTTGTTTCTTTCCAACAACCCCTTTCGAAGAAGTTTAGCTTTCCAAAAAAAAAAAAATTCATATGTTGTTCGTTGATCCTGGATAATTTCCTCTCTAATGAAACTTCAGTCTTCAGTCTTAAAGCAGGTTCTCGAAGTGTCCGCAGGTACCTTGGTCCAGCTGTCTTTCATAGAAGATGGTCAGGATAAGATCGTAGTTGTTAATGAGAAAAACAAGCGGTGCGTCACGAGGCTGCATATTCCTTAGTAGATTTCCGCTCACCGAGCGCAATTGCGAAACAAATTTTTCGCGTAGTTCCCGTAAGCTTTCGGCGAGGACCTGAAGTGCAGGAGGAGGATTCAAGGTGAACTTCTTCAGAAGAGGATTCAAGGTCAGTTGCGTAATTATTCGAGAAGGAGTCGTTCTAGAGCTAGGCTTCAATCTCCTCCGAAATCTGATGAATCTCAAAACGCCATAATTCTCAGGTCAACAGCAAATCAAATCTACACCTACAACATAATTGGTCAACAAATCATTTACAACTACATCATCTTATGCGTAAAAATCCACAATATATAAGTACCTGATCCGGCCTGTCCTTTGCGTTAAGCGGCGCTTGCAATTGCGTGAGACTAGCTGTGAGCTCTGCGAAACGGCGGGTGACAAAATGTGGATGCGTAGCGTTCGATGGCTGTTCTGCCGGATTCTCGATGTGCAAGTCCTTCAAGGACATCGCATTGCGACTAAGGACTAGCTTTGCGTGTTAGAGGAAGTGGACTCCTGAGTGTTTGGTTTGTGACTAAGGACCACTACCTTTCAGTGTTAGAAGAAGACCACGTATCTATATAAATGGAGTTGCTGGTCGTGCTGGTTGAAGGAACGAGTTTCGTTTTCCGGAAGGAGAAGATCTACAACGTGGTCAAAATTGAAGTCTACTTCATCAATAGGCTTGTAGTTCCATAAAATCGTGGCCAAAGGTCCAGTAGCAATTGGTCGAAATATGCATCTATTCGAGCTCTCCCGAATCCATCTTGAAACACATCCTAGGCCTCTTTTCTGCTTCAGAAGCCTGGCCAGGATCCCTCGGAAGATGGATTAGGGTAAGCCTTAAATCTAGGATGTTCAAGTTTCGTCCCGATGCCATTTTGTCCTTGTAGTATTCCACAACGCGGATCGTCATCGAGGTTAGAGTGCTAGGATTGAACAGCATAGTACTTCCACAAGTGTGGACCATCTTCCTTGGAAAATATGGCGCAAGAGATACAACCCCAGGAAAGGTTTCCTTTTGGTTTCCGAGAAAAAACCCCCAACGAAGGCGCACGAGATACAACAAGGCTTCCTTTTGGTTCTTCCGTTTGAGACACGTACTGTACATGATGGCTTATTTACCGAGTCCCTTACCGAGTAATTTATAAGGTTTGCCAGCTCGCACGGCATGGAGTGCATGGATCGCATGGAGCTGCATGGAGCTAAAGGGGGCGCTTCTTGCGTCCCTTAGAGATCTGCGCTCCATGCACTCCATGCAACATGCGTGCTATAAACTGCGTGCTATAAGTCTTAGGTGCTCTTATTCGATTTTATCATTGTACATCACGAACGCGAGCGCAACATCAAGCACAACGACCATAACAATAAGCCCACACTGTCCCAGCAAGATTCGATGTAATCACCCAACTGCTCGCGAAAAAAGGCGAGAGTTCGGTCGAAAACGTCCTGTCGTTATACGGCATTCGAAGTAGGTGTTCAATAAAAACTGAATTGCAGAGTAAATATCAGACACATGTAAATCAATGTTGGACGAAGTGCACGGTATTGATGATGTGCGTGCGTCCGTCCCTGTTGCCTACTTTCCTGGTGACCGTAGAGACAAATTCTGAAAGTGCTTCTTGACAAGCTATGTCTTTCTTATCATCATCTTAAAAAAGTTGTACCTGAAAAATGCGCTTCCCTTTGCCTTCGGAGAGAAAAAACTCGGCTAGGAAATGAAACTCGGAACTTGCTGTATCAATCAACAGGCGTTGATGGCTTCGAAAGAGGGCTTCGGCGTAAAACTTTTTTTAGAAGCAGGAGAAGCTTTAGCTTTGGCCGCTTTAGCTTTGACCCCCCTGTGGCAGCAAGACGGGTTGGCAGAGACTGTAGCCTGCTACTCCCATTTGAGAACGAATACTTGTTATGAATGTACACACTCCCGGGGTAGAGAAGATTTAGCTTTCTAGGGCATGAGGACTGTGGGAGGACTCATCTTCATCTAGGAACATTTTTAGGCTTCATTATCATTTATCGCTCAAAGGAGCCGTAATTATGATCGCTCTTCAAGTGTGCGACGATCGGGTCTTTGTCGACGTCATCTAACGCCGACCTTCTGGCCGCTGAAAGGGCAAAAACGTTGCCCTTCTCACTAATCTTGTTGCCGAAATGAGTCTTAGAAGAGATAAGTTTAAGTACCTGGATGAAGATAAGTCTAGAGTGCAATGTTGGTGCGACGGTGCGTCTGCATCATCAAAGCTTGACGTCATCCTCAATACGTCTTCCTAGTGAGGAGCAACACTGAAGTCTGCTATAGTGACACTGACCGTGTGAGGAGAGAAGAATAGTAGTAGTAGTGTACCCAATCGAGAGGTAGCAAAGACTTTTAATTAGGATAGACTCATTCCGTTTTTGCATAAACTTTTCAACTCCAAGGTATGCTGCGAGGGCGTCGGCTCCAATAGATGCGCTAATCGCACCACTAGAGGAGGCAGAACCGCCTGACGATATGAATGAACAAGACAGATAGTTGGGGAAATGAATAACCGGAAGAGTAAGATAGACAGGCGACGGACATGCATCTGATTTTGTAGTAGTGGTAGAAGTAGTGTGCTGCCCAATCGTGGGGTATAATTAATTGCTATCTTCCCCTTCTAATTATTCTTCATGTTATTCTTGGACGAAGGAGTGGCTCCCTAAACAATGCTAGAGAGGAGTGCACTCTTCAACAAGTCCGAGTGAGCTCTTCGTAGACCTCAACAAGTCCTACGAAGTGCAGTATCTAATAAGTACCCAAAGGGCGCGCTTATGCATGCATGCGTCCCTGTTATCAACTTTCCTGACGGCCGTAGAGACAGACTCTGGAAGTCCTTCTAGATAGACTAGGCACCGGCAAAGGACGGCCACGTCTTTAGATAAGGAGAGGGTTAGCGGGGAGGTGAGTCCTATTAAATACATCACAACCACAAGAACCCCAATTACTTCATAATGCGATAGAATTGCTGGCAGCGCGGCAGAGCAAGTCCGCACTTGTAGGTGAGCATTCCAACTGCAGCTTGGACAACGAGAGCAGGTATGTTCTAAACTGTTGCAGGATTATTAGAACGATGGCGCGGATGGAGATAGTGAAGAGTCTTCTGGCGTGATTTGGATGATAATGGAGTTGTCTCCGTTGATGTTAGGGGATGAGCGTGGACATCAAGCACGGAATGATAGTTGATAAATATGGGTAGATCAGGATAGAAAAAAAGCGGAAGAACTCCTGTTCCTCCTGTAGCTTTTCCGTAAATACACTTTGGACATTGTCTGCGTGTAGCTTTGTTCAACTTCGTGGGACACCTCCGTCGCCGCATGTTCCGACAGAAAACTGTTTCAGTTAGAGCTTACTAATATCAATCTTGACGAGCATCCTTGACGTGTTTTCATTCCCTTGAAGAAAAGGCGACCCAAGAAGATGATGCTTGAGATGAATTACGGTAAGCCTTAATTAAATGCTTGAACTTCAGCAAAACGTTCTGTTTTAGAGCTACCGCGTTCGCATCCCTGAGAGCATCCCTGGTTTCTTTTTCAAGTGGAAAAAGGGTCAGGGATGCCGCTGAGAATGCATCAGCGGTATCCTTAACTGTTGAAGAATCTGAAGATTGGTTTTCGGTTTCCGCAAACTCTGGATTCTGCTCATCAGAAAGCCATGGACTCTCGAAATTGCCTTTAGTTTCAGCTTTTCTAGCGCTTGTTCGGAGCTGGCCGCGGAATTGCTGTGCTGGTGATTCTGAAGATAATTCTGGCTGCGGCTTTGGAGATTAGAGGTGGTAGCTCCAGTACATTATTTGATGTGAGTGTTAATATTATAAGGACGCACGACGTGGAAGGGTTAGCACAGAAGTGTCAACTCATTATAGTTGGAAGACTCATGTTTGAAGCAGATCTTCTTGAGACACTAATTATTTACCAGTACTAGGTCTCCATCCATAACACTCCCAGCTGCGCCCGCTCTGCTTAGAGGCTTTCCTTGCTTCTATGTTGACGCATCACTTCGTTGTCGTACTCATGTTCATGGATTCAATAGAGGGGTCGGGGCCACGCACCACTACATCCAAGAGCTCTACTACATGTACATCTAGGGCCCTCCGAGTCGATCAAATGAATACCGAGTACAAGTAGAAGTAAGCAATCCAGCTGATCAAACTACAGCCTTAACCTACTTCCTTCCAACTTGCGGCACAACTCCTGCACGTGAGTGATGTAATTCTCGTCAATTTCCGCGTCGCATATTGTAGCCGCTAGCTCATGAGATATAATCACTCCATTCACGTAATTCGACAGTAGTCCGGCACCAGCGCGACCTGAGTTAGAAGACTGAGAGATGGCCTAGATAAACTGAAGTAACCGAGTGGCCTAGATGATAATGTCAAGCACTCGGTTCTTATTGTGTGAATTACTCGCAGCTTATTTCAAGGTGACGTGTCGTTGCAGTTGTCAGTCATCAACCCTAGTTCAGTATTACTATCTGGAATGATCTCCGCGCATAAGATTCCTCAGGTTCGTGCTCATGCTCATGCTCTCAGTCTGCAGGCGTCGAATGTCCTCGGAAACTTGGGTCAAGGATTCATGAAACCCACCAAGCACTTCACCAATCTGCTCAAGGGCCTTGTCACAGCTCGCTATCTCAGCATCCAAAGAACGGAAATCGCCCGAGATTTAGAACATACGAAATGACAATCAAAAATGCTGAAGCGTCAAAGTCAGTGTGAAAGATGAACACATGGTCGAAGGAATATAACTACAGTAAGACTTCTTTTTGTCTATTTCTGCCTCTTGTAAGGAACGCTTGTTGCCATGTCATGTCATGTCAAGAAAATGGTACGTCTTTTATAGCATTTCGCGTCTATGTATGACTTCTAGCGACATATCTTCTTGATAAACGACATCAAATCTTGACCCATAAATGCTCTCGCTGAATTTTTCCAGCATCAGATCCTCCTCATTGGACAGCGAGGCGTTTACCGTTGTCAGCTCTTGACTCAGCCGCGCTTCCAACAGCTCCTTCTTAGATAGCGCTACAATATGATATCGCTACCCGTCATTGAGTTGCCTTGCTTTCTTCCCCCTTCGAATAGGTAACTCCGTTGAAGAAAGATTTCTTTCTAAGGGAACCGAAGCAAGAAGCTACTAACAAGCAGAGTGGCCCAAGTCGGTCCACGACATCCGACATTACGGATAGTGTGTCAAATCTTAACATTCGCACCAGAGCTATACTCGGCTAAGACGTCATCGATGTCATCGAAGTCGTCATCCTGGGAGTGGAGTCTTGACATCCCAAAACCAATAGTGGAAGAGGTCGCGGATAACACCGTCATGGTTTTTTTTCTTTTGATTGTTGATTAATAAGGAGCAGGACGATGAAAAAGAACAACTTCTGCTAGATTGATCTACATAATCATACTTTGATCTTAACAGAATCAGAAAATCAATTGATGAGTAGTACGACGCATTTCAATTTTACTGTTATGTATGGGGTCTAGGACGGATCATAATGTCATCGATTTTGAAAATGGATCACGAAAAGGCAAATGCTGTGGATCCGACAACACCTTCAACACGCCGAGTCTTCTCTTGATTGGCACTAGAAAGTATAATGGATGACCGATCTGTCATATCCTTATCCTCCTTCTCAAAGATCAGGAGCTAATAACCTCCTCCTGGTGCTGCAGCAGCGAGAACAAAGCACTTGCTCAGCAAGTCGTCCAATGTCCCAGCCGTTATCATGTATCTGCAGAACTAGTTGTACTGGCACAGCGTTGCTGTTGAAGTCGTAATTCCCACTAAAGTAGTCCTGCTCTTTAGTATTACAGTATTAGTGAGTAGGTCTCCTCTGTTCATCGGTGTGATGAAACAACGCATCTTCAATGTTGTGGTCGTGAAAGGTTGGCCAGACTCCGTTGGAGCTAGTACTAGCGATGTAAAGTCTACAAGTCATTACACGATGAAAGATTTGATACTGATGAGCGATTTGGTAGCGATGCAATGACCTTTTTGATAGTTAGATGTAGATGTTGCTGCCCAAAAAAGATAAGTGAGAGAGCTTTGAATATTATTTACAAGAAAATACCCCTAACTCCTCGATGATCTATAGCCTCCGAATTCTTCCTGAGGCTTGGCTGTGCAACTAGATAAGTACGTAAACCATCAAAAAAAAGTATATGGATGCAGCTCAGTATGCGACGTTTCCGTTTGCGAAGTAAATGAATGAAAAGGTTCTTCAATTTCATCATCAAATGTAGTCCATTTTCATCACAACTCGCGCCAAGGTGAAAAACGGCAACGGTACGCCCACCTCCAATTTGCGCCCGATTATATCTTGCTTTGCATCCTGAAGTTGAGTTGATGGGGATTGTCTTATTTATTGACGTTAAACATGTTTTTTGAGGTTTTAGCATGGAATGAAAATGGTTACTTTTACTCCAAAAAAAGCCAAATCTAGTACATAAGTCACCTAGTTGTACAACAACACAGTCTAGTCCTCCACGTCCACCTACTCCTGTATAGAATTGCATGTACTTACTTGTTAGATGTTGATGTATTTAGCGCAGTACATGTAGCTTAGCACAATATGATCTCGCCGCAGCCGATGCGCGCACCTGCGTTTCCGGTAGTCTTAGCAATGGTTTTTCACTATCCCTGGTCGCGTGAGATGTCCCGTTGGTTTCCGTTCCCCTTAGTTTCCCCCTTCTATCAAAAGGAACTCGACGCACTCAGCGGAGACGATGCTCCACGTGGGATAGTGACAAACTAGCCTTAATAGTCAACGAGGTCTTTCCATTGGTTCCAGGCTCACTATGATCTCCCTTGCCCAGGTCATCCTCGTCAGCGTGGACCATAACGCTGCGACCAACGACTGTGAACTCACCGAAGATTTCGGGTTAGAGGCTTAGCCTTGGAGGGAGGGAGGGAGGGAGGGAGGAGAGGGGTGGGTTTGATTATGTTCTTGTATTTAACAACATCAACAATTGGACCTCATCGACTACATCGAGTTGGATTTTGTTTTCGATCTACATCTACATCTACGATGATGGAACGAGATTGTTTGGGTGTCAAAAGAAGTATTCGTATTGCCTTAATTGATCAGATGATCCGTCAAGGAGCCTTTCGATTCGCCGTTCTCGTCAACAGTGATGTTTCCCATATCACCAGCGTGGCGATCTTCATCCGAAGGTGCGCCGTGGTTTTTGCCTATAATCGTAAGTAAAAGTAATTGCGAGCACTAGTTGGTTGGTTGGTTGGTTGGTTGGTTGGTTGGTTGGTTGGTTCTAGTACTAGTATGATGTAGTAGCTCTAGTTGGTTGGTTGGTTGGAGAATGACAGTAAAAATCTTGTTTATAAAAACACAAACAAGATTTGCACCACGACCGTGGGTTTATTCACAGCTGCTGTATTCTCTTTCTCTTTCGAGTTGGGAGTACCATGAGGATTCCAATGAGGTCCAGCTGACATGCATCCATTCGAAAAGTCTGCTTTTTCGTGAATATGGAATCCGTGAAGTCCTGCTTTTCCGCATCCAAGGATTAGAGAGGATTATGAGGAAGATCATTTCATAAGGTGGAGGATATCTTCGAGGCAAGTGGTGGAAGAGGTTCCTTTATTGCTCGTAGCTATGTTAGGAAGAGAAAGACCTGTGGAAGATCATAAGGTTGAAGTGGGGTGGATGGAGAGCAAGTATAGTCCCACTTCTACCTTGATCTTGGAAATACTACAGATGATGAGATACTGGTCTTATTTGTACTTTCGAAAACTGGTCTTAACTTGAGATCCGACTATTAGAAAGACGAGAGTAGATAAGCTTCCAGACGCAGACCTTTGAGAGCTCTCACCCAATAATTGCAGCTCCTACCTTCTGTATCCATGGCAGCTCCGTCCATGTTCTTCTGGGCGATAGGAAAAAACGCACTTTTTTCCGGATTCCACCAAGAAGAAATGCGCCTTTTTCCAGATTCCATCCTAGACATGACACAAGAAGAAATGCGTTTTTTTCCTCCAGATTCCATCAAATAGATACTAGTATTTTTTTTGAATTGGCTTTCTCTCAACCGTGAGGCTGAAGCGCAAGCACATTACGTGGGAGGCAGGTGCCGTAACATGTAATCACGCATTTGTCCTCGGATTCAGGTATTAGAGCACGATTACGCCAACTATTCAGAACCTCTGGTGAACCATTGGAACCTCACCAGTGGGGCTCTAACTGTTTCATGTGTAGTCTCATAGGATAGCATAGAAAATTGATTCGCCGTCCACAGGGTGACCTGTCCCATAAAATTCAAACTCTTCATGGTCTCTCTAAGTCTAAAAGTCAAAGATAATTTCCATAACTGCACAAAAGTGACGACACCGGTGCAGCCGGGAGCCTGCTCCTCTCCGCCGCCACACGGTTTTCCCTTCGGAGAGATGGAGCACGTAGCTCGGATCGGAAAGCTCATTTTCGGTTTTTCTATTCTTTTTCTATTTAGACAAGACTCTTTTCGATTCTTCTACCGTGATTTAGAACAAATTAGAGGTCTTCTGCTAGGACGAGAACAGTTCTAGTACTAGTAATTGGAGGAGGACGATAATTACGTATAAAGACGGTGGCACTACGACTACTAAGGCACTGTTTCCGACTGACTATGAGTATCAATCTTATTCCTTGAGTGATGTCCTCGTTGAAGTTTTTATAACAGCATGACGATGAATGCAGCAGCAAATGCAGAGTTAAGCTACGAAGGCTGTCCCTGACACTTGATGACGTGGATGATATTTAGCACGGCGAAGTAGATTCTGTCTCATTTTTCTTATTGTGTTGTTGGAAGGGCTACACGCTAGAGGTAAAAACGAACCGGTTGCTTTATTTAGTGCTTTGAGCGCCGCTGGGCCTAAACCTCGACCCTATAAAAAGGGAAGACGCCAATCAAGATATTTGATTCATAACCTCGAACACTGACGAATTTCTTTGGTTCTGAAAAGATCCTATCTTGCATTTTCTGTCCAGAAATGCATTCATTGAAGTAATCGAGGTTCCGGGTTCCGGATAACTACATGCATCATAGAGAGAGTGAGGTGGTAGGTAGAGGCGTCATTTCATATTATGAAATCTAATAAACGGCGTCTGTAGTATATGGTGAGGAAACGGAAAGACAACTACGGTAAGAGGCAGCATGCTTGCAGATTCTTGTATCTTGATGAATAGTTGTAGGAGGATCTGCTACGGATTGATTGTTGTAGTCAAAGGTTCTACGTCAAATAAGTTGGCATTGTAGTACGGAAGCATTAGCAGGAATATTTTTGGGTAGTAGGAGGTAGGTAGGTAGGTAGGTAGGTAGGTAGGTAGACAGATAGATAGGTAGATTTTCTTTGACCTTGTTTCTGAAGATGAGTTTTTGGATAAGCATGTAGAAGCTAGAATTCCAAGAAACTCAATAAGAGTTTTTGAACAAGAAGGTAGTAAAATAAGTGGAAAGACGAGTACAACTCCAGGGTATATTTCTTGAATGAAGAGACTTGTTGTAGAAAGATATCGCTCGTTGGATTGATATGGATGTCTTGCTCTATGTTTATGTGTTATGTGCAAAAAGTTTCCAGAAGATCACTCGCGCAGAGTAGGGCCGCCCAGTCGCGCAACGCGGACGCGCTCGCGCGGGTCGGACTCGCTCGCGCAGCGCAGACTTGCCTCGCTCTCGCTCTCGCAGCGCCGACTCACTCGCGAAGCGAAGAGAATGCGACTCAGTCCGGGCATAGATCGCAAGGCAGGCACCCCTCGACCTGGCGGAGGTTTTTCTATCCCCTCGCCTCGAGTTGAACTTGAACTATTGAACTATTGAACTATTTCAGTTATAGAAACTGTTGAGAGCCTTCTGAAGCGCCGTAGCCCGAGTCATGCGGGCTTTTTTTTTCCATAGGACTATGTGCCATCACCCATTTAATCACTTAATCTAGATCGAGTTTTTTTTTCCATAGAACTATATGCTGCCTCCCATTTAATCAATTAAACACTTCTATCGAGCAATCAAGTAATTACATACATTGAGCCAACAAATCTACACCCATCGGAAGAGCCGCACACTCGGCCCTTGTAGAACAACTAAAGCGCAACCCGACGCAGCGGGGCCCCGTGAGCAAGTCAGCACACCTGTATGGATATGAATCGCCGCAATGCTGGGGATGGACTTACTGACGATCCACCTACAGGATGTCTAGCGCGTTAAAAAATCAACTACGACTAGACAACCTAAAGCAGATAAGCAGGCCTGTGCTAAGACTAAGCGCAGAGATCGAGAGTAAGTAACTTTTTGAGACCTCGACCAGTACAGTGACACGCCTCACCGGTCACCTACAGCGCGGAGCTAAGCCTGTGACTGAGGCGGCCTGGTGGAAGAAGAAGTTTGGCAGAAAGTGCCAAGACGGATAAGAACTAGAAAATCGCACTGATGAGCGTCAAACTGCTCGTCGTGCCTCGAGGAGTATGCCCGCTCTCGCGAGGTCAGTCGCCACTCAATATGATGGTCGTAAGAGAGCTGTTGATAACATCAATATCTTGGTCGTAAGAGCAAAAGCCTAGAAGTCACACCAAAAATTCCAAAAAAAATGATGTCTCATCTGATGGATTTAGATTCAGAGGGGTCCCAGCCTCAGCCCTTTTTTTTTGGAATCAAGACAACTCTAATTTAACTTTCAAGAAGTAGACGCACTTCAGATTCACAGATTCACGGATTAGTTATTATTATTATCATTAGGTCGCGCGCGACCCTATCGCCGCACACGTTCTGCGCTCTCAGCGCAAAGACCACCTGTCGCTACGCAATACAAGAAAACACAAGAAGACACAAGAAGTCGGATTAGGAGAAACACAAGAAAACACAAATCTATTTGATGCTCCGAACAGGCTACTAAGAGACGAAAATCCACAATCTAATGCAAGATAAAAACACTACCTGATAATCAAAGACTAACATGCTTCCGCCACCTCGTATCACTCAGATCAGAGAATCCACTAACTCAACTACTTCTAGTACTAGCTAGCACAGGCTGCGCAGGGATGACGATATCCCTGCGAACCTCAACTATTTCTAGTACCAACTATCCCTTTAGGAAGTTTGATACTTATGGCTAGAATCAAAATCTTTAGTACAGCAGCACGTTGTGCCTTGTGCCAGGACAGAGTGATAGATTCATTGTAGTAAATGTGAACAAGAAAAAGGTTAAGTTAGGTTGGCGTCTACCCATACGTAAGCAGACGTGTAGGGCTACTGAGAAATACATAATCACCCACGACACAGATTTATGTGAATAAAAGTGTGCTCATGATTACCCACGACACAGTTTTATGTGAATAGAAGTGCGCTCACCTACTTTACCTCAATTTCAAAAAAAAACGGCTTGCTCACCTTTACCTCAATTGAGAATCTATCACAACAGCACTAGAGGTCGCCTTCGAGGCTATTTCGAACTACATCAAGTTCTGCTAAAATGCTCATACACCAAGTTCTAGCGATCTTCTATCACTGAGTTCTAGCGATTATACTACGAAGTTAAATTAGTAGGATCATCTTACTGCTCCGCGATGATTAGTTGTAGTTAGCAAGTTGTACAACTGGGATTCTGTTACCTAGCAGGACGCGACATCTACGCCACATCTAAGCTAGTGCGACACTACCGTCAGCGACTTTGACAAGAAACGATTTAGGCTCGGATAAGATTAACCAAAAGACTTCTCGTGAAACAACTTCTCTTCTAGATTCTAGTCATAGCAAGCTAGTAATGAGTAGTAGACCAGTATTCAATTCAGTACACGAAAGCGTGACGGTTTTGCATAGAGGCGTCTCCACATTCAAAGTGTTCACATCCAAAGTCTACATATAGAACCTAGTGCGGAGACTAAGCGAGAAAAAACAGGCCATCCAAACTACAGTGTCTTCAGATACAACACAGTCTTCATATACAACACAGTCTTCAGGTCATGCATACAGATTTATCCCAGAAAACTTAACATAACAAGTCTGCATTCAAGGTGACTCGTCACGACATGCCGACTCACGCTTTATAAAGCAGAAAGGAAAATAAAAAGAAACAGAAAAAACCCCTTATCACAATCTTCATCGCAATAGCAATAGCAAGCTCTCACATTTATTGCGACGGCTACCGCATGACAAGGCGCATCGTTTCGCTGAGTCAGATCTTCCTCACAACAGTTTCTTTTTTTTTGCCTACTTGTCTACAAATGCACAAAAATTTACTCACGTGACTTGACTCGGGGACGTGGCCCGAAACTACAAACTAAGAGAAAAGCAGCGACGTGGCCTGCCTTGAAGAAGAACTAGCACGGGTTCACAGAACCGCAGATCGATGCGCACATTTGCCGTGATGGATATAGGAGATAAACATTTACAGAACGTGAGTTACTTACATAAAACAACAAGATCGGCAAGACGCTACGAATAAAAACATGGAAGTTAATCAATCAATGATGGACTAAACTGAGGTGCGAGTAGGGAAAAAGCGTCGTTAAGGTGTGGTAACTCGTGAATCTATACTAATGAGTTGGCTGTTTTTTTAGTCTGGTTGTTTTTTGACTTAGATTTAGGAGTGAGGTCATTGTTGGCAGCTTCCCTGCTGCTGTGAGTTTGTAAGCCCCCTCCCTGGGTCAATTATTTGACTTCTTCACGCTGTTCCACCTCTCTCTGCCCGCCTCACTTCTGTTGCTGCTTTGTTGTGTTGCTGCTTTGTTGTGTTGCTGCTTTGTTGTGTTGTTTTCTGTGGGGCTTGGCAGTCTTTTGCCTCTGCTGCGCTACTTCCTTGTTCCGCCGCAGGTCACGCTGGTGGCAAGGTGCCCGGCCTGCGTGCTGGCCGCCCTGCTTGCGCCTCGGTCTCTCTGCCGCAGCATGCCTCTCCGGGCTGCGCTTCACTGCGTCCCGTCCTTATAATGAAGGACGGGTGTTATCAAACACGAGATCTTGTAGCCTTTGCACAATCACCAGTATATCAGGAGACTTCCTGGTATCTTTTTTTAAGCACAGCATGCCAGAAGAAGTCACGCGTATCAATTGATAAGCGTCCCCATGGTAGTCATGTACTTCCGGCCTAACCCTCCCTGGTCAAGTTTGAAGCAAATCTTACACAGAGCCACGCTCACCCTTTCCTTCATTCATCATTCACTCATTCATACTTCTACTCATCAAATGCAGGTAAGCGCCCTACCTCGCCCTGCTGAAATACTTCTACTCATCAAATCATGCCCCTCGCCCTGTTATACTTGTTCTCGTCTCACCAATCAAAAGAAAAACAATGAATCCGTACTTCAAATAAAAATACCTTCAAAAGACATCATAAGCAAAAGACATCATAAGAAAGTGGTGTGGACTTCTAGCTTCGTGGAGTGTGGCCGATTTGCTCTTCTAGCCTCTATAGTTACTATTCATTCTATCACCAACAATTACGGACAATCCAACTTCTATCTAGTCCACTCCTCTTCTACCCCTCTACTTAGCAAGAACCGGATGTATCTTTTACTCCTCTTCTATCTAAAATCTTGCCGGAACTTGCCTGATTGATCACGCCCTTTTTGGCCTTCGGCTCCTCTTCATAACATGGCAGAGAGGGTGTTCCTGGCGATCTTCATTATATATATACATAGTTGTATGCATCATCAGAATGAGGCTGACTCCTTATATTTAGAATTACCGGAAGTAGGATAGGCGATAGAAAAGAAAGCGAACGACCCACCACCTAAAAGCGCGAGGAAGTCTAACCATGACGGTGCGAATCTCTTCGGCCATCTGCCTAAGATTTCCCTGACGACTTCTACCCGCCAGTCTAGCCTGCTAAAATAACTCAAATCAAAGAGTACCCCTAGAAAGCACTGTTAGTCCTCAAATACGTCGCTACAAGTGAAAAGAAATAAGCCGTCTGAATCTAGGGAGTCAGTGTCGCAGCAGGAAGATCCTCCACCCCCACCATCATCCGTAGTCTCCAGATGACTCGGAGCCTCTTCTTCCAGACAACTAGACGCTTCTTGATCCAGACAACTAGGCGCTTCTTGATCAAGACTAGTTGTAGCGTCCTTATCCCGTGCGTCAACATCTTCTACTTGCTCGTGTACTAGACATGCAGCGTCCTCTTTCTGCATCTCTAGCAGTACTAGTTTTCTATCATCATTTCTATCCTCTAGTTTTCTATCACTATCCTCTTTTAAGTGGTCTTCTACTTGTTCATCTCCCCATCGTCCTCGAAGATGATAATCATCATGTTCCTGCAGCACCAGCCTAGAAGTTGTACTTGTTGTTATAGTTGGCAGCTCACTTATGAGTAGAGAGACCTGCTGTAGAAGACGAAGATCATCCTCCTTTTGATGTGTAGGTTCTAGTCCTTCCTCGAGATAATCATCTTCAAGATCATCTTGTCCTGGTGCAGCTGCTTCTAGTACTAGAATCTCCTCAAAGAACTCACTTTCATCGCTATGCGAAACCGGTGAACATGCTTCATTAGTGTCGTTCTCTTCTCGACGTTCTGACTGATTTGACACATCTTCATCCTCTTGTTCTTGAAGATGCTGTTCACGTGGTGGGTCTTCTACCCCAAATTGCATTTGATGCTGTTCATGCTGACCCTGCTGATCTCGTACTTGTAGTTTGAAAATTTGATCATCAACATTGCTATTGAAGGTATCCTCATCTTCGGATGCGCACCACCAGCTTCCACGGCGCTTCTCTTGGGTGCGCAAGACTCGACCAGCAGCTTCTTCTTCGGCGTACTATGTTAGAGCTACTCCTAACCCATCCTGTGAATAGATCCCGTTAAAATCATACTTACCCCAAAAGTACTGGCCTCAATACAACAGGCACTAGTGCCAGCGCAAGAGTACTTAAACAGGATCCACCTGAGGTCCTCGGGTTTTGTGCTGGAGCCTTAAATTTAGAAACAGAGCGACGCTCTTAAAGCCAGCACGCTCTGCATATGCCTTTGCTGAGAGTCTTGCACGAACGTCAATGGTTGTGGCGTCTGCTCCGAAGGTGTGAAGAATTTTTGCAACAGCGAGTTGTCCAGAAACAGCCGCTGCCATGAGAGGTGTAAACCCCCCCGACGCGGCCTCTTGGTTAGAGGTTGCGACATTGCCTTCTTCAGAACAGCCCTGACTTCTTTCTTACTGGGAAAAGAGTCAGCGATGTTCATGCAGTATGCACTGTGGTAACCCGTAACATTGGGGGACAAGCCCGCACGCAAAAGCGCTTCCACCACATCCCCAAATCGTGCAGTGACTGCGCGAACCAGTAACCCGTGACGCACAGGTTTACTCAATAAGTAATCACGAATGTGCTGCCCAGCAAAAACTGGTGGTGTAGTTGTTGTTGTTGTGTAGTCTTCTTTCGATGTCGAACCACGTAGATGATTTTTACTAGAGAACAAACTACAAGAACTGTCCTCCAACTGCTTCTTCAATAAAGCTTGATCATCATCGCCGCAGAAGTCGTTCTTGTTTTGTTGTTGTTCCGTACTCCTTTGATGTTGTTCCGTAGTACTAGTATGGATGCAGAAGCTGTTATTCGGAGGTGAAGCAAGACCTGGAAAAGCTTTGCCTTCGCTAAAAACCAATCTCCGTTGATCTGCAAGAGCAACATTCTTGCAGCCGTAGTTGTGGACACCAAAGCCAGCTACACGCTCTTCTCCTTCGTCCTCTAGTTGTTCTTCTTGTTCCTGACATGATTGGCCTCCTTCAAGAGCTCCTCCTCCACCTACACCTGCTCCACCACGACCTTCGCAACGTCCTAATAGAAATTCCACAATCGCAGCATGCCCTTCGTCCACTGCTGTGCACAACACTGTTTCCGGGTACGACTTCACAGGACAGAGGTAAGCACCCCAAGACACTAACAGCTGCACAATCCCAAGATGGCCGCGCCTCGCAGCACATGGTATTAGAACAGCCGTACTAGATAGGTATACGCATAGTTGTACAAGATGATGACCTTCTACTTGAGAACTTCTGTTACTAATTATAGATCTTATGTATCTACTCCAATTCATGCATGATAGGTCCCTATTGCCAACTTTCCTGATGACCGTAGAGACGAGATCTGAAAGTGCTTCTATCTACTCCAAAGTTGTAAATAGAAATACCTAAAAGTTTAAAAACTAATTGTAAGTTAGTACAAAAAAGAACGACTTTATAGTGTGGAGGAAAGGAAAGATGTCTTAACAAAAGCGGCGTATCCCGTTGCTCCGGTGTACCCTCTAAGGGCAAGCATCTCAAAGGAGAACGGCATTTTCGCTCTGCTTCTGTGGTGCCACAAAATTTCGCACGCAATTCAAGTAGAGCAAAAACATTACCGTCTCTAGCGCACACAGTCACTGCGTGTGACAATGACCTCAGGCCGGTTGCTCCAATTAGAAGAGCTACCACGACAGCCAGTTGTGTAAGAACAATAAGTTGTAACTCCTGTGTAAGAAACAAGAAGAACATGTTGATTGAAGAAGGAGGAACCACGAAACGGCTATAATCTCCTCCTCCGACAATCAATGTAATAACATCAATCAATCAATCAAGTGGCGATGCTCAATCAATGAATCAATGAATCAATCAATGAATCAACCTATCGGACGTGACCGTGTCACTGCTTAATGAATCAACCTATCGGACGTGACCGTGTCACTGCTGAACATGTTGCTAGCCTTAATTGACAAACGCGACGACTGTGCAGCAAGAGCGACAAGATGCGACGACGTTTTTTCACACGTCGACTTAGAGGACGAGTCAGCTTGAATCCATCTCAGAAGTCCCTTCATGTTGGTGCCTTTTCCCTGGAGGAAAAAGGTACTGTAACATGCTGAGAAAGATGGACACTGTAAATCTTGCCCATAACCAATGGTTGACGGGACCATGATTGACAGTATCATTTGTTCTTTCATGATCCAAAGTGAAATACGAAGTCTCTTCCCGTGGGAACCAATTACCACACGCTACGACGATAGGCGGATACATTGTGGCCTCCTCGGCAAGGATGCGGTACTCTTCTGTGTTTTGCAGCGTGTTATTTGCAGCTGTCTTCAAGCTCGGAGGATGTTGCATTAGAAGTCTTTACTATGCAGCAACGAACAAATATATAACCACAGCAGGGGAACTTCGAAATCTCCTCAAGACATTCAATTTCTAACGTGTCTTCACTTCCTGTGTTGTGTCTTCACTTCCTCTGTTGTATCTTCCCTTCCTCTGTTGTCTCTTCACTTCCTCTGCTGTATCTTCACTTCCTCTCTTGTATCTTCACTTACTCTGTTGTATCTTCACTTCCTCTGCTGTATCTTCACTTACTCTGTTGTATCTTCCCTTCCTCTGTTGTATCATCCGCATCTTCACTCCTTCCTCATAGACTCCTTCAATTTCCAACCTACTTCGAAGATATCATATTGAGCAAGCGCCATAATCGCGATAGAATCCCCGAGTGAGGTTCCACCGGCAAATTGAAATCCACATGGGGAAGCTCCTTTCGTACTACTTCAGATAGAAGCAGCATCGACACTATGAACTCCGCGTTTGCGGCTACGGCCAGTGCTAGGGCGTTGCTAGGAACCCAAAATGTGACTGCTCCCCAACTCTTTTTAGACCGTACTTTTCTTCATCTTGCGGAGTATCTTTGACGTGCGGAGTATCCTCTTTAAACAGGAGCCAAAGATGCTTCGTCCTCAGATGAATTTATTAGGGTAAGCCTTAGTTTTTACGGCGGCTTGTGCCGGAAGATTATTACGACCTCGTATTTTCGTCCACAAAAAGAAAAGTTCGAGGTCAGCTGTTCCAATCAGGTTCATGATGTGGTTCCCAACATTATCACCAATAAGATTCATGATGGGGCTCCCAACACTATCACGATCGTCACTTCGCTTAGAGCTACCCTTAACCCACTCCGTGAATGCATCCCGTTAAAATACTCGCCCAAGTACCTGCCTCAGTGCAGCCCGAGACTCTTCCACTCACTGCCAGCGCTGTACTTTATAACGGGATTCACGTGGAGATGGGTTCTTTTGAGCCATAACTTGTGGCAGGACGAGTTGCCCGGCACTATTGTTTGGTACTACAGTAGAAGAAGAAGTGTTGCTTCCCGTGATCATAGGAACACTTGTTGTACTATTACTACTAGAAGAACTTGAACTTGTACTATTACTTCTCGTGATCATCCAAGAACCAGTAGTCTCATCGTTCTCGGTGCTCGTCGTCCTCGCAATATTATCAGTAGCGGTAGGAGTGTACCCGATCGTGGGGTATAAGTCCTCGTAATTGCGAGGAACAAAAGGGTAGCGTCGAAACCACAAGCCAGCGATCGCTATGTTCGGATCCGACGGTAGGAGGTTGGAATCCACACTGAAGTAGTTGTCAGAGGCGCACTGCCCAGGAGTATGCCTGTCGTTCATCATTTTATCGTTCATCATCTTGTCGGTTGATCGTTGTAGTTATGTTGTTCGTTGTAGATATCTTGTCAGATGTTGTTCCTTGTAAAAAACTTTTGGTAGTACCGGAAAACTAGTTAAGGACTATTTTCGCCTTTTCCTGCACCGTGCTGGCCAAACTTGTTTTGATCCCGGAAGGGAAGGAGCTGAAGCAGCACGAGCGGAGAAAGCATATGCCTCTAGAATGTAGCCATTTCTTTTACAGCTTCTAATTTGCTTCCGTGTCGGCACGTTGGGGAAGAGTCGCCAAGATATTGATCAGGTAGTGCGCTGTGATCGTGCACTCGGGAGGAGGACACGGGGATAGAAGCCGATCTTAGCTTTATACGAATAGAGTGATCGGGGTAATGCAAATACGTACTTATTTATCATCGATCCATCTAGTTCTTAGTAAGAAATTACGTAGGAGTAGGTTAGGTTAATTACGTAGGAGTATTACTTTAGAATACATAGAAAAACTAGCAGTTGTGCATCCACGAGATTTCTTCCACCACCTCTATTTGTTTTGTTTTTAAGATTTTTCCGCGAGTTTTTATGATGCAGTATTCAAAAAACAAAAAAAAAAGTTATCGATATTGTTGCTTGTGAAGATTTGCAGTTATATTACACTCCTATCACTTAAAAAGAACTTCTCTGACCGACGTATCACGGAGACGATCACTTCTGTCTGAAGAAAGTAATCTTAAGCGCGCTTGTAGTTGTGAGTCGACAATAAAATTCCAAACGCAAACGCCAAATGACAGACCACGATTTAAGTGGGCACAACGACTACGAACGTCAACGACTACGAACGTCAACGACTACGAACGTCAACGACTACGAACGTCAACGACTACGAACGTCAACGACTACGAACGTCAACGACTACGAACGTCAACGACTACGAACGTCAACGACTACGAACGTCAACGACTACGAACGTCAACGCATGATAGAAGTTGCTGTTCTAGTAGCGCCAGCTCGATCACTTTGACGAAGCTTTACAGCGTTCTGCTTGAGCTTCTCAAGAGCATGGCCTCATGACATACAGTCAGGATAAGAGGCAGCAAGCCTAACTGAAGATGGGGCCATGCATATAAGAATTACTCACGTCGAAAGCGATAATTTAGAGAGTTCATGTCCTTCAGGGTCACATACAAATGCACGTCTTCGTCATCAAGAATTTTAGTACACGCCACACGTCGAAGACAATTGGAACAAGGTAAACAGAACACACAGGGTACGGATCCCAGTAAAAACAGCAGCAAAATGAAAGCGTCTCCAAGGTGAGAGGTGAGAAGCGCCATCACGTTTGCCTCTGATCATCACGTGTTTACAAACACGACATAGTACACGACCCATGATTATGATTGACAGATTTGAGGAAGTAAGCTCGAGTCTTTCCAATTATAGATCTTCTAGCTCTCTCCACATCCCATCTTCGACTAACTTGACGTTCCCGCTTTCGATTCCAGCATCTTTGCCTCCAGTCTGGCACGCCATACTGAAGTAAAGCCTATTTTGTCGAGATAGGCCATGGGGGAGCCGTACTGATCCTTGAGGAACAAGAGAATCGCCTCGATTACTTTTGGGCTCGACCCGGTGAAAAAGTCGCCATCTAGCTGTCGGTTTATTGCCTCTCGCTTCCGTAGACAATACTCCTGGTTCAGCAGTGAACTTGTGATTAGAGGAATGTAGTGAGTCGTTTAAGGTAGTAGGAGGAGGTTTCTGATTAGAGGAATTAAATGCAGTGAACTTGTGATTAGGTAGAGTGTTTATCAAGACATAAACACTCACCCTCCTGCTGAACAAGTGAAGATTGCACTTTAGTTACTCTTACTACAAGGACCAGCAAATGCCGCATGTTTAATAGTAGAAGACGACAACACGACTGTGGTAAGAAGAAAACCTCCATAACGACATTTGATAGCTGTAGATGATGTCTTCCTCCGCAACGTCCAATGCCACCATCAGCAGCGCGATTATCAGACCACTTGCGTCTTTGCCTAGGGCGCACTGCACTACCACAGCACTTGACTCTCTCGTGAGGACCTGCATTACTCGAAGGACCATCTTCTGATTGTACTCCAGCGTTAACAGATACAGACCTGGCCGTGGTGAGAGAGATGTCTTATTAGGAATGGACGACCTTTCTAAGAAGTATTAGCTTACTTTTTCTTCATTTTTCTACCCAAAATCCTACTAGGTACGTCTTGTAAACCTACTAAAATTGTGTAATCAACATCAGTTCAATACCCCTAAGACCCAACAAGTTGCAATTTTTCACTATGATTTCTTGCGCTAGTCTTGCCATGTCTTCTGAGCTGGGTCGCAAAGTCCCAATGAGAGTCAGCCTTATCTGCGTGGGCACGTCGACTAAAGAGGCTACAACTTAGCCAGTGCTTTTATTCATCTCGGCCTCCATATGTTGGCCCCTTTACCCTTCTCCTCTATGTGGACAGAGAATGACTAAAGATCAGTCTCCACTTATGTAGTTATTGTTGTCTACCTGTGAGGCCATCCAATAATATGAGAATGATAAGTCAGACATGTAGACCAAGATGCTGACAGAGATGAATGAGAGTTGATCATAAAGGAGTGTAAGTGGGGTGATTGAAACGTAAAGATTATTTCGTTCCCCAACGATTAGAGCTCAAAACAATTCATTTCTTGGATTCATTTCTTTAGAATCCCAAGTGGGAAACAGAAAAAAATGTCAGCTGGAAATGAATTGTTTTGAGCTCTAAAACGAGATCGCGACACTTTGGGCCATCCTCTCGTCTTTCGTTCGGATTCCTCAGATCTAGCACCTTCGCGAAACCAGTTTTGCTCTTCAGTTTTTTCAAGTCGGCTTCGGAGAGAGATGCGGCGTGTACAAGCATGAAGAAGGAGGTTAAGAGGGAGTTGGGAGTTGAACTCCCTCTTAAGATAGGAAGAACACTAGAGGTATGAAGAACTCCCTCTTAAGGTTAAGAGGTATGAAGAAGTAGGGGCATGAAGAAGAGAGGTGGTGTGGTACTATGGATATGGATACAGGATCGGATGATAACAGTAAGGCGTGTCAGACGCTGTACGACGTGTTGCGATAAGCTGTACATCCTTCAGCGTAAAAGACGCAACATACTGTACGACGTGTTGCGGTAAGCTGTACATCCTTGCCTTCAGCGTCTTAAAAAAGAAACAAAACACTTGTAGGGAAAATGATCATTCCAGAAACTACGCATAGTACTCGTCTAACATGATTATGATACCCCAACAGCACACCATAAAATTTGATGACCGGAATATCCGTCCGCTCTGCAGTCTCTGGCCTGAACGGGTTCTCAACTTCGTTCTTTCCGCTAATGGGTCCGCAGCATCTGCGCAACTAAAATCACGGAAATTTGGCACACTGGGCACAACATTACACGCTGCACGACCACCAAAGCGCGTTTCTAGATGGAGTTGATCATCCTCTCTGCTTTTTTCTCGTTCTCGTAAGGCAAAAACTACTATGCGTTGCCATATTTCCCTTCGTTTTCGCCAAAAATAGCACCAGACCGAAAAAAAAGCAGCGAAAAGCAGAGTGAGGGCTACGAGGAGAGACTTCCTCGGCTTCTTGTGAGCAACCGCTGTAGTACCACCTCCAGCCCAGAAAGGTAGCAAAGACCAGATCATTTTTTTTCTCTTTTTGGAACTGGTCGGATTATAATGGAACAAGAATAATTCGTAGTACTCCTATTTGTTTAATACGGAAGATCTGAGTGATGAAAGTTTACGGAAGCACTGAAGAAAGTTTAAGTATCTTGAACTTACTCAACTACATCTGCTTTTATCATAGTCTTACTCAAACACACCCCCAACAGAGTGTCCGCGTGGATCACACACACAACGAACCGCTCTGGCGCAGTGTCATACATGGGGACCCTTTTATCATCGCAGTGTCAATCATCGCACAGTCTTCAGAGGAGACTCATATCAAATGAGAGAAATCATGAACATCTGAGTAAGTAGGCCACTGCCGATTATCGGAAATGCTCTCCAAATCTTAACGTCCATGATCAACTTCCTAGTCTGTTAGTGTCATCTTCACAATGGGTTAACATGAACATGGTTATGCGTGATCATATCGGCGTCTAAAAGTTGTCTAAAGCCATTCAACAAAGAAATGTCACAGCGTTTGTGATCTATCCTCATCCTGATGACTGCCTTCTGCGTTCAGCTGCTTCTAATGCTTTTCGTCGCCGCTCTTCTCGCGACTCTGTTTGTGGTGCTACAACTGGGTCGCGTTCGTCACTACTGGAATCTAGCTCGATCACCTCTGTCGAAGTCCCAGGTTGTTGTTGTGAAAGTGAAGAGTTCACAGGTATTGAGTTGACAGGTTTGTTTGACTGTCCAACAACACAGCTCGTGCCTGTGGCAACACCACCGCCAATGATATTCATTGCATTCGCCGGCACAAATGCAGCTGCACCAGCAACGCCTAGAGTAGAACTTGAAGAGGAAGTAGCCCCACCACCGCCAGTTGGAACACTATTCACAGGAGGTATCAAAATATTTTCTACGCCCATTTGCGCATTGCATTCCAACTTCGATAATCTCAGTGCCTCCTCCAAGTCTTGTTCTTTGGAATTAGGAAGGACAGACGCAGATGCAGACGCAGACACCTCAAGCGCCCTCTGCAGTTCACGATCCTCTGCTGCTCTAGCGCTTTCTTTTAACACTCGCTCTATCTCACTTTCATCGTGTACTACGGTGACTAGGCCACTTTGCATCGGTAACACATCCGTTTCGCCGCGTGATATCGCTAAGGCCCGTTCTAAGTCAGCATCTAGAGCTAGTTGAGCAATCTGCATTCCTGCTGGGAGGAAAGGGGCTAGGTTTGCTGCTATATTGCCTGGTAATCCTCCTGTGGTGGCGACCTTAGTACTGGAAGCCTCTGGAAATTGCCAGTCCTCGCGATTCACGACATTAGGACCGTACATTGCTGCAAAAATGCCACGCTGTGCGTAGTCTTGGTCAGACGGCGTTGCGAAAGTCAACATCGGCTGGTGTCTGTTACTACTTTTTGCAGGTCTAGTGTTATGTGAAGAACTGGCACTACTCCCGGAAGAAAAGGACGATACGCCAAGAGCACTAGTCTCTGAAATGACAACTGCTGCTGCTGCTGCTGCTGCTGCTGCTGCTGGCGGTTTGCTCCTACTCGGTTCTTCTAAACGCGGCACTTTCTTACGCGGTGGTTGTGCATCATCGCTGTCATCAGGCGTGCTCTCAGGACTACAACTATCTTCATCCGACGACGATGATAGATCTATAAGCAGTGGCGCAGCAGGCTTTGATGGTGCTGCTTTTGGCATGAAATTTAACAAGCTTTCATGCTTCGGAGGTGCAACAACAGCCTTTGCTTTTACTTGTTGCTGTTGTGTGTTCTTTGGAGGAGGTTGGGCCTGCTTGTTCGTGCCATTTGTAGATGCGCCTTGTTCACCAGCATTCACTGTCTGGTTATTCGCTACAACATGTTGTTCTCCAGTTCTGTGAGCTTTCCGCAGTTTCAGCCTTTCAAACAGTGATAGAGCGCGTGACTCAACTTCCTCAAAACCACCTGCTCCTGCTTGTGTTGTATTTTGTTTCCCTTCAACATCCGCTACAGAAGATGAGGAAGACGCCGATCCACCATTACTAGAGGCTGAAGCAGGCGCTTTGACTCTCGTTTCTTCTTCTTCTTTCTTCGTATTGCTCTTAGTACCCGACGATAGGTCCAGCACTAACTTCTTCTGTGTCGATGAGGTTTTCTGTCCAGCTGCACTCTGCCCCAAAAAAGAAGAACTAGTGGTCGCTGCACTTGATGTGGGTTCCACCGACCTGCAGGACATAATACCCATCTCACAGTCCATCCCAGACTGTACCAACACCATCAATAGCCTGGATCGTATTTCATGCTCAAATTAGACATAGCAGTGGGTCTTTTCATTATCCTGAACGTAACACTAGAAATGGTTCTCAGGGGATCCATCATTGCCAGAGGACCCGAGGAGGACTAGGAGATTCACATAGTTCTTTCATTGAATATCAATATATCATAATATTCAAGTTGTTAGGATCCTTCCATCATGAAAAGCTTATTAGCAAGAAAAAGCCTTAATCGAATCGGACAGTGTATTTCCGCCAAGCAGCTTGAAAGCGCTCTCCTTTTGCCACCGTTTCGTGTGCGATTAGGCCCTCTGCTGTCCGACAGGACATCCCGCGGCACAAAGCCGTTACTTCCACCGAGACATCCACGTTGCCCACGGCTGACTCGTCGACAACGAAGTATTAGAGGTTGAAACAATTCATTTCTTGCGTCCTTTTCTCCCGATCCTAAGAAGGGAATAGGGGAAAATGACTTGTAAAAATGAAATGTTTCAACCCTTAAAAGTAGACAAAAACCGTCTTCCCCATCTTCTCACTCTGCAAGACGCGACACAGTGGAGCACGCTCCAACAGTATCTTTCGAGGCAGGAACTGGAGGCAGAATTTTTGAATGGGCGGGCGCAAATCCGGAAGCGCACTTAACCGTCTGATTTCCACTGCAGCCGAACAGACGAAGCGCACAACATAGGACAACTCTTTGTCGGTAGCTGCAGGATGCCCGAACGACAGAGGGATGACAACCGCTCGTGAAGGTATGGAAGCGCCACGCTTTTTCGCAAGACTCTCGAAAAGACCTCCTAAGGAAGATGAAGAACTACTCAAACTGGAACTGCTGCCACCATAATCATTATTACCCGTATAGCCAATAACATCTTCCACAGCAACTTCGCTCTGTGTCGCCATAGAAAACGCATGGTCATTTGCATGATGCACTGCCGCGTCGGGTGCGTAGGCTCCGTGTACGATCTGGCTTTCACGTCGCACAAGTCGAAAATGGGTATGACCGTTCCGACGCTGGCCTAGCATCTTTCCCTCAACCCGATACCGTTTACCATCTAAATACCATATTGACGCGCGGCTCTGGCATTCGATGGAAGAAGATCCAGCGGTAGTTTTCTGGTTTATATTTGCTTCGTCCTCGTCTACTGGAAACAACAATAAGAATCCGACGTCACATTGCTTATATGATTTCTTCCTGTCCGCTCGTCCAGACCATGCCCCACGCCGTGTTTTTTGAATGCCCATTACGTACACTTCTGCGCCACGTCCTCCCCCAGCACCAGAAGCTGTCGAAAAATTCCTAGTAGCCTCAGGCAAGCTGATTTCAAACGCTTGTACGCCGCGTACTGTGTCTTTTTTCTGAGGAAAGTTCGTGTCGAAACTGCGCGCATAAAGGCCAGGGAAAGCGAGACAAACGTCGACATTTGAGAATGCCATCAAAAAGTGATCGTAATCGATCCAAAAGGTTCCATCGTTCTCTAAACTTCTGTCCAAACGTTCGCGGTCCAAGTCTGGAGTATGAAGGATCGGGAGTAGGAATTACTTACTTTACATTGGTTCTTAGGGGTTACTTTTTCCATCAACGAAACGAGGAACCTACCAAAGCCTATCAAGATAGGACTACATCAAGAAAGAATGTTGAAAGAACAAAAAAGCATGTTGCTGTGGTCTCTGTTATCAAGTCTTTCGTGATGACCGCATCTTTCGTGATGAAGGACAAAGAGTCTACTAGTACTACTACGTCTTCCTCATAAAAATGTCGTGCCAATTGCTGCCATTTGCCGCTCTTGTCGGACCAATCGCCCTTCCATTCACCACGACCGTGAGGATTACGAATTTTCAGGAGTCGCAGGACCCCGTCACTGCCAAAACCCGAAACGTTGCCGCATCCTCGTAGCAGATCGGCGGCGACGCCAGTTGGGAGGTGGGGTTAGAAAGATAAATATCGCAACATCAGTTCTTACTGACTAGGTAGTGGTTGAACGTTGTTTGAGTGACTTAGTCTCAACAGAGATTCTTCGGTCACCCAATCTCAAAATCATCGTTTTTTCGAAACCCAAAGTCTTTATTGCGAAAAAACCGAAACCCACACTTAACTATTCATCCGCAACTCCTTCACCGTCAGTATCGAGTAGGCGTGATTTCCCACCAACCCGACCTCGCGTAACTGGCCACCACCGCCACTAGTTCCACAGCACAAATTAGGGCAGGTTACGTCATTACATTCCTCAGAACAACATCCCTGACATATTTCCTACTGAAAAAAGTGCCAGGGACGATGCTAGTGAAGGATGTAATGTGGGAACCCTTAACCATAGGTAGTCGAGATTGCGAAAACTCTCTCAATTTGCACCAAAAGCTCCTGGGCTCATGCGAGCGGTCGTCGAAAGAAAAAGCCAACGTTGGACAACCTCCTATTAGAAACTCTAAAACACTGATCGATGTAGTTCTGACTGATGTTCTATTGCCACTACTGTTGTTCTATCATCCATGCAAACGAAACACGAAAATCCTATTCAAAAATATGATGTCTTAATATCATGACATGATGAAAATCGAAAAGAAAATTCATCAAACCTGCATAATGTCAAGTCCAAAAACGCTTCTGCGACTTCTCCACCACTGATTGCTTGGTAACAGCCATGCGCCTTCGCGTATGCCTTCTCCAGAAATTGGACCCAGCATTGGTAGTTGTTACCCTTCGAATACGCGAGGTCAAGGGCAGTTGCTTTCCGACTAAGCGTTTTCGGATCGAGACAAAGTGTGAAAGGGGAGTTATCTAATTTGCGGATCAGAAGATAGGAGCTAATTTATCGAGAGATCGATAGGTCCGTGGAGATGCACACCTTTATGGAGCTCGTAAGTTCAAGATTTAGGAGCTTACGGACGAAAGATAGATGGCGAATTAGATTTGATAGAAACGTCATCATCCTTTAGGACCTCATTGAAGCCCACAAAATGGAGGTACGTCTAAAAAAGACTGTAACAACTGCATAAATCGTTCAACATACGATGCGTTGTGTTTGAACCTGGTGCGCGCTTCTCGCGTTCTGTCAGGAGAAAGTCCCTGGTCTCCGCAATGGCTTGGCGGTTGGCATCGGACAAAGCGAAGGGGTCGTAGGCGCTACTGGTTAATATCAATGCAGAAGATCCTGAAGTCGAAGAAGAAAAAGCCTCCTGTCGTGACTGCTGCCGTCGTGGGAGAGCAGGATGTTGGTTTTCATGTCCAGTACTAGAGGAGGATGTTCCTTTTGAGGTCGTTGAGAAGGAGTAGTTGCCGTTGTGGATATCATTCTGCTGACCCTCACGACCACCGCCATCATTCTGCTGACCCCCAGCTAGCATCTTAGCCAAAACATCGGCACTAAGTCCACTTGCCTTAAACCTCGGATTCACCGAGAAAGACTGTACAACATGCGCTCGCGGATCGCCACCTGTTAAACTCGCTGCAAGTGCCTGTTGCAAAGCAGCTTCTTCCTCTTTGCGGCGTAAGGAGAGCATCGCGGCACCCATTTCACGACCATTCTCGTCTACAGCTGCCCTCAACTGATCTGGATTTGCTTCGTCAGAAAACATACAAGGCAGAAAATTGTCGATGAGAACGGAACGCCACCATCCATCCAGAAATAGATAGACTTCTACAGCACCACTAGGATGCAGCTCGAGGCGAGGAAAGAGACGGTGTGATTTTAGAGGTGGAGGACAGTGATGCTGTAAGCATAATAACCCTTGATGTCGCGCCTTTTCATGTAAAAATATCTTCAGAAGGGAATTTACTCATCATCGACTGACTTTGAGTCCCCTGTACTTCAAAGAAATCGCGAACTATCAACTTCCCCTTAACATCAAGTCTGCTCTTTCCGCGATCACTGCCAATGCCGACAAAAACCAGCAGTCTCCGACCTTTCCCTGCACTAAATCTTCAGCCCGGAAACCTTCTGGACCCACTAGAATGTGATGGTTGTGTCCACCAAACCGATACCATTGCATCTGTTCTGCTGAAAATGCCCAACGAAAGAAAGGACACCTTCGTGTCGCACAATGGAAATACGCGCGCCCGACATTTTTTCCACTTTTCGTGTACGACATCTTTGGTTCAGCGTTACAACGACATCGCATCTTCCGTTTCTCACCTTCGATGCTGCGCGCAACGGCGGGGAAGTCGGCGTCTTCGAAGAGACGAGCGCCTCCCGGATTCGGTCCTGTTGTGCTTGCTAATGCTCCTCTTATGTCGATATCACCTACACCTCCATCGACGGAATCAAACGCTATCGTTGCTTGGCGAAAAGCGTCTGCGCCTGAGCGGACGAAAGGCGAGGTACCGATGTCATCAGACGCAATGACAGACGACATAGGTGCCCGCGATGCCAAGGATGAAACATGCGAGGAGGAAGCCATTTTGTTTGTAATGGAGTTGCTTGCTAGTGAAAAAAGGCAAGCTTACGAGAAGGTTCTGAATTCAGGCAGAGCCAGAAAGAGTTTTTACTTCTGGCATGACCATTTCATGTCTATACAGAGTCTACGAGCTGCCATCAGCCTGATCTCTGAGAAAAAATCTGTACCTACTAACTTCTATCGGAGTGATGTATTTCTGCACATCATAGCATCAAGCATGATCCACGATCTTCTTTTTGTCAATTTCGAATTGTTATCGATGCTGATGCATGAATGATGCAACCCGTTATCAATGATGTGCGATAGACGAACCCATGGAATTATTGTCAGATGTGAAGATTCTGAAACATCGCCGGGTAAAGCGAGAGCGACACGGACTGAAACTCCGTCCCCGTTTGAGTTGTAAAGAAAATGTGAGTGGTTTTTAGTGGAAAATTTAACGGAAGCAATATCGTTGCGTTCTTCATGCGCAGTGTCGCAACAGGAGGTCGTCTCTTCATCATGTGAGCCTAGAAAATCATGATAAAAAACTCACATCATGTTTGTGTGCAGAAAGTAAAAGTTTTTTCAAGCTCCCGCAAATGTGCACACAACCGACAGTCTAGTATTTTTGGGACAGTATTAAAGACATCAGCCATCCTCTCCATCGAAATTATGACTCAGAATGGAAATTGAACCAAATCTTCAGAGAAGTTTGTTCATTCGTAAGCAAAGGTAACCTGAGAAAGGAGAAGGGCATTTGTTAAATTATACATAATATGTAAGTCAAGGCTTGCGAAACAGCAACGATCGTAGTGAGTGTGTCTTACTAGTAACTAGTAGTAGTACTTGTTCTATCAATTAAATAATACAAGGAAGTAGGAATATGACTTGTAGCTGGTAGTAGTTTGTAATATTAATCTTCTAAATCTCCATTTGCTTCTGCAAATCCACAATAATGGGTTCCAATTCCTTGATCTTGGGCTCTTGGTCAGCACGCGCAAAACTCACAGGCTGAATTACAATTTTTAGGATTCTCGATTTCAGTCCAGGCGCAGGCCCACCTGCATGTGCGTTTTGTGCACCCATAGCACTTGCACTTGGGCTTGTCTTCACGTAGTGATACAGTATGAATGGTGTCTTTTCCATCAATGGGCAGACCGTCACGGCTACCCTTTTCCCCTCAAAACGGGGAGCCGCTATGGTCTGATAGATGCAAAAATCATCATCCATACACAGAATCGCAGTGAAGAGCCTGCGATCGAAGTAATCTGTGACGTCATCTACCCAAGAGATTTGGATTTCGATAGAAGACGAAGTTTGCGTGAAACCACTTTCAGCTCGGTCTACTCGTTCTTTCTCTTCGATATCACGTAGAGCTGCTTCCAGGTTGTTCAGAAGCGCTACTAATTTCGACATAAAACTAAACGTCACGAGCCAGTCAGGAGAATTCGTGCTGATATTCTGAAACTGAGCTGGCAGAAGCGACCTGTCCGGATAAGCCGTGAAAACTCGCTGAGCTAGACGACACAACAATTGGGCTGCTGGTGGTTGCAGGCGCCTTCGCTTATTAGTGCCTAAGCAAGAATAAAGTTGTAGTCGTCGACCATCATCTGAGTCCGTTCTCAGCGCCTCCCTGTTCTCTTCTTCTTCTGATGATTCGAATCTGTAAGGCAGATACCCTAAGATTTCCCTGCCGATTTCTTTCTCTTCTTCTTCTAACCTTGAAGATGCTGGTAACTCCAAAGTGCTGGCCTCCTCCGCTATGCTGCTGCTGGGTGTGTCTGGGTAATATTAGAGTTGGAAAAAAAGCACAAGAACGAATTGATGTCACGTGTCGTGTGTCCCTGTCGTAATTCCTATGAAACTACCTAAGAGACAACATTGCACAGAAGTCATGGGTTAGCCACCCCCTGTACAACATTTCATTTCATATAAAGAGTAGGTTGTCATTTCAAGTAAAAAGAGTAGTCGCTGTCGCTCCAGTGTTTAGCCTAAAGCCGTGGCGCATAATTGCAAAAAAGCCTGGACATTTAAAAAATGCAACATTACAGTTCCAGTCCAGCTATTCTGGTTCTGAATGCCATTTCGTCAACAGATCGAAGTTTTACCTCCTGAAGCCTTAATGCAATGGAGCACAAGTCACTGGTGGCAACCCAAGGCGCTGCTGTAGGAGTGACGGCAGAAACGGAGTTTCAATCATCACCCCATCATACTCAAGGGGAGTCATCATCGTCGTGGCCCTTGGCGTATGTTCCTGACCTTCTGCGTTCCCACTCCGAACCATCAGCGGCCCTTCTACAGGTGGTTGTGTGCCGGCTTTCGCGTGCTGCGCGAGGAATGTGTAGAGACGACGCGTGTTTTCCTGATCTTCTTAGAAGACGAGAGAGAAGATAATCTTGTCAGGATTTTCGCGAGTTTCATCATCAAATTACCGCGTTTTCACAAGTAATCTGCTTGAAGACCTGCCAATGAGAGAATCTTCAAATTCGTATCACTACGGAAAAGATGTACACTATAGTCCTTTACAGCTACTAGAGCCTGCCAAAAACAATGTGAATTTGACTACCCAGCATAAGTCTGCGGCGCCAGCTCGTTTCGCTCAGCAAGCATGTGAGCCCAAGATCCTTGCGAAGCATCGGCCAACAGTTCCCTCCACATCTCTGCTGTTTTGTCACGCACTGCGCGCGCGATATTCTCACGCAATCTAGTAGCAGAAGAAATGCGCTTTTTTCCGCGAAATGAAAAGGAAAAAGAGCCCGGAAATAGTACACTACATCCTGATCTGTGAGGGTTGGTGTTGACTTGGTGTGCTGATTCGTTGTTTGGGTCATCTTCAAACGCCAACCCTTCTACAGCTTGCAAGAGTGCGCAAAATTTCAGGTAACCCCGCAAAGCTTGTTAGCGTTTGCAAGTTGACCGATCTACATCTAGCTCGCATATCTATGACTTTCCTACTTGAAGAAGCCATAGATATGCTCGTAGATCGGTCAACTTACAGCCCTTAAACTACCTCAGGTTGAAATGGACTCGCAGTAGTTTGCTTTTTTCTACTACCATTAGAGCGACCTTGGGGGCTGCTTCCATTTTTCTAAGAAGCCATGATCCTACAACTACCATGATTGATCATGATGTTTGCTTTTTTCTACTACCGCATTGAAAGTCATATCCTTGTCCACTTCTTATTTCCCTTGAGAAGGAGGCCGGGTATGTGATGCTGAGGATGTTCCTCACTTGGGTACTTATCTTAATAGCAGTACGACCATCCTCAGAAAGCGCCCAGAGAGGTAGCCACCTATGCCCTCCTTCGCGATGGTTCCATAGCGATGAGGCCAAAGCGTCCTCGTTTAAGCCCGTTCGGGACAGAGGATTGCTTAGAGAGGTTACTGACAGGCTGGATACACTAGTAATCGGGTTCCAGATCAAGGTGATTCCAGTCCTCTATTTCACCTAGTTATGATACTTCTTAGCTGTGTGCTTCACCTGAACTAGAGCAGGGATCCCTTCACTAACCATCCTCGAGTACCTCGTTTACCTACTAAGACCCTTAAATCCAGATTAGCAGCAATATCTGCAGCGAGGACACTAGCGAAAGCCATTACTATCGCGATCAAATACTCACGCTCGAAGATGTTAGACGCTGCTAGCGCATCCACATCATTCGTAGCCACGCAGCGCCAATGAGGCTCATATATTTGCTGCTTACGAGGACTCGGCCTCTTTGATATATCCGTGTGACCCATTCCGCTTTGGTCCATTGAAAATTCTCTAAGCTCCGTCAACTCTCGATTCCAGTCTTTTTCGAATAACGGAAGCATCTCCCGCACTGTCCCATTGCTCCAGCATTTTGCAAGTGTTTCGTCCGATGCTCTGTCAATCCGAGAACTTCCGGACATGAGCAAGACGTCGCTTTTCGTGTCCTCGCGTAGAAGGACCTGCTCGCGCTTATATTCTAGGTAGTTTTTCAACATCGTCGTCGTCCTACATACATACTATGTAAGGATTGAGATCACTACTGTATTAAACTCAGTGTCGTTCTGATCCTGGTGCTTATATTAAACTCAAGGTAGTTTTCATTTAGGTAGTCTTTCATAGGCATTCTGGGTGCAGTAGTTGCCTCGATGCCCTCACGTGGACCTCTCTCATAAGAAGACTGTCGAAATTTTTTGATTTCCGAAGAGGTTCTTGCAGTTCCGGTCTTATAAACACCCCTTCTTCAACTAGGTAGTACAGGATGGTGAAAAGGCCTCTCTATTGTCTAGCCTTAAATGTAGCTGCGGAGCAGTCTTGAACAACGATCGTAGCGCGATGTCACTGGACATGATGTACTACTCGGGGCATCACTATCTCTTGAAGATGAACATGAGGATAAACGTTTAGAGCCGTCACTACAACAAGTAATACATCCAGATTGAAAAAACCTTCGCAAGTGGCGGGCCGCATCTTCCTCACGACACGGGATTTTGCTCTGGTGCGAACCAGGAGGCTGCGAACCTTGGCTCGGCACCAGTGGAGGTCTTCTATGAATGTTCTTTTTTCCCATCCAGGCAGACCATCGAGGCCCCCCATTAACAATGCTATACAGTTTTATCAAGGACACAAAATAAAAGGGGCAGCCTAGCAGACGGATGCGAAAAACATCATCCGTATCTTCTTGATGTAGAAGTAGTGCCTACGTGCATCTTCACGGCATTCGCGGTCGTCATGCTCTGCTCCAGTTCACCACCCAGTGCTGGGTCTGGTCCGTGTGCTGCTGACTTGATCGCAAGTGGTGATACTTTTGACTCAGTTTTGGTTTTCCCTCTCGTACTCCCAGCACGTGTGGAAGCGGCCTCTTGTTTCAACTGACTGATTATCTGTTCGAGTTCCCGGAGAATTAATGCATCTTCCGACTCTGGCTTTCTGACTTTGGAGGCTTTCAGGCTTTGAAGGCTTTCAGGGGTTTCGAGGACGACAGTGTCATCCACGTCTTCGATCATGCCCACGACACGCTCTTCTTGCTCAATTTTCCTACGTATCTTTGCCAGAAGCTCAGCTTGATCCTCATCTTAGAAGCAGAGTTGTACTTGATGATATCGAATCAAAATTTTTGAAATCAGAGTTCTGCAATAGGTTGTAACCCCTCTTGTAGAAATCAATCTATTATGAATTATCCTGAGGAAATGTACATGTTTGACCTCGCTTCATCTGTATCTGTTACAAGAAAAAAAATTTTGCCATAATTATAAGCGGTGTGAAAATTCCTTACATGATCGTCGCACGTCTTTCCTTCCATTGTTTTAGATGATTTCGGGTCTAGGTTCCACCCACACACGTCTCCGCAGCCGTCATAATCAAGCATTACTATTTTTTGCACGAATACTCGACCTGGGTTTTTGTTCACAACTGGGTTGTCACGACTCTGAGGCGCAACTATTTCTGGTGACACCAGTGTCTCCTGCGCGACCTCGTGACTCACTTCCGTTTTTGAATGTAAAAATAGGTTCTCACCATGCATGCTTTCTCCGGGTAGTTGAGGACCAAATTCTTGTGTATGTCCATCAGAGCATTCATGTCTGCGCTCCACATGTTGTAGGTCAGAACTTTGACACGCAGGCTGTTGAGGCGCTCGAAAAAAAGCAGCGCTGACAGGTACTGACATAAGAACTACCAGTACGAGAACCATCGAACGTGGTACACCACGAAGGTGAAGATAAGGAGTCGCTGGTGTCATCATTGGCCGCATTTTGTTTATTCACTAGTATTGTAGAAGTATTTCTGAACCATCTTGAATTCATCCCGAGGGAAAAAATAAATCAGTCCGATCTACTGAGTATCAGAAAATCTTTCTTCTTGTGACTTCTGCTCGACCTAGCTTAAATCAACGATTACTTAAGTAATACTACGTTGCTATCTTACATCAACGATTACTTAACTAATACTACGTTGCTATCTTACTCTTACATCAACGATTACTTAAGTAATACTACGTTGCTATAACGATTACTTAAGTAGTACTATGTACGTTGCTGTCTACTATCCTGTAGAGGAGAATTCCAGAGCAGCCCTGTGAGAATGTCTTTCAATGGGATCGCATCGGCAAGTCAATCTTAATCTCGTTCATTATAGCAAGGATCTTTGTTTATTTCGGCGGTCTTCCAGCACTGCGTCAAAGCAGGAAAGCGGTCCCGACTCTGTCGAGTGATCCATTCCTCGAAGAAGCAAATAGATCCTAATGAAATCAAAGGCGTCTATTCCCTTTGACGATGAGGTTGACCGAGTTCTTTTTCTTCACAAGTGACGACGTTATATCAACTACCGATCGCTGCATAAGTAATCTACTTCTATAAAGGATCATCAGCAGAGAAGAATACCGGAACGTACATCGAGGAAAATGTCAAGCAAGTGAAAGTGTCAGCGAGGCGATCTCTATATCACTGCTTCTTGTCTGTTCCAAATTGTTATGCGAAGGAACACGACTAACTCTGAGGCCTCAGCATGTGACCTTAACGCACTTCCCCACTCCGCTTTGAAAATTCGCAGTAGGTGTAACAGATGTGATCATCCATAGATCATGATCAAACTTTCAAAAATCATAGTACCCTTTCGTCATCTGTTCTCTCGTATTTCCCTCATATCAAAAACTACAAGATCAACCTCTGCGCTCGTAAAAATTCACTCAGCGGTGTTCGCTGCTGGGCTGTCTTCGTTTTTGAATTTCACGCGACCTGACTCCCGCAACTTTCGAATCCTCTCCGCTAATTCGTTGGGGTCCTCTTGTCGGGACTCCCGTTTCCTATGCACCTTATATCTTAGAAGACGAATGATGTGGTTGGTATACTATCTTAATATGCGCGGGTAAACCTTAGATAGTCAGAAAAGTTCCACATGAGTCTTAATATCTAAGTTTTTGGGTTCCTAGTTTTCACTCCTAGCTAGGTTAGGTTAGGATTTCAACAGATTCTTATCAAGGCAATTGCACGAAAACATAACCTAGAACACAGTTAGTTAGCGTCGGCCTAAATAACCCATTAGTTGGTCTCGGCGCTCTCTGCGCCGCCAAAATTCTAGACCGGCGGCGCTCTTTGCGCCGCCGTTAAGGTCTAGTAGCTATTAGAATATCATTTCAACTATTAGAATAGGATTTGAACAGATAACGATGCGAATCTATTCGGCAAGTTGAAGACTATCATAGATAATGATGACTCGAGTTGTATACTCTAGACAAGTGCAGCTCTTTTTGAGCTGTAACACAATACTTCTGTTGCTTAGTCGGCCATAACTTCAAATTCCAGTAGAAGACAAGCACAAACATGACCAGGCCAACTAGCCATCGCGGCGTGGTCTCCAGCCAGGATATAAGGTAGAGGGATAGTTCATTACTATCCTTCGCCACATGTTCGATTGCCAGACTCGCTGTCGTATTGTTGTAGCATTGTGGTAGAAGTAGAATAAGGATTTTTTTAGAATTGTTTCTTGACTTCCATGTCTATGTCTTTGATGTCAAGTACTTCAGAAAGAGAGGAGGGGGTAAGAAGTAGTCTGGTTCCTCGACAGCACGAGCACCTCCAGAGAAACTTATCAGTACCTCCTGCCGCCTGTGAAAGCGAGACGTATTTGAGAGTGCTGTTGCCTCCTTCCTCGTTGTCTAGCAGAATGAAATAACCATCCAGAGAGCCCTTTCCAGAAGAACTATGAGCAGTTAGGGTCTGCACTTTCCGTATTCGTCCGAGTGGTATGATTTAGAGAAGGGGAGGAGACGACTTCAAAAGTTGAGGTAGAGGAGGAAACGCAACCAAATTAATTTTCACAATCAGGGTAAATTCACAAGGTAAATCTAAAAGCGTAAAGATGCTTCTCAAACCTAGTGTGTCATTCTACTTGTTTTCTCTATCTCTCCTAAAAAAACCATTCATAAGCTACTCCATCCTTTCTTGCCAAAACGTCTTCTGTGAAGGCTAAGCCAGCTTGTTTTCTGGCATCAAAAAACAAGACCGCGCCATCTGCGAGAAAAATAGCCCAACGGTTTTGCCCCGCATTTTCCATGTGGCGCACCTGGTCATTGGGTTGCAGTATGCCTTTAGGAAGTTGCCATGTGATCTGACAGGAACTCATGTCCACCTCGACAACACGGTGAGTAATGGCTGACCTTGGCAACTTCGACTGCAACACATGAATTAGAGCGTTCTACAGGTTATGTTCAACTTTTTTACTGGGACTGAAAGTGCACTCTAGTCCAGAAACTTTTTTTTTGCTTCTAGTGCTCATTCGCCGTATTCTTCTCATCATAGTACAAATTCAAATTCTTATTCTGGATTCCTTTCCTTAGATACAAAACTAGACCTACTCTCCCTACTTCTAACAGCTTGCCAGCCTTAAAACAACAAGGCGAGGCTTCACGTCTCCACTTGTGCCAAGGTATGCTCCCTTAATCTCGTCCTCCGGAAAAAAGCATGGGGCGTCAACCCATTCCATCTCTGCCGTTGAAAATATCCCCAAACGACTCTCTGCTGTCTGAAATTTTGATGAACAAGAAAGATGGGCTTAGGCCTTATCCCTAATGAGATTATTCTTTGATAATGGATCCTGTAGACTTTTTACCACCGCTAAGACTTGTCCTTGCCCGATCTTTTCCAAGCTCGATATGGTTCCAAACGCTGCTTCCGTGCTCGTTCTGGTACCATTTTCTTTAGATAAAGCCATCTATGCTTTAGATATCATCCTGATTCCTACAACTCTTGTTGCAAAGCATTCGTAGACGAGAGAGTGAATCTTTAAACTACCTGGATAAAAAGCAAAGTTGTCTAGTTAAGAGAAGCAGATTCAGAAAGTAGCTTAAGAAAACCGTAGTTGCCTTAATCTTCACTACACGGATACTTCCTTTATCGGCCCATGCAATTGTCTCGTGGTCCATGCGAACCAAACGCGAAGGTGCCGCATCCAGGCAGCCTTCATCGCCAGTGCTTGTCGCAGATAAACTTCCAAAGTTCTCGACTCGACATTTTGCAGCGTCAGCACTACTTCCGACAAGGTTAGAAGTAGAGCACAATTTTTAGCTATTAATATAGGACAGAAAATAACCAAAGTTACCAAATCCTATTCTCTACGTATTCTAACTCAACAACAGAGTTGTAAGTAGCCATACAAGTATTCGCTGCTGCCATGTTCGTCACATTCGCCTGCGTTATTCCTGTCCTATCCTTGAAAACTCGGAAGGAATATTTTTGGGCTCGCCTCAAACCTGATACCTCTGCAGTGTAGAAAGTTGCACCACGGTCGCGAAGGTTAGAGGTAGAACGCTTGCATTCCTTGGCAAAACTTTTGGCCATCAGCGTCGGGCTTCGGCAAGTTATCCTGCCCTACTCCTGGTGAGACAAGACGGCACCGGCAGTTCTTGGCTTTCCTCTGCTTTCACATAGAAAAAAAAACCAGGGAACGAACGGAGGATGACAAGGGCGCTTTTCCAGTAGCCTTAAGAAAGCTGCTGCAGTCGATAGTCGCCGCCTCGTTTCTGATTAGAAGGGTAGTGGCGCGTTTCCGAGAATGAAAGAAAGAATGCGACGAGAAAGCAACCGAGCAAGAAGGAAGGAAGGAAGGAGGTTCTTCATAAAGCAAAATCATGGCTTTCTGTTTTATCGGCAGCATTTTCCAGGAGGAGCTCGAAATCCTCTGCGCCCCATCGATATAGCAGCAAGTGGACGCGGCCATCCGGACGGAGGAGCACCAAAATCGCGCCATTAGATCAGACACTTGAATTAGATCAGGAGGAAAAGGAGGAGGAGGAGGAGGAGGAGGAGGAAAAGGAGGAGGAGGAGGAGGGGGATGGCAATGATTCTCGCGGACAGAAAGTGGAGGTTGCGGGAAAGCAGAATAGTGACAGTGGTTTTCATGAAGAGAGAATGCCAATGATCGCGAATTGCATGCACACCACTACACTCACACCTTTTAGACACTAGATGAACCTAAGTGGTATATTACCGCACATATGCCATAACACCATCGACTTTTTAAAGCTTTGCCCGTCAATTCAGTCCTGTGGCAGCGAAAGGCACTCCAGTAATCATGCAGACTGTTTTCAAAGCTACAAAAAGTACTGTATCCGCTTTGCAAACATCGTCACGTCAACCTTTACTGATTGACAATTTTCGAAGTGAAAAAGCATCTTCGTGGAACTCCAGTACGCCTGAAACCCTAATAAATTACGTCTTCAGAGAACCTTATACTTTATACACATTACTCAACCTCCACCCACAAATGGATCTATCATGTATCAAATATGCATCCTTAGCCTTTGACCAGATTCACGGCGCAGAAGTTCTTCACTTGTTCGGTCGCAAACTTGGTCGTGAAATGGAATTCCCGTGGAAAGGAAAAAGGCTTGCCAAAACCACTAAACGCGGTTGTGACTGTGTGGAAATTGTGTGGAAATGAATGCTTCAACTGATTGAAAATGTCGGTGGAGGTACATTTTTGTTCAGATGCACATGAAGAAAGACGAACGCTTATAGGACAACATGTCTGGAGGTATCAGTATCGACTCTTCATGATAGGAGGTCCCCCATGCTCTTGCAGGCCTTACCTTTAAGCCCTTCAATCTTCAAGAACGACTGTTGCCCTCTGCTGCCTCGACATTTTCAATCAGTGATAAGCCATACTACAGCTGCATTGCGTTCTTTCGTATCGCGTGCAAGGGGTTGTTGGTCTTGTGCGCTTTTGCGAGGTGTTCTTGCGTTGTTGTTGCTGGCTTCCTGCAACAGTTCCCGAAGTCCAGGGTCTATGGTGTTAGTAGCGACCTGGTGTCGTAACTGTTGCAATTGATACAATCGCATCGCGCGCTCCGGAGTTCCCCAACATGGGAGACCCCACACCAGAATGAGGCACTTCATCTTGATGGTGGCGATGCTGTTCGTCATAGGAGTTCTTTTCTTTCATGTGTCATAAATACCAGAATAACTTGCAGGCTTCTGGGCTTCATGCTTAATTACTGATTGTCGATTTTGAGTAAGTTCACTATAATTATGGGCTCATTGATTCATGTACCTTTGTAACGTCTGAACCAGACGCTTAAAATTAGTGCTAATGGCATCACCCATGGTCCTGCTAGATAGCACTCAATATCTAATAAAAAGCTTGCCTTTGGATCGTACAGCTTCCCCTTGGAACTCGGATCATCCACAGGAGATCTTATGTCACATCGTCTCCTACCAGACAGAAAGACCCAACGAGAATGGCAACAACATCTAAATTCTGGTGGATGACAGAAGAAATAAATCGCTCGTCCCGCATCTCCAGCGTGGCATGCGAATCCATAAGAAGGTTCATTCACTAACAGTCAATCAATCGATCGGGGGGCGAAGCGCGGTAGCCCGAGTCATTCAGAGGATGCTTTTTTTCCCATAGGACTATATGCTGCCCCCCTTGGTTTAGGATTGTCGTGATGGATGGGATAGGAATTAGCCCGCCTCAGGGGAGGTCAGCGTTCACGCCTATGAAAACGCCGAAAAGGATCTACTTTACGTGATGCTTCCGCCAGATCCCACCTCTCTGTGATAAATTAGAAGCTGAAAAGGTATAAAATTGACTTTTCTTGTTCTGTAGAGTAGCAGTATGCACAGTGGAAATTCACCTATGCACAACTCTTTCTCATGAAGGAAAATGAACAGACACTAGTAGGTCTAAGACTTACCGTGATATCATTCATGAAGTCGATGTTTTCTATGCGCAGAAGATTTATGCACGACCCAAGACTAACATGCACTAAGTAGCTCTACACAAATTCACATGTGAAAATGGACTCTGAATGAACCCTCGCAAACAACAAGTTAGGTGGAAAAATAGAAACAACAAGTGAAATTTAAAAGTGAACAACAAATCATAATACTCAAGGGGGGTCATGCGACACTTCGAAACGAGATATTCATTTTCATGCATATTCGAATTAGACAGAAACAAGTGTTGGAAGTTAGTCTTCACAAAGGAATGCCACGATAATAACCATTAATCATCATATTTTTTGAGAATGGTCTTTACAACTCAACAAATATCAGGAACGATCATCATAACTTGCTAGTTGTCGCGTAAAAATAATTCAAAAAGTACAATCTACCAAAAAGTCGACCAGTGATAAATAGTTCAAAAAGTGCAATATCTATATCAGCCAGAAATGAACCAGCCAACACGCGCCTTGGGCACGTGGGCTTTAATCAGAACTCCGCTCCCCGAAGAATGGAGCCCGGACTAATCCGGCCTCAACAGCTGAGGGGAGACAGAGGGTGAACAGAGATGGATGTCAACGTTCTACACACCAGGAAACAGAAAATAGACGGAAACCAGAATCAGCCTCATTCAGACTCACGTAGATTAGCTTGATAGAAGAACAAAAATGATGTTTGCAATCGAAGTAGGTAAGACAGATGGGAATAAAAAGAAAACAATTGATGAGACAATAATCCAAGTATGGTTCTGATTATGATGTAATGAAAATATTCAAAATCAAGAATTAAATTCTACAACATTTTTTCTTGTTCTCGGAAAAGCTGACTCGCCTTCTTTGTAAAAGATATTTCCGCAGGTGATAAGATAACAGGGGTAGCTATTTTTGGGGACGCATAATGCGATAACAGGGGACGCATAACAGGGGTAGCTCTAAAAGATTGCGAGGTGCTCTGTTAGCAGAGTGAGATATCAAAGATAGCTCTAAAAGATTGCGAGGTGCCCTGTTAGCAGAGTGAGATATCAAAGATAGCTCTAAAAGATTGCGAGGTGCCCTCTAAGAGTTCCATACATACAGCGAGTAGCAAGCTTGGAGGTCACACGACTAGTCTTCATAAGTGACTGGCTTACATCAATAAAACCGTTTACAATACGGCAAGGGCGAATGCTCAGAAAGAAAAAACAGCAGTCGAAGAATTGATACCCAAACACATTTCTAATTTGGAAAACTGCTCTCCTCTCCGTGTTTGATCCCCTCCTCAATAAAACTACTTAGGCGCTGCATGATCCACGTCCGCTTTCGTGCCAGAACTCTCCACCACCGTTGTACTCGGCTGAACAGATATGGTGCCCATCATGAAGCGAAAATATGTGAACTAACTACATCATAAAGATACTTAGGTTGATTACTAAACCTCAAACGATCGACTTTCTGAAATAGTCACAACAAGAACAAACACTGAACAAGTAATATCATAAATTATACCTCACTCACTGTAGCTCCTTCTTCCGTCTTGACAGAAGTCTTCTCTTCCGTCTTGACCTTCTTCTCATTCGATTTCTTTTCTTCCGTTTCCACATGGTTTTTCTGGTCGTCTGCCTCATTTTTCTGCACTTCCGTATTTGCCTTTTTGGCTGAGGGTTGCTTTTCTGTGCGAAGCATCTGCTGGCGCGCCATAACCGTAGAACCAAGATTAGAGCTGTCGATGACGTAGTTTTGCTTAGGTTAGGTGTGGGTCCACTAGATAAACCAGCAGACTTCAGCTTATCTTCTTACCAAATTATTGTTAAGCGGATGAGTATCGTCATCTTTAGAAGTTCTTTCACGATTGTCAGCCAAAAGATACTACAGTGTTTCTCACTTTGTTTCTCTTTCTGTACAGAGATGAAATCCTATAAAGAAGTCCTATAAACCTTAACAACGACACTGACAGTTGTAGCGCGTTTGCACGCGCGTCCGCAAGGGCCCATCTTTCAAGAAGTTCTAGAGGAAGTACTCTTGGTCTACGTCACTCGAATAAAAGCACGCAATGTGCGCGACGGCAGTCTGCTTCACTAGCAGAGTCCCTCCTAAGGATGGCGAGGATGGTGATTGTGGTGGTGGTGATTGCGAATGTGGTTATGGTCAGAGTTGTGGCGATGATTGTGATTGATGGACCTGCATGAGTATTGTTTTTGATGACCCAACATCAAAGGATAAAGAGAAAAGATGAAACATGAAAAAATTGTATGTTGAACAACGAGCAGAGGCTAACCCATTTCTATTTTTTGCAGCAGCAGCAATCTTACGTGAGTCCGAGTTTGAGCTACCAGCCAACTTGGGGGAGTTGGGCTGTTTAGTTGTATGGTCTCATTTTTGCGCTCATATACTTACATTCACCCGCACATTTGCTTACAGGACTCCTTCTGGGTAGGCATTCTTCTACATGCCGAATTCCCTCCGAAAGTGAATGCTTCAATAAATGCTGACTTCGAGATGCGTGTAGACTCTTGTAATTCAACACGAATTACCGACAACAAGGACTCAGCTACTGCAACATTGAGCAAAAGTATCACGACAACAAGGACTCAGCTACTGCAACACAGAGTGAGCAAAAATTATATGACAAAGAGGACTCATCTATCTCAACACGAGTGGGTAAAAATTTTATGGCAAAGAGGACTCACCCATCTCAACACGAGTGGGTAAAAATTTCATGGCAAAGAGGACTCACCCATCTCAACACGAGTGGGTAAAAATTTTATGACAAAGAGGACTGATCTATCTCATCACGAGTGGGTAGAAATTTTACGACAAAGAGGACTCATTTATCTCATCACGAGTGAGTGAAAAGCATATAACAACTAGGGCTCATCTATCTCATCACGAGGGACTAAAAATGTTATGACAACTAGGGCTCATCCATCTCAACACGAGTGGGTAAAACTTTTATGACAAAGAGGACTCATCCATCTCAACACGAGTGAGTGAAAATTTGAAGTATGACAATGAGGACTCATCTATCTCAAAATTAGGACTCATCTGTTTCAACACGAGTGAGTAAAAATCTTATGACAACTAGGATTCATCTATCGCAACACTGAGTAAACTCGGACTCACCTATTTCAACACGAGTGAGTAAAGATTTTATGACAATTAGGATTCATCTATCTCATCACTGAGTTTGAGTGAAGACTACGTGACAAATAGTTTTCCAATTAGCTCAAGAACACTGAGTCCAGACCTCATGTTCCCTTCGGCAAGAGCACCACCACCTCATGTTCCCTTCGGCACTTGTGTTGGCCACAAAAGCATCGTCTGTTGGGCTGCAAGGGCATTGGCGGTGTAGCCGATGTTATTCGCCACTTCCCTCATCGCATGCGTCCCGTCAACCCAATTGTTCGTCGTACAGCAATTGTCACCACGTGAAGAGTATGAAAGGATCATTAATAGGGTATCCCTATTGAGGCCATCTAGATTATAAGTGGGGGATTTTGATTCATAGGGTATTGATATTCATTGGTATAGTTATCAAACAGGTAGTTATTATGAAACGAGAGTAGGGTTACACAAGTATGGGAGTAGACGAGTATGAAAGTAGAAAAGTGCTTGGTATTGCCGAGGTAGTGAAGATCGATATTTTTACAAGTCGGGGGATTTGATGACAGAGTTGCAAACAAGAAGATACTACAGTACTATGTAGGAAAAAGTGCATGTACGTATAGGAAAGGTCGTCATCATGGGCCACATGATAGGTTATCAATCCACGAGATGAAGACCATTATGATGGTATGAAAGTATCCTGCTTCTTATCGATCCTGTGTAAATTATGTAGTTCATAATCCACCACCCGTGTCCACGTTCCATACGCAGTTATTTCGTCCACAGATAAGACCCGGTTGACACTGGGCGTCGTCTCCGCAATTACCTTCTCCAAACCCACAAAGATAGCCGTCTTTACCAAGTGATGAAGAAGGGACATCCATGGCACTGTATTGCATTGCACGTTCTACTTGACCTAATACTACACACGAACAGGAAATTAGTAGGTACAGCGTGTTCACTTGAATACAACAAAGTTGTGAGTGTTGCTATACGTGTTGATCAGCATACTACAACATCTAGTATAAGCTTTAGCAGGTCTTTGGGTTCTACATTCAAATCTTGGAAAGCACAGAGACATAAACAACAGTGATCATTCGCTTCGCCGAAGTCTGGATGTAGGACACCGCAGCCAGGATGACAGGGACTTGGCTTACTTGTGTCGGTTAAGAATGAAAGGGTTTGATTTAAGGGCTCGATTTGAACCATGTTTCATTCATGTGTTGATATTTTCCATAGTATGAAGCAAGCAAAACAGAACGTTGCAAGCCGGACTTGCATATTAACGAGTGAAACAGTATGGCTTACAGAAATGCACGTTAACCACATATGAAGCTGCCCACCAGTCGAGATGTCACTGCTGCACGAGTAACCCGTATTCGAGCACATATCAAATACAGCCAAAAATCATAAAGGGTCACTGTCGAAGAGAAGTCCTGGAATCTGGTCCGGTTTCGAATGCTTCTTAGAGGGACAAAAGATTGAGAAACCATTACACTGGAAGAAGCACGAGTTCACCTACTAGTTACAACACTAGTAGGGTTTAAGTTTTTGTTGCCGTAAAATAGTAAGTCGCCTGCAATGTTGCATTGTCCCTCTTCCCTCTGCATTGGCCTAGTTGATCGACACGCCATCGAAAAAACAGGTCCCTGCAACTCGCTTTCTTTACGTGGGTTGTGGCGCTTTGGCCACTCACAATATGAAGAAGAGCTCACCTCCTCAAGGATGGAAAAGTAAACTCTCCTCAGAAATTTTGAAACTTTTTAACTTCTACCGCGGCGAGGAGAGAAAAATCAGTAAAACTTCAAGATCCACGGAAATATTAGGGTAAAGTAACATACTGAGCCCATTCATAAACAAGTGCTGGCATCCGCAGATCTGTGCTGGTCAGACCATCCACTGTGGTAGGACAAAGGCCTTCTCTAATTTTCTTCAGGAAGCATTAGAGCTGTGAAGATTTGTGTTATTAAAGTTAAAAGTTTCTGGATGCTGCATCCCGCTTCAGCTGCGCTTCACCTAGGTCCGTAGCTAGCACTCTCGGATGACTCTGTTGGTCCTAGTGTTAGTATCACAACAACTAGACTGGTAGCTTCGCACTGATACTCCAAAACTTCACTTACGCGAAAAGCCTAGGGCTGTGGCTTAGTGGTTCTCTCGGCGTTTTCCTTTTCTCTCAAGGAACCGACTAAAGGTCAGTCCGGCGCAATCGTAGCAGCGGGCAGGCGTAAAGGCCACACAAGTAAAAATAGTCCATTACTTTACGACAGTAATACCATAAGGATCGGGGAAAATCATAAAAATGCATCAATTCACATTTTTCACATTTCTAAACAGCACCAGAAACAAGAAGAGGCGAAGGGAGTCCATTACTTTGAAAGAGTGCCGGGGGCGTGATCATCAATTTACTTTTTGAGTGAAAACACGAGCGAAAGCCGAAACGATGCAGGTTGTGACTTTGAAACAACAGCGAGCACCAGGGGCGTGATCATCATCAGGAGAGTGCTGGACTTCTAGACTTGCGCCATAGTATTCACATCATCGGAAGGCTTGGAAGGCGATAGGCTGCAAGTTTTAAGATCTTCAAACGACGAGGAACATCATGCAGAAACAGCGGACAGATTGGGAATTTTGGAACTGCGTAAGGATCAAGGAAGCGAGACAGGATTTACATGAGATTACTGCATTACGAATATAACTTACTACTTCTAGCTACTTAGGAGTAGACCTACTCATTCTTTCCGTAAAGTGTTGCTTTCGTGGATCCCGCTAATCGGTCGTACACGAGATGCGCTAGTACATCAAAAAGCGGAAGCTTCGCAGAGGTCCCGACTGCGCTGTCGTAGCCAAAGTCTGCTAATGGGCATACTGGGTGCGTGGGCGGATGCTTAGAATTTGCCGGACTTTGGTGTTTGCGGCTAATTTTACTTGCGCCAAGGATATGAAGTATAGGAGGGTAAGTTTTCTAGTTCTTATCATTAAAATGAAGGCTCCCCCTGTCGTGGAAGGGATAGTCCGTGCATCCACTCTAGTTTTAATGATCACAAGTAAAAAGCCGTAAATGCAGGTAGAATCGAGGCACGACTCCAGAGACTAGACAATGCGTTCGAAAGAAGGTCGGTAACTGGTTGTGCCACACGCTGGAACGTTGTCTCGAGTTCCGCTGCAAAGGTACTGTTTTTTTGGCACTGAAAAAAATTAGAAGTGGAAGATCAAAAAAAAAATAACACAAGTGACGGTGAAAGATAATGTAAGATCAAGAGGAGTGCCTTGCCTTAAATATGATCTCAGAGATAGGTTGATACACAAGAACTTCTTCAACTCCAATAGTGACAGGTCCAAGTTAAAGTTTGTCCATAATCGTTGACCCAGTCGGGACCCCTCCGCACACATTGGTTGTGCTGTTTTCTGTCCCTGTTGTGACAACGAAATTCTGGCAAAGCGAGGTCTGACAAAACGCCGCCGCTCCTACACTTCCCGCGTTACTTCGCGCACAGGGTGTATGAATGGTAAAACTGACGGGGAATAATGGCAGGATGGACACGGAAGGATCTCATTGCGGAAGGAACGGATAGAGTGCTAGAAAGCTCTTGACGAGTGGAATGCACTGTGATAAAAGGTTGGATGCTTGTACAACTACACTTGTAGACGTTACTACTCGAAAACCTGAAATAAGCGAGTAACTACTGAAAGTGAGCGAGATACTGAACAAGGAAGAGTAGCCCTGTCAAAGCTACCTCCCTTATTTCACTCGGTAACTCGGTTATTTCAGTAGTTTGTTTATCACCAACAAAGGATGCACACTGCTCTAATGCAATTCATCCATTCATATGCCATAAAGTGAAGAGCAAAAATCGACTGCGCGATCGATCTCTACTGTGTAGCTTTGTGCTGGCGACGTCACCTGGGACCCTGTAGCACACCAGTCTTTCTCTATGTCCTTCCGGAAACCAGATTGTGGCAGGCAACGGGCTGTAATCTTCGCGTAGTTCCATCTTAGGATATCGAGGTAACGTCGCTCGTCCGTTTCCGCGAAATCGTAGGTAGGATTCTGAGATGTTGATTGAGGATTCTCCGGTGTTGCTTGTACAGAGAGTAAATCAGGAAACGAACATGATGCCGTGTTCATAATTACAAACCTGTAGCTAGAAGCCAATTTTCACGATATACTGACTCCCCACGTATCATTTCATGTTGTTCACCTATTATAACGGTATTGTACTTGCAAACATTTTTTCTAGCTAGAAACAACTTGATGTACCTCCGACAAAAAACTGTAATCTATCTGTCTCCAGAAGCAGTACCACTGTCTTTGTGATTTTTTCAAAGTGTCCACTCGTGCCAGGACAAGAGTCCACTCTCACTAAGCCCTCCACTTTCCGTATCCGTTCATTGCCGGTATCTGCTACAGGGATTAGAGTCTCGTCTAAGTGATACAAAATGAGAACAACGTGCTCTACTCACGAACGCAAAATGTCACTAGAAATAGATGAAAACAGGGTCTCCCACTAGGTGAAACTCTGGAAAATCTCGGTCTCCCACTACAGGTAAAACTAGAAGGGAAACCCCCCGTCCTTAAAAACAAGTCCGGTGACTCTTTTGCTACGTAGACAGACGTTGGTGTGTCTAGCATGGCCCTCGTCGCCAACTCACCATCACCCTTGAAGTACGCAGTTCCCCGATTCGAAACCGCGGTCTGAATAGTAGACCCTGAAGGAAGTAGGTGGAGGTGGCAAAGGAGGCAGTGTGTTGTTCGCTCAAAGCACTAAATAAAGCAACCGGCTCGCTTTTACCTCTAGCGTGTAGCCCTTCCAACAACAAATTACTTATCTTCTCTTCTGCCTTATAATACTGCCTTCATCGAACTAGTTCAAGTGTTGCATGTCCAATAAGCAACCTTCTCCCACTGGTTGATCTGGATAGTCCGTCAAAGCAGAAAAATCAACTCAAAATGCACAGGACCTTACAATTGTGATCTATTTTCCTGACGCGATGCGAGCCCGTTTCTGCGATGAAAAGCTCTCCGAAGCTGTTCGTTACCATGGCTCGCGGCCCAGACATCCTTGCTTTTACTGCTGGCTCTATTGCTGCACGTTCTGCCTCATACTGAAAGAAGGAAAAAAAAGAGACGAAGCCAAGCGGTGCTTGGTGGTATTATTTTTCGTATCCCTAGTATATTTCTGTGGATGCAGCGTCCTCATCTGCACTTCCGTATACTCCAAACTTGAAGAAACAGTAGCTAAGCAAACTTGTTGTACTATTTTCTCATCCTACAAATTTTCTAACCCCTGACTTAACACAAATTATCTTGATAGGTTCCGAAGCGATGGGATGCTAATCCTTGAACTGAGCTCTGCACAGCGGCAAAATGTTTCGCCTCATCGAAGCCTTCACCAAGTGGCGACACTAGTTCAATCTGCGCTGACCTCGGTGGCGTGTACAACGTACTCAGGCGATCGAGGGATTAGAAGGATCTAAATATATTTTCACTCAACATGGGAAGAAAAGTCTAAAGTGAATCGGTGCCTCTCCATAACGAAGAGGAGGAGAAAGAAGAAGGAGAAGATCGATGCAAACCGCTTTTCCTTCTTGTCGCTTTTCCGCTACTTCGGGTTATGTCAAGAAATAACTTCAAAAAGCATCATAACTAAATGCATTCGTCAAAATTGTTGCAGTTCCACTAGTCCCACTCCCAGAAGCTCGGTAAGACGTTAATATTCTCTCTTTCGTAGTCCACGCTGCTTGACGTCGCACAGCAAATTCATAGAAAAGACCTACCACTCTTTGGTTAGCGAGGTACAGGTTGGAGTTTGAAACCACTTATTCTCTTATGTTATCAGTACACGATAGTTTTTGGGGTACTAGAGGTACGACATTGATAAAACTAGTCGTCATATTCATCAGTACTAGTTTCTTGAACAAACCACTTTCGTGCGGGAGAGTAAAGGCACTGGAAGTTGTGAGAGTTGGCCCCGTCGGGCGACTACTAAGATGTCGTAACATTAGGATACTCTGCCAGAGCATTCGTGTGCGGTGATACAAATGTCGTGGAAGCAGCCGTGAGAACATGAAAAGGTGCCTGAGTACAGGTGGATGGAATTTTTCTTCCTAGAAAGTCTCGACTCCACTATAAACTCAAGTTTTCTCGTCATGAAACTTTTCTACGACAAGACACTCACTTTCGTTCATCTACGAGAATTCGTTTGTGCTTCACTTTGTGGCATAACCAATCACCAAGCCAATGGACGGATAGAGCCTGCGCGTCAAGAATGCGTTGTCTGACGCGTTGCCTCGCAAGTAGACGCACCCCGGATTTGTAGCAATTTCTGTCTCACTGAGTTTTAGATGGCGATTCAGGAAGCTTCTTTTACTGAAACTCGTACAACTTTTACGAACAGATGTTCTTCATCTCTTCCTACCGAAATAATTCGTACGATATTTGTAGCATACATGCAAAAAAAGTTCCTTTGCTTCTTCAATTAAACGTCACAGTAATACAAACCTCAAGGTTTTTGTTTGTTCATTATCACATTTATCATGGAGTAAAAGCTCCTAGTCAACACTCACCTGCATACTTCATCAATCTTTCTGAAAACATCATCTTAACTTCTGCGCTATGTGGCAATCCGCTTGAAGTGGGTGCATTTTCAACACTGCTTGACCCCTGAAATTGGTGCTAGACTGCAAAGCCCGTTGAAACTCGAAAGCGAAGCGACGCTTTCTATCCAATTCCCAGTCTGCAGCAGTTTGTAAAGTTCCAGTGACATTCGCCTTCGCTTGAGTATAGGTGAAGAGCTCTGAGGATTAGGGGAGGAGAACAAAATTTGGCGGCTTGGATTATTTGTTCCAAAAACTTCGAATCATTCATTAGGAAAACATACACACTTTTTCTCATAAAAACAGGGTTCTTGTGCTGCACGAAATGCAGTGAGCTCTACTACCGCAACGAGGGTGGCGACGTCACAGCCCGCAGTGGGGCACTCTCTGTCCGTGACGAGGGGACCACGCATATTAAACGTACACGGAGTCGCCACTGTACAGTTATTCGTTCCGTCGAGGTTAGAGAAGGCAGGAACACAGCTGCTGATGTGGTCTGACAATTAGTATACACGTTCTATGTATTGGTTTACGTTTAGTTTGGATATTAGTCCATTAAAATTTTTCATTACAATTCGCAGAATAGATCTAGACTTAACTCAAACAACATATGGTCTTTAGCCATATCTAAAGCCGCTATCGCCGTTGCTAGCTGTGTGCGATTGCCGTCTCCGTCACTTACAGTACCTGGCAAAGACCCACCTGGTAGAAGCGTCACCGTTCCAACAGAGAGAACACCTGGTGCTAGTTCGAACATTAGAAGTTGAGAATAAAAGCTAGACATGAAGATCAAATCTGTACTCGAAGACAATCATAAGAAAGACGTCGGTATATATCCCGTTCCGTTCACGAGTCCTTTGAACAGTGCCAATCTATCTACTCCCTTCGCATCTGGCGATTGCAGCGCCCACGTAGTAACTGCATTGGCTAAGCCTGAAGTCTTGATTTAGCGCTACCGCGCTCGCATCCATGAGTCCATCCTTGGCTTATCTTTTTCAAGTCGAAAAAGAGCCAGGGACGATGGTACGGAGGACGGGTCAACGGTTGCCTTAATTGCTGCGCAAATGAGTCAGCACTACACCGCTACGTGGGAATACGTTCTTCCGAGGTCTCATACCAAGATCTGAGGTAAACTGCGAAGAAATACCAGGATTGTCCACCTCGCATATTTCGCGAACCGTAGTGGCGATTACCTGAGGATCGGAGCTTTTTGTTGTGTTGACCGAAAACTTTGTTACAGAGAGGGTGATAAAGATGTTTCGAAATCAGGAAGTACTAGTAAAGTCATTATCGTGCTGGTTGCACAAGATAGAAGCATCATCCCAAATTACTAGTTGAACCAGGTGCTAACTAAAACCTCTCTGAATCCGTTGACCGAAGGCAGAATTTCGAAGAAGCAGCCACTGGTTGCGCAGCCACTCCAGTAGTTGTTGGCAAATGTCATTGTCCACTCTAGCTCTAAGCGTAGACTCGGAATCGAATCCGTTCGCGTAAACGCTTTGTGAGGACTTGGTAGCAGTAGGTACTTCACAGCCCGATCCTCCATTCCTACTACAGGATTGGAATTAGAAAACCTATTCGATTAAAAGGCTCTTAAAACTCTAAACGAGATAAAATGTAGTAAAATGCTCTTTACGTCCATTAGATGCCATAATCGATGTATCTCCAGCAAAATTATCATAAGTTGATAGATAAAAAACATAACAAAAAATTAATCTAATCTATGTTATTAATCTATATTGTTGGTGGAGCATATCTAACTAGAAAAAACAAAAACCGAAAAAACTTAATCTATATTATTTTAATCTACATCTATTTATCTTTACTCTAAAACCATAATCGATGCATCTCCAGCGGAAAATCCACATCCTAGTCCTGACAAGGACAAAGGCTCTGACTCACTTTTATCTGCCCAGCCAGGACAAATGAAATCGCAGTAGAACTCCATTCGTTTGTTCGCCGGATGGTTCAATCCATGCCGCATCAAACTGCCCACAAGGTCGTAGTTGCCTGAAAGGGAATGGGGAGGTACGATGGTAGGAGGTAGGATGGTAGGTTTTTAGGGTAGAAGAGAGCGGAGTTAGGTGAAGAGTGCATTAATATCTGCAAAGGAAACGCCGCTTCTTCTCTTCTTCTCAGGGGGATGTAGTTGCAAAGGCTCTGTCTATTGGTGTCAATCCGTATGTAGCGACACGCGCAATCGCTAGTGGCCACAACAGCGAAACGGTTGGGGGGCACATCCGCGAAACCGTTAAGGGGCGTACCCGCGAAACGGTTAAGGGGCATACCCGCGAAACGGTTAAGGAACATACCCGCGAAACCGTTAGGGAGCCAACCGCGAAACGGTTAAGGGGCATACCCGCGAAACCGCTAAGGGACGCATCCGCGAAACCGTTAAGGGACCCACCCGCGAAACCGTTAAGGGACGCACCCGCGAAGCCTTAAGTGATGCTCAGGTGATGCTTAAGTGGTGCCTAAAGGATGCCTAAGTGATGCTTGAGTGGTGCCTCAAAAGGCACAACGCCAAGTGCCTCAAGCGGGCGACGCTTAAGTGCCTCGAGCTAAGTGCCCCAAAAGGCAGAGTCCCTTAAGTGCCTCAGGAGGCAGAGTCTCTTAAGTGCCTCAAGGTAAGTGGCTCAAGAGGCAGACTCCCTTAAGTGCCTCAAGAGGCAGAGTCTCTTAAGTGCCTCAAGGTAAGTGGCTGAAGAGGCACACTCCCTTAAGTGCCTCGAGCTAAGTGCCTCAAGAGGCAGAGTCCCTTAAGTGCCTCAAGAGGCAGAGTCCCTTAAGTGCCTCGAGGTAAGTGCTTCAAGGGGCGCAGTCCCTTACGTGCCTCAAGAGGCAGGGTCCCTTGTCTGCCTCAAGTGGGCAGAGCTCAAGTGCCTCAACCACTTGCCGGCCCAAGTATAATTCCAACAATCTTCACTCTGATAGTCTTGAAATACCTCTTCCATACATCGCCGTCTGCATCCCAGGGCAGAGGTCCGTAGCGTTCTTTCCATTGTTCTCGTAGTTTTGTGTCAAGGCAGTGGTCGCACTGGCGCATTCGGGACTGTTGCGTAGACAACGATCTAGTTCGTATTTGGCGATGCAACGAGCCGTACTTGCTTGGGCCGCTTCCAAAGCTAGGAAATTGGACACGCAACTATTCACACAATAGCCACAACCGTCGTAGCAGCACTTCGAACTGGAACCAAAACCGAAGTAACTTCCTTTGCTTAGAAAAAAAATGGTTGTAGTAATCGAGAGCTTGGTGAAATGCCTCTTGCGCTACCCTTCTCAATTTGCTTAACTCAAACCCCCCACTCGCCGTGGCCAAATATTCGCTATCGTCGCAAACATGGGAACAGATTTCATCGACAACTGTCTTCGCTGCTTCTCGTAGTTTGTGTTGTTGGCTCTTAGTTTCTATGTCTTGCGCATCACACAAATCGAAATCCGAAGTGGACGAACTACCAGCGGCGGGAAATGAAAGGGCGGTGTTTGTTAAGGAAAAGCAGAGTTGTGCTGCTGAGATCTGTACTCGAAAGAACCTTCGAAGGTCGCCAGATGTCAGCTCTCAATATCAAATTTTCCATGATGCTCTTAAAGCTGTCATACTTGGCGAATATAGTCCGGCTGCTAAAAGGTCGGGTTTATACCCTGCTGCACGGGGACCCAAGAACTTCTGTTAGAAAGACAGCGCTTGAACTATAGGGTTGATGAGTGAACAACAACAGCCACTCAGTATCAACTACATAGACTCCATAGTCTGTCATCAGCCACTCATCATCAACATAGCCAAATATTCAGTAACAAAAAAAATGGTGGTTTTTGGCTTTCTTGGCAGTAAAGTGAACAGAACATGGATCCGAAAAAAAAAACATAAACCGAAAAAATCCCATAATTGTACAAAGTGGTATTCAGAATCAGCGGTGAGTCTTTGATGATTTCGTCTCGATCCGTTCCGGACAGCAGTATCCAAAAGCGGATGGTGTATTCCGCATGGCCTTCAACCGCATATTCAACGATTCTATGATTGTTTGTGTCGCCAATTAGCAAGTTTGCGAATCCGAAGTTGTAGGAAGCCGTCACTCCATATGGAGTGTCCAGAGCAACCGAAAGCCTCGCAATGTGTCCTAGAGACTGCGTTGTGGATGATTCAAATGCGGATTTGACGGCCCCTGTTGCGCCAAGGACATCTCCACCAACGAGATTGCGGATACGGCCAGGTCGGCATTCATTGGTGACGGTGGTTGGGGCATACACGCCGTTTGGGAATGGCAGATTAGACGAAAGACGAAGGCGGTCGCACAAATCTAATAAATCTATTTGATTGAATAATATATAGGCGTGCCAGATCCGGGATGGGGTGGATCGGATGGATCGGATGGACTTCCCACCATTTCAAGTAGGATCGGAAGAATCAGGGGGGTCCATCCGATCCATCCAAGTCCATCCTACATCCGTTCTATAAACTATTCTACCGGGTATTAACAGTATAACTCATCGAAGACCCCCGCCCATAATAAGCTGACTCAAATTCGTCGTGTCGTTCTGCAGCAACGTCGGGTACAGATAATTTGTCGCGTCTCTGTTCGTGACCGCAGCCGCAATTATGGCGGAAGCGTTCACGCCTGTTGTTGCCAGTGCAGCACACGCTGCAGTTCCCACATCTTCATCGGGAGCCCGCCACAAGAGGTTGCACCGACGAAGCGTCGCATCCCAGAGCCAAGCTTTGCAGTGAATCGGAATTTGGACTCGCAACTTCGTCACTTTCTCCAGCGACCGGGCTATCACCCCAACCGTGAGCCCCGCACGACAAGTATCTGGAGTATCACTGAAAAACACGCACGCGACCTTACTGCCTATTGCAATGCGCAGTGTTGGTAAAGTGACACAGTCCCGAAACTCCAAAGAGTCGGAGTCAAGAACTTTGTCTGACAGTGCAACGAGTGCTCTGGCATCCGCCAAGGTAACGTTGACGTCTTTTGTTTGTTCTGCGAAACGCCCAAAGGGAAAGTTTCCGCTGCCTACTAAGGCACAAGCATATGCACAACGGTCCACATCGATCGCAGCGCCGAACTTGCCGGCAGTCGGAGGTGTGGGAGGTCCTGCGGTTAACGTAGTTTAGAATGGTGGGGATGATGCTAACGATGATGACACTAGACGTATTGTCGCGACATTTGGAGCTGTCTTATTTGTTCGCGCCGCTTGAAGTATTTATAACATTTCAGAAGCATTAACACTATAATCCAAAGCTGGCGCCTTAAGCATACGACCTCGCTGACGACATGTCTTCGCTGTAGGGAAATGCTTGGGTCCTAGAGCCACGCACGTGACATTCCCCGCCTCGACAAAGTTGGCCGGTCGTTGCATCGATAAAAAACGTGGTCAAAACCGGAAAAGGATTGCTGAAGGCAGAAAAACCAAAATTAGGGCTGTCCGATAGGGGTAATCTTCTTTGACCTGCTGTGCATGCTTGAAGAGAGCACTTACCCAAATGGAATACATGCTTTCGAATGATGGATAACCAAAGAGGCACTACTCGGTAGAGCCTTAATGGAAGCCTCAAAAAACTGGACACACTTTGGATAGTCTGTGATCTCCACACCGCGAATCAAGTTGTTTCCGCTGTCCGCAATAATCAACTGTGGTTGCGGAGCGGTGACGGAAGAGAAAACGGGAGTGGTGTTACGAAAATAAGAGCGGCAAATCACGACATCAGTGTAGAAGGACTATTTTTTTGTTAAGGCGTGACATACTACCTTAAAGCCCTCTAATACATGATCTAGTAAGAATTCGACACACTACGTCAACACTTCTACAAAGCAGATCAAGCTAGTAGCTAAAAGAGGCATCTTGATCTTACATCTCTTAGCAGTTAGAGTTTTATTCAAGGAGATCAAACGAACTAGTTAAAAGATCATGTATAGGAGATGCAGATGAGATCCATCACTTTGGTAGTATTAGACTTACGAGACACTACGTTACAGCCTCTACTTTTACATGACCTTCTAAAACTAAATTCCTAAGTTCTCGTCGGTCTCTTTTCAAAAGTTCTTCTATTCTTAAGTCGCATCACTGCTATTGTCGGTCGCGTTCGTGGTTACGTTAGTTGCGTTGCTCTGCAAAAGCGCAGTCATAGAAGTCGACGTACCCCCTCTTGATATTCCATCGTCAGTACTTTTGGTTGGTGTGATATTAGAGTATCTATCGGTCATGATATTCATTCAGTTCTTGTACCTTTAATATCGTGTTCGTGAAAAAAACATTTATGAGAGAAAAACGAGCCGGAAATTTCCATAGAAATAATTCATGCCAGTAAACACACTTCTGAAAAACTTTGAAAGTTTTTCTAGTTCGGAACCAAGAATGAATACACAAGCAACTCAGAAGATAATCGCGACGTGACTCCTTAATGATGATCGCCAAACCGCGTGGATATCGCAATTTTGCTCTCGTTGCTGGTCCACAGTTTCCAGCTGCACCAATCGCGCCTTCTGGATTCACCACTGCTTCAGCGGGACCATGGATTCCTTCTCTCGACGACAGATGGACGCGAAGTACGCGCTGAGACTCTGCGTCGCTGAAATACAAGTATTCTTCCTCCGAGTCCAACGACAAGCCATCCGGTGTGCGCAATCGAACACTTGCACGCTGCGCTACTCCTGGTTGAATAACTTGGATCAAATTAGAACAACTAGTACTACTCCACTGAAGATTATTTTTCTATATCATTACATGTTTCTTTACCAAATGGAATCATTACACCATTACATATTTTTCCATATCATGTTGATTACCTCCTAGTACATGGTCATCAGTTAAAGCCCCATCATCGCGAAGTACTAAATATTTCTGAAATAACGTGTTGTAATATCATGCTACTTATTTTTTCGAGTAATCAAGTGAAGGAGTTACAAGGAAGAGAGGGGATTTGTGGGACTGATAGCTCAAAAATAAATTCTCATAAGTGTAGGTCCCAACAAAGTTTCTATTCCCGAGGTTGGGTCACTTGCGTTCGCTACCCTGTTGATCAGACCGCGCGCGAGGTCGCTGATATACGCTTCCCCAGTTTTTTCTCGGACCACCAAAGATCCGACACTCCCAAGTGTGTCAGAGATTGCAGGGGAAGATGTTGAGGACCCTGCTGCACCAGTCGTCCCCATAGGAGAAACTCCTATAGTGCGCTTGACGCTGGAGCCTAAGTAGGTTGATATTTTTGGCCCACTGCTGAATTCCCACCCGCTTGCTGTTGTTAGAGCGGTCCTCGCACTTGCATCCCTAGTCTAGTACCCTTGGCCTCTAATTTTCTACAGTAATAAAACCTTGTTAGGATTCTTAAACGCCTTGTGATATAATTGGGTAGACCTTAGACAAAAAAAGAGTGGACTTCTCTAGAACAACAGACGTCTTGTTTTGATGTTACACTTACAACACTTTATTCACTTTCTAAGAATACTACATTGGGTAAAAGATGCGATAACAACAATGAGATGCCCGCACCCGCGCCATTTGCTTCTTGGAAGTGGCCACGGGAAAGAATCTTTGGTAGAGACCGGATACGGATGTCCAGACGGGTCTGTGCTGCGGAGAGTCGATGCTGAAAGGGATAAAGATAAACTTAGACCTTCCGGGAATCCATCTTGGAAGTCATCTTGGGCCCTTGCCTTTCCCCCAACGGAGTTCCAAGATGCTTCTGAAGATGGATTTCGGGGAGTCATAATAAAAGCCGAGGTAGAGATAAGAGGCAGCCCTCACTCGACGGAAGAGGAGGAGGAGCCAGCGAGGATGATTACGGAGACGCACACGAGCAAACGGCGCCACCATAATTTTTCCTGCTCCCGTCTTCGCTTTTCCGGTTGGTAAAAAGGCGTCGGAGGACCACAAGGAGCCCGCACCCGGGCCTTTTGAGTGCCAGGTGCGTGCCAGGCCTCTGCTCACCTAGGTGAAGAACGCGCAAACCACAGACGGCACATCCTCCTTCGTTCTTGCTGTTGCTCAAACAACACTTTGCATGTCTGTAGGGTTGCTCAAACGATACTGAAAACTACGAGGTAAGCAAAAATTCCAAAGCGACCACGAGAACAGAACAGAAGCCGAGCCGAACAGAAGACGCGCCTCGAATCTTGGCACGCCGGTGTAGAACACTCTTTAAAGAAGGCAGAGGGCCCAACCTACCGAAGACAGGGTCACGGTAATGAGGCGAGGTGATCATCAGCCCCGAGCCACCGCAGACGAGGTAGTCTGCCGCGAAGCCGTTTAACGAAAAAAGTGGCAAAGAAGATGGCCACCGGCACTTCCATGGGCCATCTGATTCAGCCAAAGCAGAATCGAATGGCACAGACGAAGTCGACGGCAGCGAGGAACCGAGCGATGCCGGGCGCGGAATCTACGGGTAGCCGCACACCGCTGTGTTGCGTCTATAAGGGCAGTGCCGCCCTCTATAGGGGCCTACGGGGGAGCCTATGGGGGTTTTGTTCACCCCCAACGAGATTCCCGACCCTTCCGCCCCAGCAAAGGGAGCCGCGGCATCTCATGGGCCTCCTGTGGGGTCCTAACTGGTCTCTTTGCAAAGGCGACCGGGGGGCCAGTGGCTGCAGGGAGACTAGTGGGGACCCCAAAGGAGGCCCATGAGAAACCGCGGCCCCCTTTCTAGGGGCGGAAGGGTCGGGAATCTCAGGAGGGTTGAAAAGAGTGCCCACCGGTTTCCGTATATGTCCCTATAGAGGACTTACAAAGGGCCAGCTTTTTCGGCTTATGGACTTATCGCGGGCAGGCTGCTAGGCTCTCACAAATCTGAAACTTTTAGGGGTTAAAAGTCCATGACTTTTCTAACCCCTGAGGGTTTCAGACTTACAAGGGGCCAGCTGTTCTCGGCTTATCGACTTATCGCGGACAAGCCAGCTGTTTCGGCTTATGGACTTTTCGCGGGCAGGCTGCTAGGCTCTCACAAATCTGAAACTTTTAGGG